GCGCAGCCAGAAAAATCTAAATATACCTTCTTTTTAACATTTCATGAGACGTTGCCGTACATTACTGAAGACTTTTATCAATCAGATTAATAACTAGAGGAGGTAATACATCATACTTGAGCACACCTGAGGGCAGAGGGATATTCAAGCCAAAAATTTCCTTTGTAGTTTTCTGAGACACCTTAGGACTTCACACCGTTTATAAGATGTCTAAATACCTGTCAGTTGGTTTTCTTTGTAAAGAAACAGCCTAAAGGTTTGGGGGGTATGTTCTAGGTTAGCTGCAAAACTGCTTATTGTATCATGGTTGCCAATACTCTTCCCATTCATCCCAACTGGGTGTTAAGACAGATTTTGTGTTTTAGATCACACTTTTGCACAAGACTTGTAGTTGTGTACTCTGTTGGGAAAATGATTTATGGAGGTATCTGCTGAACATGTTTTTTTTATTCCTTTTTAATATTCACTTTTTTAAAATCTCTGTGTGTAAATGGTGCTGTCAGCTAATACAGTTATCTTCCTTAGTATGAATACTTCCATCAGTGCTCTGTTCATAATCACACAGGCTCATGCAGAGGTCAAGAATAGTGTAGAGACCTCCATCAGCCCAGGAAGAAACATTTTCCTTTGGTCTGTCTGTCTGTCTGCATGTCTGGCTCTGCCGTCTCTGTCTCTGCTATTATTAGCACTGAGGAGAAAAAAAAAAACACAGGACTGGTTTGGTTAACAGAGAGAGCACCGCGTCACACACAGGGCCTAGCTTGAAATGATTCAGCACTTTGTATCAGGCTAGGAAACAGACTGAACAGATGACCTCCTGCTTAGCACACTGTTTACTCCAATAATTACCATTAAACTGCCTGTCAACCAACTATTCACAGCTGTTGCATGTACAAGTTTGAGCATCATTTAGTTTAACTTCCAATACAATTTTTCGTCTTCAAAGAGACAAATCCTCCCTCCTTAGCACTTACCATCTGTGTAATCCAACCCTATACTATCGGCTGAATATTTCCTATACATTTGCCCCCCTCCAGACCTCTTTGTCTGTCTGAACAAAAGCCAACTCTGTCTCTCTGCCAGCAGTAATACCCCAAGGCGGCTAAAGCTCAGCATGATGGTAGCAACAGATTCCAAGGCAACGGCAGCACAAATTAACACTTTCCTTACAGGTACAGAGAATAAAAAATGCACAGCCATCTGTCATTGGGTCTTTTGGTAGTCGGATGCCAACCATGCATTGACATGGTCTTGAAAAATTTAAAATATTTTGGGATAGCAAGCTTGTTCGATGTCAGTTTTGTAACTGATGAAGCTCAGTGACATATCCAGGTAAAAGCAGGACTGTGAGAGTTAGTTTAACGTATTTGCAAAGTCTATCCTTTATAACATGGATGCAAAAGATTATTTCTGGCACTTTGACAAACTTGACAGACTTGGAGCATAAATATTCTGCACAAATATTCTGGAGTTACCTACTTTTAAAAGATAACTTTTGTTAGTTTATTTTGAATTACATAAAAATAAAAATGAGCTATTCATAGATGTTGGAAAGCGCTTTTATTGTCCTGTTTTTCATTGTTTACTCCAACATACTTTGAGACTCAAAGGACCAAGAACATGGAGTGTAAAATACGGTTCTGTTGTTTCTTCATTCAGGGCGAAGCATTTTTTTGCTCTCTCTGATATTTATCTGTTAGAGTGACATTTGTCTTAAATTAACGTCTTCAGGGTTGAAGCCCCGGTTTAGAGAAGAGAAATGACGTCTGATTTAGTGATGCTGACAAACAAGGGAAATTTACAGCCGCAGCCCCCTCGCTTCACATCCTGATTCTAATTTCCGCCACCATCAGAGCTCCATCCAGACACTTATTATCAAGACAGAACATAAACCATGCTACTCTTTCAACACAAACCCTGTTAACCTGCAAGATAGGAAAGGAAAGGACATGAAAAGGAAATATAGCCAGTCAGGGAAGAGTTTTTACTCATTCATTGACCTCTAAAAACCCAGTGACTGGCTAAGTCACTAAAAACTTGGTGTGTATTCATATAGTGTTGAAACCTATAGCGCTTTTTCTATTTTGTATCCCTAAATTCATTGATAATAGGTACCAGGTCTTGACTCCAATTACAGTCTCTAATAATTAATCTCATTATCGCTACTGTCTAATCTCATAATTAGTCAGGGTTCAAGTACCGGGCCTTGTTTTGATCCACTCCAGTTCCCCTTTTTATAGAGCTACATTTACTGTGAGTACAAATTCCACACTTGCATATGTTTGTCATCATATTGCCTCTTGTGGGACTTGGGAAGCAGCGAGTGAAAGGCAACTGGTAAATAACCTTATTACAGCACAATGAAAAATAAATTCATTCATTTTCTATACCGCTTATCGCTTTCCAGCTGTCATTGGAAATAGGTGGGGTACACCTTGGAGTGGCGACCAATTCAAGGTCCAATAGAGACACAGACAACTAGTCACACCTAAGGACAAGTTAGAGTTACCGATTAACCTAACAGGCATGTTTTTAGTCTGTGGGGGGAAGTCAGAGTGCCTGGAGAGAACCCACACATGCACGGGACGAACGTGTGAACTTCACACAGAAAGGCCCTGCCCAACGCAGAAATCGAACCGGTGACCTTTTTGCTGTGAGACACGTGCACTACCTGCTGCACGGCAGTGCCACCAATGAAAACAATAAACCAAGCTTATCGACCGTCTTTTTTTTTAAATTATTGTACTTTGATCGGCCTTTGCTTGTTTGTGTCAGTGTTGCCCTGGACCATCATTCACTTTTGAAGGGGCACCTTGAGATTTGTTTGGAAAGTAAAGTCCAGGATGTTAGATATGAAATGTGATCATTATGTGTATTAGTAGTGGTGGTAGTAGTATTCATGACTAACTTTAATTTGACCGTCGGCTATTGTTTAAAATAATAGCTGTTGTGACAGTCGTGATACTGTCAGACAGGATAGATTGAGATGAGATTCACAACCTTAAAAATAACTAAGAGCACATGAGAGAAGAGAAACGGATCTCATTGAGATGTGCGAAATCTTCAACAAAAAATGTGTTACCAGAGTATAAACCCTTCTGACTCAGTTTGTTATTTGTTTTTTTCCCAGACAGCGTAAAAATAGAGGTTGTACTAAACACTGTGAGCGTTCAAAGAAGGTGGTGCAATAATTACAGAGTGGCACACTTGAGAAATCAGTGTACTACTGCGATATATGCTGATTGCACTGGGACTGAAGCCTAAACACACTCTAATAGCTCCCAGGCATCTTTCATTTTCAATATTAATCCCAGTTTGATATAGGAAGCAATATGTTTTACAGCTGTACATGGTAACAGTCAGCAGTAATTTTATACGTTTTAATAGCCTCATAATACTCTTGAAAAAATGTATGGTCATAAAGGAGGGGCAAGGGGGCTTGGCTTGGACTAAAATAGAAAGTTAAAGCACTCTTCAAGTTTGAGCGGAACGATGGTGGGCTGTTGTGTAACAGGGCTTTTACCATGGCAGTTCACTGGATGGCTCTCACCACAGATTCTACTCAGCAGCATTGCAGGGGTATAAATCTTTGAAGAACTGCAACCTGCGTCACACACGCACCCCGGCTGTCCCACCCAGTTGGTGGGCAGGGGAAAGACAGGCTACTCATAGATAACCCAGGAGGTCCAAGGTCCTAAGGTCTAGGACTGTGTGTGTGTGTGTCAAAGTGTGTGTGCAAGTGTGCTGAGCAGCTGCAGAGGTACAAAGATCAACATACAGCACAGCAGCAGGTAATCCATCATATCTTGTACATACACATCTGTACTGTGGCCCTGGAGAGTAAAAGACACCATAAGACACAGGTCAAGGTGACATTGCTTTCGCTTGGCTTGTGCTGGTCCAAAATGATACTTTGACAAATAAATCAAAGTGAAAAACAATTTTCCCTCAGCCTCATCACCTGCTTGGAGAATACATCATCACATAGGCACTCAACATTGAACCCTACAGGTTAATGTTTAAATTTACTCTTTTGTCAATGCAGATACTCCTGCGTTCACTTAAAGCCGTGGAAGCGCAGTCAAAGCAATTTTTACTCCCAACAGAAATACTTTGCTAGTAAGCAGTCTGAATCTGACTTAAGTGAATGTGCATGTATTTGCATTTCGTAAGGGGGTCCATTAATTTGTACATGTCCCTTTACTTAGCAGCCTGTAAAGTGTTGAATGTCTTTATATATGGCCAGGTAGCATCGAATTATCCATTTGGGGTTAATAAAGTCTAACCACAATTTATAAAAGTCTATCAAACTTTGTTTAAATCTTGTAACGTTAAATAAAGTCCTCAAATTAACTGGTGCTGTCAGATAACACCAGATATGATCCAGTTCATTTTTGCCCCCTCTTTAAAGTTGTTAACAGAGAGTTTGAGGTATCTGTGAACCAAAACTACTTCATTTGATGATCGTAACTCCAGATTGTGCTCAGGTACAGTACTGAAGTGAATGCCCTTTTTCACCTGAGCATAAATCTTTAGTTAACACCACACAAACATGCAGTTAGCTCTAGCCCTTTAATGCCTTTTGTATCATATTTGATACATACTTTTATGATACTTCTATCAAATCAATATCATCAACAAATTACTAAAAAAACACCTGAATACAGTCCAATAAATGATAAAAATGTCCTCTTGTGGTTTATCAGTTTTAATCTAATGTATCAAACGAGATGAATGAATATACATATACAGTATATTTGTTAAATTTTAAAGACATTTTTGTTTTTTAGGTTTTCAGTAGTAAGTGAAATAAACATTTCAGCTCTAAAGAAAATTGTTTTTTTTTGGCCATAATTTGTGGTTTCAGGCATTAAAGGGTTAGTACTGCAGCACACATGGAGTTTAATTTTTTCAACACTGATCCAACCAGTAGGTTGTCTTGTGTTGCAAAGTGAGTGTTGCAAATAGAAAAAAAAATAAACACAGAGAATGAAACCATGTGCAGCCTCATTAATGTCAAGTCTTTATTGATATGGTGTCATACAGCAATGCATAAGAAGTAATAGCAGTACAGAGAATAGCATGTCACCTACATTCAGTCCCTAAGCTTTTGTCGTCATGGTAATTCTAATAAACGCTAATAGAGAGAGAGAAAAATGGTAAAACACCCCACTGGACAGAATCATACACAACACACACATGGCCAGATAAAAGCTGCTGGTGTTTTAAGGCATTTTACTTCCTACAGTATTTGCTCTATGGCTAAATCTTGATTGTTGGAGTTTGGATTGATAGCGTACTGTATTGCCAGAAAATTCCTTTTTTCCTGATGAAGTAGCGTTGAGTGTGCACTTAAAAAAATTTGGCAGTGCTGCAGAAGTAGAAGTGACGATTATTCCTCAGACACCAGTTGAAAGTGTTTTGGTTTATAGTGTAAAGATAAAGGCTTGACATTGCAACTATCAACCATTCATCCATTGTCGTAGCTATAGACTATGAAATGCTGATAATATTTGTAAGTTCTTGTACATCTGAGTTTTTCTTCTGCTTCACACCAAAAAACAATGATTCCTTTAGCAAAATGCCCAGCTTTCAGTTTGCTGCCTCCATATTTATTCCTGTGATGATAGGCCACTGTGTAGAGCTACAAACACACTCACTACAGTACTAAGATACTTATCTCAAACCTCAGGTAAAAGAACACGAACCCTATCCGGAACAGTCTGCGTTACAATCAGTAGTTTTTTGATTTCAGTGTGAGTGCAGTTTATCGGGGCGAGGGTCGCCTCCACTAGCAGCAGGAGAAGAGGAAAGCTGTGTTGAGAAGTTGGCAGTGCACAAGCAGAAAAAGAACTATAAAGTTGCTGAGACTGAAGGATATCTAGAGGTGAGGTCATACTACAACAGACATTTGATCCAGTCATGGCCACAGTTACAAAGAGAGAGGTCAAGTGGTTTCTAACACATCTGTGCCTGGCAGGTTCTGACTGACTCAGTGGTGTTTTGTGAGTGCTGATGGTTTTGGTTTTGCTCTGGTGGAGTGATATGGTATGAGTTCTGGGACTAGAAAGTGTGTAAAGAATGTTCAATGGCACATGGGGAATGATATTAGATGCGCATACAGTTGCCTGAATCAAATAGATCATTCAGATCTTGTACATTTGTGCTAAAGCATAGCCAGTTTCTACTTGACTGAGCAAACTTTTCTTCTTTGCAGTTGTAGCTACCACATTTTCCTTCCTATCCGCATCTTTCTTTAATCACTCCTTTTCCCTGTATCCCTTATTGTGCAAACTCTCCAATCGGTACCAAATTAGGTAGTTTTCACATTCTTAGTTAAGTGCTTTTGAGAGGATCCTTCCTTTGCATGTTCTTTGCAGAGGTTCATAGCTTACCTACTTTACATCCTAAACAAGCTTAGACAACAGCAGACTAAAGTCACGCCTACAGGCTAAGAAACACTCCGTCACAGTTATAAATTAGCGCAGTGCATGATGATGCTCAGCGTGGTCGATGTTGAAAGGATGGGCTTGAGCTGACCTTTTAACCTTGAACAAACAACAAATTTGTGTTGAATTAGCTACGGATGGATTCCATGCAAGCATGACATTTATATATACCATGCATATTACACTCCATTAATACATTTTTTTGTCATTTGTTTCAGATCTCATTTAAACAGTGGTGGGAAGTTAAAAAGGAGTCAGTGCTTGATGGATTTTCATCCACTTTCAAACTGTCATGCAGAGCGGACGAGACTACAGCCGAACCATCGATCTGAGAAATTGTGCAAGAAGAGATTAAAGAAGTTTGTGAACTCCATCTTTAGCAAAGATGCTCGAAATAATGCCTCTTCTACACTGTTCACTTTGGCTGGTTCCCTACAACTGTGGACTATGTGCTTCCTCACTTGACTGTCAGTATCACGTCAGAAAATTTCATCGTTTTGTGCAAGATACCTTGCTGATAGCAGCTTTTAAATGTTTTGTCCTTGAAATGCACAGACATGCTTCCACTGGAATGTGTTGAGAGTACCTCACAGCTTGTGGTGGCGGTGATGATCAGAGATGTTGCCTACTGTGTTTTCTTATCACTTAATGATGTAACAGTTGTCCAAAGTGTGAAAGACCAGTTGATTATTATAAATCATTCCAGTAAGAAATGCTACCAGTGCTTGTTACTGTCAGAGGTTGAAATTGTGATGGAGAAAGAGAGAGAACAGATGTTTTGTGCTGTTGTATTGTAGTGATGGTTACTTTTGAGTTATATTGGGTTGACACATGTGGAGGGCAAAGGGGGGAGGAGGGCAGAGAAGGACTAAACCCATTGAAAACAAACATCCAAATCCTGCACTCAAATCTTTGTGGGCATACAGACCAATAATTCACATATATTTATGATCTTACTCATGATAGGAAGGCAATTCTTTTCAAAGATCCCCACAGGTGTTTTGAGTAGAGGCTCGGTGTTTGTTTTACAGCGGGAAAAGAAGAAAGGTTTGGGTTTGCAGGGAGGAGGGAAGCTTCAGGTGTCAAAAACAGGCTTACAGTAGGCTCTTAGTTTTTCTGATTAGTGGGGATGTCGCTGGGGTCCTGCTGCTTCTCCGTCTTCTTGGTGGTGATGACTGTCTCCTCATACACTTCACGCTGGGACATCTTGGCACCGGATTTGCTCTGCTGCTGCTGATCTTCATCCTTCTTGGAGCCCTTGCCGGAGCTGGAGTAGATACGGGTCTGGTAGTTGTAGCTTTGCCCCATACTCGCGCTCATGGAGGAGCTGGGAAAGGTTATCCCAGTCCCAATGCGGGTCTCCTCTCCTTCGAGCAGTTTCCTGCAGAAAAAAGGAAAATATCACAAAGTGTTCAAAAATGTTGCTCTTTCAAATCGATCAATCAAACTTTATTTTTAAAGCACTTTTTCATGTAACATAAATAAAAATAATAAAAATAAATAAATAAAAATACAAATACCAAACCCCACCCATCCTCCCAACCCCCATTCAACACATACAGCACTCACACACTCACACACACAGATGCATACACTAAAGACCAGGACATTTCAACTTGCCACAGATGACTTGTTTGACTTCTGCGACCACACAGAATTTGAAATAGTTGTCATAATTAACAAAGCATGGCTTGTTTTGAAGAGGAGAGTTTACCTGTAAGCTGCAATTTCAATATCCAGGGCCATCTTGACATTGAGCAGATCCTGGTACTCCCTCAGGTGACGGGCCATCTCACTCTTAGTGGTCCTCAATTCATTCTCCAGCTCTGCCATGCTGTCCTGAAGAAAAGAAAAGAAAAGCACATGTGAAAGAGTTTTAAGGATGTAACACACTCGTGTCTGTGACTCGGTTGTTGTATAGGACTCATCTCATGGCTCAAACAAAGAACCCCCTCAGTGCATTTGTTCACACGTGCATCGTCTGGATGTTGGAGTCTTTTATCTGCAAAATAGCTTAAAATCTTTCACCTAAATATATATTCTTTATAAAAACTGCCGAACTTCATTCAGGAGAGGTATAAAATGACTTATTTCGAGCATTCACACAAAGTGGGCGTTGTCAGTTGCAGCTGCTGAGCGCGCGCTCCCAGGGGAGAGAGTTTCAGCACCACGGACAGAGCCCCACAGCCCACAGCTGCTCCTGAATATCATCTAAAACTATAACATCCACTCTTAATAAGAATAAAGGCGACCAGTTTACTCATTGAAATGCAAATAAACATGTTTTGATGTTAAGAATAGGGATAGCCTGCTTGTTTTCTCTGATGATGTTACAGAATTACTTCTTACCTGATAGTTTCCGATCTCCGCGCTGTGCCTGTCCTCCATCTCCCGCAGCTGCTTTTCCAGAGACTCGTTGGTCCCCCTCAGACTCTCTATCTCGATGGTCTTGGACTGCAGCTGCCTCCTGAACTCGTTCATCTCCTCCCTGCTGGCGCGGATGGCCTCGTTACTCCGGGTGGCCTGCTCAGACAGGTCGGCGAACTTTGTCTTGTACCACTCCTCGGCGGATTGGAGGTTCTTAGACGCCATGGACTCGTACTGGCCTCGGATCTCTTTGAGAGCGGAGGTGAGATCCGGTTTGGCCACCTCCATCTCAACGGACACCTGGGCGGCCTGGATCATGTCCATCAGCTCGGCCACCTCCTCCTCGTGAACCTTCCTGAGGAAGTTGATCTCGTCCAGCAGAGATTCCACCTTCTTCTCCAGGTCCAGGCGCACCATGGTGGCATCATCCACATCTTTCTTAAAAGCCTTGAGGGCGGCCTCCGCATCCTCTCGGGCGTGAAACTCATCCTCATACTTTCCTCTGAGCTTCTGCAGGTCGTCTTCGATACCATCTCTCTCGATCATGAGCTGGGACTTCTCCCCGTTCAGCTCCTCCAGCTGGGAGCGGAGTTCACGGATCTCCTGCTGGTAAAGGTCGGCCAAGCGGGACGGTTCGGTCTGCCGCTGGCGCAGCGCGGTCAACTCGGTCTCCAGCACTTTGTTGTGCTGCTCCAAGTTGCGCACTTTCTCAATGAACATTGCAAAGCGGTCGTTGAGACCCTGCATTTGTTCTTTCTCATTGGTGCGAACGATTTTGTACTCATTGTTGAGGACGCTGCTCTGGCTGAGGTCGAAGGTCTCCAGCGGCATGGACGAGAAGGAGCGGCCGGACTTTCTGTTGTACGAGCCCATGGAGGCCACGGTGCTCCTGGAGCCAGAGGAGGACCGATAACCGCCCCGAGAAGACATGCTCATCCCACTACGGGATGGAGAGGATGCATAACGAGGAGAATCCCCGAAAATCTTCCGGTAGGAGGAAGAGGAGAAGACTTCAGATCCGTAACTCATGTTGGCTGGTGTGGAGACAGAGCAGCGCAGTGGGCGCGCCTTCTTTATATAGGGGGAGCGACCCAATCACTAATTAATGCCCGCTGGCAGCATCCGGACCCATGATCTCAAACTGCCCTGCCCAGAGTATTGGCGAGTAAAAATTAGTGATGTGTTACATAAATATAATTCTTGAGCACATTCATCCGTTTACAGTAAACTGAGATTAGGAGCGCAGTTTGACGCTCTTCTTTGTGTGGAATATATGGAGCTGCCCTTTTGGCGCAGTGCTTATGCGTCACTGTTTGATTGGCATTTGCTCTTAAACATAAAAAGTTACAGGAATAAAAATGTTCTTGCGATTTTGACATAAACCTGAGAATGAAACAAACTTCAGATTTTCAAAACTGAAAGAATGAGCAAAAACGAGGAGCTCCACCCGAGTAATAAGCAGCAGAAGTGCACAATGGCGATTATTAGGCAGCAGGATGACTGTGCACTAAACTTAAAAATGTTTTTTGTTGCTTTTTGCATCGTTTAAACTTCAGTAGTTCGCAACTTAACTGTTCTCCGAATTATGAAAGTTACCTCACCCATAATTTTACACGTCCTGTTCATCTGCATTTGTTCGAAGGATATGAGTGTCAAACTTTTGGATTTACCCACCTGCTGACAAAAACTTTGGATTTTTTCATGGAAGATATTTGAAGATTATATTTGTGGTGGCAGTGAAATGAAAGCCTTAATGCACCAGGTTTGCAACTAAAGTTCAAGTCTGGGGTCTGAGAAATAGATTTTAGAGGAGATAATGTTGTAGGTAACTGCAATAGAAAGTAATTCTCATAATGAATTGATATCAACTTGTCTTGTTTTGTTTGGTGTTTAATTTCTGTTTAACGTCTCTTGAAAACAGCTCCACACTAACTGGTCTCTGCTGCCCCCTGTTGGTTATATGCAGCACACAGCAAGAAAGCCAGTGCCATGGATACATCATAGAAATGATAAACAAATCCTGAGGAAGTTACGTGTGAGTAAATGACAACTTTGATGTTGAAGTGAATTGATGAAAATGAACAAATGAACTGACAAATAAGTTATACGTTTGTTTGTTTGTTTTTGGAGCAGGAGATAAAACACAGCATTATTCAGCTGCAGCACATGCACCTCAGTTTTCAGGGATACCATAGTGTATCTGATCCTTTCTGATCCTGCTGACCTGGGAAGATGCAGGTTTTATTATCAAACCTGAACCAAAGGGATGCCTCAAAGACAATCAAATGAGATATCACGTCGCAATAAAGAAAGCTGTTGTCCTGAGTCAAAAGTATTAGAGTCTTTGTCCAAAACTAAAGACACTGAGGAAAACTAGCCTTTGTTTTCCACTTGCAGGTACTGTTTGTTTAATTTGTTCATTTACTGATTAATTTTTTCTTTATGAGTCCCAATTTTAAGATAGGCATGAGTGTATATGATAAAGTTTTTGTTCTGCGAATACAATTTTGCAGGGAAATTCTGAAGACAAAATGAGATTTTGGGTTTGAAGTTAGACCTCCAGAAATGAAACAAGCCCTCTGCACTTTTTCCATATTTTCATCTGAATAGTTAACAGACTTGTGATCTTTGTTTGAATCCTTTATTTTTGGAATAATGAGGCCGGGAACGAAGAATTCAGTTTGGTTTTATCTGATTTCAGTTTCTTTTTGTCACACTGTGAACATGGAAGTTGACAGAAACTCCAGTAAGTATATACGTTCATACCCTATTAGTACTATGTCTGTGTGAAGGCCTATAAATCTTAAGTTACCTTTTAGGAGATTTATTTTAGAATCTGCAACAAGCTTTTAATTTTGGATACATTCGTATTTAGGTTGTGTTTTTTCTACTGAAAAAAAAATGGCTCAAGATATACAATATGTAAATCAGAAATAGGTGCACATCAGAGCTTTGACCTTCTTACTCATCAGTGTAGGCTAAAAAAAGTTTCATTTCACTATAAAGAAAAGATAAGCAGTGACGAATGCAAATAGATTTCATACAACTTTCTTTACAGTCTTTTATAGCCTCATTAATCATCTCACAGCCCCCTCAGATAAATCTGAGTTTCAAAGTTTCTTGTTCAAGTTTGACCTGCCTTTTCTTACTGAATGATGTATTTTAGGGAACTTGATCACAGTTTCAGTGGATGTGTGCAAAATGGTGTCAACTCAGGAAGACTTCTGTTAACATTAACTAAAGTTAAAACCAAGACATACGGCGAGGCATCTTTTTATTACTATGGCCCCTGTCTATGGAACAGCTCACCTGAAGACCTGAGGACTGCACCTAATCTTAATGATTTTATAAGCAAACTGAAAACATACCTTTTAGTCTTGCTTTTAACTAAATTTTATATCATCAACTTGAAGTGTTTTAGCATTTATCTCTTCTAGTTTTAATCACAGGATCGTCTTTTACTGAGCTATTTTGGTGCTCATACTTTAGTATCTTTCACTGTGTTTTTATTTCATTTTATTTATTATTTCTCAAATTTCATTCTATGTTTCTTTGTTTTTAGATTTTAACTTAAACCTCCAGTGTTTCCTTATATTGAGTTTTGAAATGACGTTTCCTCAGTGCGAACACTTTTGTTTCTACAAACTCAAGCCCTTTTTAAGTTTATGCATTTTAATACTGTTTCTGTTGCATTTAGATCATGGGGTGGGAATGAGGGGTTGGGCTGGGGTTGATTTGGGTATTGTTTTAATTTTGGGTTGGGGTAGATTTGGGTATCCTTTGTTTCTTTTATTCCTTTTTCTGTGTAAAGCACTTTATGCTACATGTTGTGTATGAAAAGTGCTAAATAAATAAAGACTGATTGATTGATTGAACTCTATAAAGGTATTTTAGTTTGAGTGGGTTATCAAAGTGTTCTCCACAGTATTAAGGCGCTGTAAGGAAAATGAATCATTATTTTAGAATAAAAAGGGTATATTTTGTCTGTTTTATTCTTCTTTAAACTTTCTTAAACTTTATTACTTTATGAAACAGTAGAAGATAATAACCCTAGGAAGAGATAGATAGATAGATAGATAGATAGATAGATAGATAGATAGATAGATAGATAGATAGATAGATACTTTATTAATTCAAATTCAAAGTTAATTCAAAGTCAATTCAGTTAGTGCATGTCTTGTTGTAACTCAAGGTGGATCCAAGATAATCAAAGCAAATTTTAAAAAAAATCAAATAGTACCCAATTTACACATTATTTCAAACAAACCAGAAACCAGAGCACAGGAGAGCTGTTTAAAAAGACAAAGAAATAAATAATAGGAGATGAATTAATAATAATAGGATAAAAGATGGCATGAAAAAGTGAGATAGAAATCAGCCAATTCACCGGAAAAGAAGTTACAAAGTTAAAAACGTGTTTTGAAAAAGTTTATTAAATGTCTCTTTAGGAAAAAAATCACATGTAAATCATCCAACATTGTAAATTTTCGATTATTTTGACTGTCGAGGTTTTTCACGGTTTATATTCTTGCATTTTTCTACATCCTGCCTCTTTTTCACGTTTTCTTCTAGGTGTGCAGGAAGATGCAGAATCTGAGGTGTCACGTGTTTGTGCCACGACGACGATTAGCCCCGCCTCCTTTTGATAGACATCCGCAGACCCCGCCTCCTACCGTCTCATAACAACAGCTGGCAGTAGAAAGAGAGAGATAGCAAAGAGCAGGCAGAGCAGGAACAATCATCTGCAGAGTAGCTGTACAGTGTAGACATCACCGCTTTTGCTGCTGCTTTCTGTAAGAAAACACACCAGCGACTTCTCCGAGTTTCACACGGCTCAAGGCGCATGCTCAGACTAACTGACAGTGCAGTTATTTGATTCAGGAACTGAGAGGTGAGTACAGTAAGGACTGTCAGAAAATGCAGAAAAAATATGTCCTGGTAGGACTTTGGGGCTTTTGTTGTTGTGTCAAAGCCAGCTAACGCGTTAGCCCCACTCGGACCACTAATAAACGCCGTTTTTATGAACGTTAAATGAAGAATCTTTACGTTGGGAGCAGTTTGAGAGGAGCTAGCTTCTATCTTTACGCAAATAACAGTGTGTTGGTTGTGCATTAACCCTGCAGACATCGATTTTCGCAGTCATTGGCTTGTAGAGATACTTTAAACAAGAACCCTAGCTTATTTCTCGGTGTGCACAGTTGTTTTCGTGGGAAAGCCAGGAATATTTTACAGTTTTTACGGCATAAACGGCACCCAAAGCTGAGTGACATCTAGTGTTACGTGCGACTCTGTATTGCTGAACATCGACCCCCCTCTCTCAGGACTAACCTGAGGCAACAAAGCCAGACCCAACTTATCTTTAGCCTTCTTCCTCTGGCTGTGTGCAGTGCAGTTGTGCAGCTTTACTGACTGCTTGGTGTGAGGCTTTCGGAACCAGAGCTTCCCGCAGAACCCGCAGGACCCATTACTATGTAGCCTCTGAGACAGACGTGTGGTTTGGTGTTATTACAGGTTTATTTGACGATGCTTCAAATATTCGGGAGAACAGAGTCCCATTCTGTTCTCAGTATAGCACTAGAGTGACTGGAGCTCTGCTGTAAGTCTCTCCCATTAAGCTGTTGAGTCAACACTGATGACAATGTTTTGATACTCTGCTGCAAACTCAGTTACCCTGTTGACAGGTCTCCTCTTCCCCGTATCTGACTCTCATTTGCATTTCTGCTGGCAACAAGAAGAAGAAGAAAGCTGACCCCCTGCTTTTCCTTCCTGCAGCACAGCCTCTTTCTCCACTCCAGTGTCAGCAGCACAGAAGGAAAAGGGGAAAAAAAACCAGACAACTCAGACCATTTAACAGAAAAGGCCAAGACTAGGCTTAAAGCCAGCTACTTCTCAGAGCGTTTACATATTGATCTTTTTCATCTTTGCACCCATTTTGTTGGTCTTAGCGTGAATAACCTTCTGCATCAACAAAACAGGGATTTGATTTCATGTCAACAAAAATAACTGATGCAAAATTGTCTCACTTATCAGGTTAAATCTGACTTGGTGAAGACTATATGATCTTTGCTAGGCCAAACTAACACAACTCATGATAACTGAACTCTAGTGATCTGACCTCTTTGTGTGTTTATCCTGCCTTGTCTTCTGCTCAGTTTGGGGCACCACGGGAAAGTCGCTCATTGATTTATTGATGATGATTAAACTGTTGTTGTTGTGACCTACTGATCAGTATTTAGCTCATGTCCTCACTGTCACTGCACAAACTTAACCAAATAGTTATAACTAAATAAAGTCTGGTCATATTTTGTTGTTCCTGCTGACAGGAGAGTCACAACTGAAACTGGTCTTAAAACCAACAACATTACCCCAACAAGCTGTTATAACTGGATTGAAATGCTTTATCTCTTCTCTTTGGCCCCCTCGTAATCTCTCTCTTTCTCTTTCTCTCTCTCTCTCTTCACAGACTCTGAAAGGTTTTAAAAATGACTACTTCCTGGAGCGACAGACTGCAGAACTATGCAGACATGCCTGCCAACATGGACGGCCTGGCAATGAAGAAATACAGAAGGGAAGCATACCACAGGTAAGAAACACACATGGAGGTACTGCACGCATTTCTGTTCATCTGTAACTGCTTCCAGATGGGATACTTGAGCCTTTTAAGATGTAAACTGAGAAGCCAGACAAAAAAAAAACACCCCCCTGTTGTTCTGTGAACATCATTTACTCTGAAATTCAACTGCTGATATACTACAAATACTCTAACTTTGAAAGTTTGTTGGAGTTGTTTCAAAGACTTTTCCTACAAAGGGTGGTGTTGCATAAATTTCTTTGTCATGTCCATGTAATGTATTGAACGCTGAGTCAGCTGCAGGAGCGGCAAGGATAGTTTTTAGAAAGATAAGGACACTGAACAACATGGAGGTATCATCTAAAACTTCAACAAGTGAATCACATTCCTAACTTTAAAATGCTGGAATTCATGTCAAATTAAGATTAGTTTTATTAAAGGTCAAAATTAGCTAAAGTGATATAAATAGTTGACCTTTTCATGCAGCTTGATGTGTTTTCCATCCCATTTCCATTTCCTCTCATTGGTTGATGAATAGCTATCAGTAACATTACTCAGACAGATAAGAGATTAAAGGCTGCTGACTTTATATGGTCTTTAATGGCCGCATGGCCCTGCATGGCCTCCCCAATTATCAGTAACACAGTTCTGAGAATGAAGGGAAAGAGGAAGAGGGTTCTTATATTTTCACTCCCATCAATTTATGCCTGGATAAATCACCAAAGATATATTTGCCTCCTGTCACTGTAACTTCACTTCATGAGAAATGATATCTGCTTTCTTTGAATCAGAAATCATTCACACAGGGTTTCCCCAGAAATGCTGTTGAGAGCTGAACAACAGAAGCTTTTTTGTGAACACTGACATGACCCATGTCCTCATATTGATTATGGGACTTCTTTGCTCAGCTGAACTTTTAAGTTTGCGACGTAATTGACATTTTGAAAGAGTGAAATGTTGTCGAGCGACCTTATAACTTGAGATAGTTATGTGGTTGGTTGTAAGGTGTGAGTGGACAGTTGTATCATTGTTTCTCAGTATTTATGAGTCAGTCTGTCATCACAGGAGCTCTAATTTAAAGACAAGGATCTCAATAATGACTGATTATTAGGTTGTTGGGTTATGTTTAAATGTTTTTAATGATTTCTTATATATGTCTACTGCCTCGCTTCTCAAACTTTGTGTCATTGAATTTAGCAGAACCATGACTGGGTTTTGTCATGATCACAAACCTATGTGATCTTGACCTGAGATCAAAAGCAGGCTTTGCTGCCTCAGATTGAACTTACACTCCTCTGTGTTGGGCGGGGTTTTCAGACTGTTATGAAAAATTCCACCCTGCCTCATGGCAAAATGTCACCAGGCTGTTGAGGTCATGGGAGTGGGTGCTTGAATCCAAAGCTTGTTGTTAACTTGAAAGGCCAATGAGGCTCTTCACGTTAACCCAATATCAGTTTAACTTTGTTAGTTGTTTGTCAAGCAGCACAACAGAGGAATCTTGTTGTAGTTGCTGTCATTGTTTCTGCAACTTATGACTGGAAACATCCTGCAGTTATACTGGGAGTAAAGCTTTATGGGATTTTTCTCCCTTGTTAAAGCAGTAAAACGTGTGTAGCTGTTTAATGTTTAACTCAGCCTAAGACATGCATGTCCACTGGGCACTGCTGTTCTTTCACACCATTATGTAATATGGAATGCTCACAGCGTTTATGGAACTGTCTCTCATCTGTCAGCTGTGTGTGCTGTGCTGACACAAGTCATCCGGGCCATGATCTCCTCTACCTCCCCCACCCTCCCCGGACAGATAAATGCCATTACTTGTATGTGCAAAGTGCAAAAAGATACAAAGATGTTGCACAACTCACTCAAAGCAATACTTTTGTTTGATCAAATGCGACACGTGCTGTAATTTTTTAATGAAGGAGACATTAAAGGGGACTTTTTGTTTGTCTCCCCGGAAGACAAAAGGACTCTTCCTTCTAAGTAGAAGCTCAGCCCGAGCAATGCAGCCTGATAGTGAGCTTTGTCTCACATAGCAGAGGGCTTACGACTCTGCCCGGCACAGATAAACTTTCTATCACAGAGAGTCAAATCACTGTCTTCACGAGATTAGAGAGCAGTGGAAAAAATCTGTCCGACCGCGGCTCAGCTGTGCTCAGATAAGGTAAAAATTGTGAAGGGATCCTAATGTAGGTGTGGTGCGGCCCATGAGGACTGTTTGAAGCAGTAGTGCTGTCAGCAGGACCAAAGTCGAGGCTGACTCAAGTAAACAAGTCATCCCCAACCCCCCTACCCATTGTCAATACTGTTGATTTGGGAGAGGCATGATCTTCCCTCTTATCATTTGTAGTTGGCTTTTACTGCCCCCCTCCACAGGGACTGGGCAGTAGATCACATGGAAAATGAAAGCAGCACAACAAAACACAAAAGGTTTAGATTTTAATCCTGTGCTGGGAAAAGCTCAGCTTCAACCTGCTTTACTGACAATGAAGTAGCACTTTTGTTTTCATCGCCTTAGACAACTTTGGGAACTGAATTAGGACATGGTTATCTGCATTTCATAAGCAACTGAATACATACATCAATTAGTATGACTGCATACTAAATATTGATATTTATATGCCGTTGAACTCATACTTTTGAAATAAGTAGAATTTGAGTTTGACAAATATAAAAACTTTTAGAAAATGTCACTTTTTGGTTTTGAGGTTCATCATTTCAGCTTTTCTGGGATCAATTGACCTGAATTTTGAGATTCTTATTCGCCCATGATTGATTGTTTGTTCCCACTTATCTGAGTATTATAAAATCTTCTGTTTCACATAAGTTGTCCAATTTATTCCCCCTAAATTAAACCAATTCAAGCAATCTCACTTGAGCATATGTGTCTAAGTATACACCCTATTCTTCCTCTGATAAATTTAAACATCACTATTATGAAGCCAACACCACTTTTTTAAAATTTACAAGTGGTTACATTTTGCAATGACAGCTCCATTAGGTCCGCCCGGTATTATTAAATTGCAAACTGAAAAGTTGCTTCAAAAACAGGAAGTGTTTACATCGCACAGATCTCAGTACGACAAGCAGCTGTTGCCCCAATGTCGGGGCTTGCTTGATTCTACCTGACTTGTGATTGTTCTGGATGTCTTTGAGGGCCTGCAAACATCATGCTGCACAACAACAACCCTGACTGACAGCACACAACAACAGAGAATGACGCGGAATGGCCACAATCATTTTTGCAACAAGTCAGAAAATGTCTGAATGGCAAGAAAGCAAAGAGAGAGAGGGGTGGGGGCATTGTTTGTGGGCCAGAGCTGTCCTGTGCCGCTGGGGCAGCTCACAGTCAAACTGTGGTTTAATTTCGCACAGAATGCATCGCCAGTCGTCTGCTGGACTAAGATCTAAATGGGAACTTGTTCACTATGGATCTGCAGCCAGGTAATTTACAGCTGATTAAGATATTTGTGAGGATGTCGAGGTCATTGTCACAGATTACTTACCGGATTAGCTGACAGAGCGGGGTTTGTGTATCAGATTGTTTTGCTGGTTGTGACAGACATACAGCCGTTTAGTTTTTTGTCTACGGTGTCATTTTCTTTCTCCTGATTTACATCTTTCTACATCATGATAAATATTGACTTATGTGGAAATGTCCAGGAGCACAGCTACATGTCGAGTTCAGTCACTGATGTTGGAGATAAGCTGTGTGAGTCTGTGCCAACAGGCACAGTTAAGCTTGCAGTGTGTCTGTCTGCTCTGTGAGGCTGAGGCTGTGTCAACCAGACTATGTAAACACCGTCTATCACTGTGGGCACCATGGACCCCCGATCCGCGGACTGATTTATGAGTCAGCTAGGTTTTATTTGCCCCTAGGTTTGGAGCTTTTGTTTTATTTCCTGTGGTTTTAACAACCGCTCTGTTGAAAACTTGTGGTCTTCCTTAAAAACTCTGAGTTCTTTTAGAAAACTTAGATTTCAGTGACACAGCAGTGTGAAATCACAAGGTTAGAGTCAAAAACCTGCTCTTTGGAGGGGGTTTCCAGAAAAGAAGAAAGAATAATATAACAAGATATATGATACAATATGTTATATGATATCTGATTGTTTTTTAATGTTCCCCCATTTGTCAGATCATAAATATCACGACCAATGATCTCAGCTGCTGTCTTTATGATTTTCACCTCTTTGAACAAGATTTGTTGGTAACAGAGAAAAGCCGCCCCAACTGCAAATTATCTCTAAACAAGACAGCAAGAAGAAAAGTTTATCTAAACTTTACTCATAACTTCAACAACAGTAATCAAGCTCTCATCAAATTCAGGGTAGAATAGTCCTCATGACACATTGTTTTAAGTATGTCAGTCTATACAGTCAGAGAAACCCGTGCTAATCATGTTTCCTTTGACTATTTGTTTATGATTGTTAATCGCATTGTCTGATAATGTGTGAACTAAAACCTCTTCCTCTACTTGTTGTCTCCAGAGTGTTTGTCAACAGAAGCTTGGCCATGGAGAAGATTAAGTGCTTTGGCTTTGATATGGATTACACTTTAGCAGGTAAGCTGCACACACATTAATCTAATTTAGCACCTCCAGCTCTGCAGCGAAACAGTCTCTCTGTCAGTCACTTGATCTTTTCATTGAAACTAAGACGTGTTTGTTGCTTACAGTCTTTTGCAACATTCGTGTGAGGATCTAAATCTTCTCATTAACTTCTTAACATTCATATTGGGTCTTTTGGGGGTCCTGATAGCAGCCTGAGTACATGAATGAATATTGAAGATAACTGTAGCACCAAAATAACAAATTGTTATAACTACTTTAAAATGGACTGTACCTGTGTATGGTCCAAGTTGGCGAGAGATTCAGTTACATTGAGTACATTAGTAATCTATCCAAACAACACCTTTGTATGTACACTTACTGTATGTTTTTTTGGTTCGTCAACCACACAGTCTAAAAAACAAATCTCTAACTGCAAACTTAAACCCTTTGAAAACAACATGTAAAGTGTAGCTCTCTACAGCATGGACTACAGAGATGCTACTGACCTGTAAGTAGGGCAAAGACACTCTTATTTTCTTGCCACTTTGCTCTGTGACTAAGCTCCAGTTTTTGGTGCCCCTAACTATAAATACACAATCCCTGACTTTGAAAAGAGGTCGGGTTTGTTTGTTGATTTTATCAGTGATGGCTCCTTTGAGGCTGGGGATCACTGGTAGTCCCTGTCTGTCTCTGTACCCCCCATCCCTCTTCATAGTTCATGGGATTTTACAGCCAGTCAGCTGTTGACATGATTCTCTTTATGGGAGCACATAACCAAGTGCTAATGTTTGCTAGAGGCATGGGTATCAAGTATCTCTTGGAGGGTGTTCAGCTTTTAACCACAGGCAGACAGACTTCGTCAACCCCAGCAGTGTCACAGAAAGGTTGCTGCTTAACCACAGCACTCTGGCCTGCTGCACTGTTTGTTTTTAGAGGGTGTTAGAGGCAGTTCAGATGTGCCAAGCGTTTAAATTGTATGGTTTCTAAGTTTGACTTTGGATTTTAAAATCATGCCAGAAATATTATGCCAAATATGAGGAAGGTTATACAACATTTAAGCAAACACAGGGACTTGTTTCTACAAAAAAGTGCTCCAAAGTTTGGATTTTATCGGTAGATAAGATATGTCACAGACAGGATTCATTGTCTGCTTTTTGTCGACTCCCTATTCAAAGTTGATCTCTACCACCTTCCTCAGCCAGTCAGAAAAAGAGCAGCTGTGGGTAATGAGCTTGAGACTCACTGAGAAAAGAACATTTTTATTTTCTTGATAGTGCCACAGTGGATTTAATACACTTCCGCACAATCCTGCCCTAGCTGGATTTTGTGTTAATCCAGTGAAAGCTCTACTTCATCCGGCTTGCTATGGCTTCTCTCAGAGGCAAGAAATGGAGAGAGCTATGAAACTGGGTCGATTGAAGGTCCAACCTGTGCTCTGTTGCCTCAGGGGCTACGCACCACCAGCCAAAAACCACACAGTGAAATGAGCAAAATTATAAGATTTATAAACAGTTTTACTCCAAACCAAATTATACTGAGTAATAACCTGTTAAGATATCAGGGCTAAATAAACAACAATAAGGTTTAAAGTTCATGATAAAATCAGCTGGGAGTAGTTAATCTACTTTATTGGGGTTTTGTAGGTGTGTGTCGTAGTTTGATTAGACGTGACTTACAATAGGAGATACTTGAACTCTGAAGGTTCATGACGTCACCTTCTCTGACAGCGATGAGCTCCACCTGATTCAGTCTATGCAGCTCACAGTACTGCTGTTTTATAAAACACTTTATACACACTTCATCGTACAGATGCATGACGAGATTAAGAGCTGCCCAGTCGATGCATAGATAGTTAAAATAAAGCAAAACAGACGAGGTAATATAAATTACATATACGCAAAACAAACACAAATAGTGCAAATCAAATGAATGTATTTAAATCATGCACATTCTGGTTGTGTTGTCAAACACACAAAAACTAACATAACTATGAATTTTGCAAACATATTTGCATGCTTTTGTTTGCTGCCCTTTAGATCATAAGAGGTGAAGCTTAACTTTGGCGTCCGAACGCAGTTCTCATTAAAGCGCTGACCTTTACTCATCACCCAAACACTTGACAGAAGATCAGGCTCTGTAACTTCAAATGAGCCATTTGAACTTACCTTTGTCGACTATCATATCTCTTATTTGGAAATGTTTTGTAATTTTTCTAACTTCAGATAACATTTCCTCATCTTGTCTTCTTTGGTCCAAAAGGGAACATGTGATAACCTGCAGAAAATGTTACTCAAGCACACATTAAGGCCCAGATTGCATTGAGAGATATATCCACTTTTGTCCTAGTTTTCCACCAGACTTTTGGCTGGAATGTGGGCCCTCGAGGCTGCGGGTAAAGTCTCTCATTTTTCCACAATATGCTCGATAATGTCATGAATCTGTGACAAAAGCCCACAATAGCATATTAGTGACTACATGTGAATGAAAATAGACTGACATGGTTCAGATAAAGTCCTCGTGTGGGAGAATGTCATGTGATTTGGTCTTGGTGGTTAATTTGTAAAAGAGTGCACGTGTTGTTTATCTTGTGTTAGGAGTGTATGTTACATGTAGGCCTGAGGTCGCCTTTGCCTATGAACTGAGGAGACACACATACACACTGACACACACACACACTGACACATACTCAACAGCAATTGGTCCAACAGGAGTATAATTAGCTGACAACAATCTCATCATAGATCCAGAGTAACAGATACTCGAGGCGAAGGCCGCTTCTCCCCTCTGGCCTGTTGTGTGTAAATGCATTCATGTTCATACTGACAGTGTGAGAAATAGCAGACGGGGGGGAACATGGTACCCACGTTCCACAAGCAGAAAATACAAGAGAGTCAAGGACGCTCGAGGAGACAATAACACAACTTCAGGGCTGCACACAAGTGCTGCAAACATGAAGTTTTAATAACCTCTTTTTTGTAACGGATGTATCATGCAACTTCCCACCAATGTGGCTTTCATGGAAGAAGTTCTCCAAAAACAACCATACGGGCTGCTTCTCGAGGCTTCAGACACGTGAAATAGTGACAGGCGTCTTGAATTACGCGTGACAAGGATACCATGTAGGCCCTGAGTGTCACGTGTCGGCTTGTTGTTGAAGTTGTCCCAAAGTAAAAACACTTTGAAAAGAGACTTGACAAAAGAGAAGTTCAGTGATTTTGAGTGCTGGTAAGTCTTTTAAGCCTAACAAGAGAGGTTCACTGTGTTTTTCTCTGTGGACTCTTCCGCCTGATCTGAGGGGGCGGGGCTAAATCAAAACAAGCAGCAGAAGTTGTACCTTTTGTCTTATCAGTGCTCTCGTTCTGTTCTTGTTTGAGCAGCACTTTCTGTTAAAAAGTCTTATTCTTGTTTGTTTTAACAGTCATCACCCCCCAAAACAACCTTGCTCTGGTGGAATGGCTGTTATTCCTGTGTGCAGTTAAAAACCTTGTCTTACATCGACTCTGTGGCAGCAGTAACAAAAACTCTTCCTGGCTTTTGGCCTGTCAATATACTGTGTCTTCAGTTTAGTGCAGTAGTAAATGTCTTTCCTGAACCATGAGATGGCTTTATTTTTAAGCCGTGTGGGTGTACCACACTGCTCTCCTTGGGTTAACACGTGGACAAAGACGCCCATAGAAGTAAGAAAGAGAGAGTGATGACAGTAAAGGTGAAAGAGGATGGCAAATGAGGGAAAAAGGAGGAAGAAGAGGCAGGATGAATGAGAGGAAAGGCAATTTAGTTGGTGAGGCTGCTGCTCTGGGCAGAGCGCCCAATCTGCGAGTTTACTTGGAGACCACGACGGGGGGAGCTGTGGGAAGTTACGTGATGGTAATTCAGAAACAGGCTTTGGCTTACAGAGTAGGGGTGTCAACAAAAGGACTAAGCTTTCCCGAACCCGAGATTTTTGTGTGGCTCAGTGTGGTCTCATTATGCTTCTGTGTGAAACCCGACGTTAGATTCACCCTTTACTTTTGCAGAGTAGGACACAGATGTTTTCCTGTTTGTCCTCCAGTGCTGACCCCAGCTATCTGTCCTTTATACAAACATCATCAGCCAATATTTCTTCCCCTCCTGGGACCTTGAACCCCCCCACTGCGAGTGTAGAAAGCAGGCGACAACACAAGCGCATTCTCTGTTTTGTATTTATAACATCTGACATATTTTTTTCCCCAGTGTCAGATAGCATTTTAATCCTCTGCCAGCCTTTTCTTAGCCCAGCATCAGTCTGTGTTTTTATTTTCAGAGCCCCCTCATTGGTTTAGGTTTAGCTCAGGGCTAAATATCTGACAGTGACAGGGTGGGGGCTCATGGGTCTTTGCTGGGGCTCAGTAGACCTGCTGCTGAAAGTTGAGTGATTTCTCATTCCCCATGCCTGATCCTGTTCCTGGGTGGATTTGTGTTTGGAACATTAGGGACCTTGTTGACGGCAAGGAGAGAGAAGGGCAGTGGGTTTGGGTGGGGGTGGGCATATTGTTATCAAGATAGTGAAACATCACAGCAGATTATCAAGCGGATGAGGTAACCTTAGGAAAGTCACACATGTGCGTTGCATAACATGAGCAGACTCTCCTGACTGCATGTCACCTCTGATGTTTGCTTTATAATCACGGCTTCACCCACAGGTCAGCCTCCTAAACTGTATACAAACTAGTGTTTATGTAAATGCTGCATGCATGCAGTCCATGTGTTGCACCAGCCCTGCTGTCAGTCTGATACTGACTTTCTAGAGGGTGAAGTTAGTCTTTGACAGGATGAGATAATGTCTCCTTGTGGGCTTGTTTCGTTTAACGGAAATTATTCTCAGATCTGTTCCAAAGCCTGTGCACACCTTATTTCTTGTATTGACATTATTTTATAGTTTTTTTTTAATTATAAAACTGTTTTATAATACTGTTTGTAAAAGTCTGAATTTCTGGTCTCATGTAAAACCCAGTGATCAACAGTTATCAGCTGCATACACTAGAGGTGGGAGAAAAAAATTAATACAGCATAGTATCGCGATATTCTGTCTGGTGATATATCGTGTCGTCTCATTTACCAAGTATGGTTTTGTCAAATTAATTGCGAATATGAAGTCAAATCTATGATAATGGAAAAATAAAATCAACTGTTTTTCCAGAGAGGTTGGCAGAGGTGACATCGTAAAACAGGAGAAAGTTAGTACAACAAATATGTAGATAAGCTTTGCAAGATGTGCTATATGAAAATAAAATACAGTTTAAATAAGACAAACATAAAGGAAAGACAAATGCTAAACAGTTGAAAAAAATGTATAAATCGTAACATATTGTATCACAATACTCACTGTATTGCAAAATGTTAAAAATCGCAATAATATCGTATCGTGGCCCAAGTATCGTGATAATATCGTATCGTGATTCCCACCCCTAACATACACTGGAAAGGTACAAATGTGATTCTGCCTACATTGTGGTTTCTGCATAACTGTAATTTTAAGACACCATCCAAATGTTTGTTTCGTTCCAGTGTACAAGTCTCCAGAATACGAGTCACTGGGGTTTGAGCTCACGGTGGAGCGGCTGGTTTCCATCGGTTACCCCCAGGAGCTGCTCAGCTTTGTTTATGACCCATCATTTCCCACAAGGTGAGAGCAAACCACAACCAGCCATTCACACATGATGATAATGAGGGAGATGATGTTGACGGCTGTCAGGATAATGCCCAGCTGATGCTTCCATTACCTCATCTGTCATATCTTCATCTCCTCTCTGAGGTTACTCGAAGGATGTGAGACAAGGGAAAAACTGCCGTAATCATATCACATATATATCCAATAAAAATCTGTTTCACACTGTTATTTAGATTTACATTTAATTTCTTCTTACTTTCAGAGGCCTTGTCTTCGATACCATGTACGGAAACCTGCTGAAGGTTGACGCTTATGGTAATATCCTAGTGTGTGTCCATGGGTTCAACTTCCTCCGAGGGTAAGTGATTGTAACATTCCCCCTCATACACACAAGGCTCCAGCCTTTACAGTGGATTTTCAGTTTTACTCCAAATCAACTTTTGTTCGGTTTTTATATGAAAAGTGAGGAAAATAAAACATGAAAAGTGCAGACTCAATTTAGTATTTTTCTCTTTTCCCAGCCCTGAGATCCGTGAACGGTACCCAAACAAGTTCATCCAGAGGGATGACACAGAGCGCTTTTATATCCTTAACACACTCTTCAACCTGCCAGGTAAGGTCTGGAGACTGAGGGTATTGACGTGGGACTGTGAAAGAGAAATTTAATGAGCAAGGACAAAGGCTTATCCTAGTTGAAATCTGCAGAAGCGACGGCCTCTCCTCATTATTCTGTCTTCTCCACAGAGACCTACCTCTTTGCCTGCCTGGTGGATTTCTTCTCCAACTGTGACAGATACACAAGGTAGGCAACTGTTGGTACCACTTTCTATCATGCAACAAGTTTCTGGGCACCTCATGGTGACACAAAGACAAATGCGAGCCAAACTGGGTCAAGAGGAAGCCCTACAGCATGGGAGGGTCCAGGTGTCTCAATGCTAATCCAAGCTAATTGTTTAAAAATCAAAATCAAATGGAAGCTCTGTCAAAAAAATCAAACTTATTCTATAACAATGATTAATTAATCTCCCTACTAATTGTAGAGAAGCATGGATTCTCATCAGAGTGAGATAGGAATGAAACTTGTCCTCACTAATTATTGACAAAGAATAAAACTTGATGAAACTACGGGATAATCGTAAAAATGTCAGTGTAAAGAAGAGATACGAGGGCCTGTAAATTTGTTGAGGATGTAATCTGGAATGGCTGCATGTCCTTTGTCCTCTGAAACCTGGTTGTTGGTCTTTTAGGGGGAGAATGCTTTCCTGTTTGGCTGGGGACCCCTCCAACAAGGGAAGGCTATCCCATTTAAAAGCAAACAAAAAACAAATGTCATGCTTTTGAAAGACTTCTGTAAAAATGTGGCCTCTCCGACGGCTCTGTACGCGTGTGTGTCTGCTCCTCTCCTTAGCTGTGAAACCGGCTTCAAGAACGGCGATCTCTTCATGTCCTACAAGAGCATGTTCCAAGACGTCCGTGACGCAGTTGACTGGATCCACTTCAAGGTAAGACACCTTAGATAGTAGAGCTGGGATGATATGCTTATCTCCCGATTCGATTCTTCTACGATTTTTTTTGGATGCCGATTCAATTTAAATTGCGATTCTACAATATTCTACGATATTCTACGATATTCTACGATATTCTCGATTTTCTTGATTTTTAGTCTGCATTTTTAACACCAGTGAAACAGTTGAAGGATTGTGATTGTCTACTGACTATTCCGGTAATCATATTTCCCTTAAAAATACACATCACATGTAAGTCAGTTTTTAAGATTTACTCTTAAATTTGAAAAAAAAAAGATTTTTGAACATAAAAATTTATTTAAAATTGCAAAACAAAAAATTGCGATACTATGTGAATCCATTTTTTCTTCTACCCCTATTAGATAGCTGTCTACGCTTTTTACTTACTGATTCACACTTTTATAAACTTTTATATACGTACGCTATCTGTTTCCATGGTGACAATCAATCTTGCAAAACAGATATCACTGTTTTTTATTACTACTGATACATGACAAAGTTGGATTTTTACTGTCTTGTTAAACCCTGTGTTTATTGTCCCATAATATTTTGGTCTTTACATGAGAAAAAGAAATACAACTAAGTCCCTCCTTTTAAAGGCAATGTCAGATTTAAAACTTACGTTTTTACAAGAGCTTTAAAAAAACTCCCATCTACGAAGAAATTCACCAAAAATCAGAACTCTTAGTCATCTTGTCAAAGAGTGTCAAAAGTGCAAGTCTTTTTCTTTAGGAACCATGATCATTTTGAAATCTATCCAACATCAACCTGTCAAGGGGAAAACTATCCAGATGGCGGCCATAGACAGAGGGTCAGAGAGTCATCCAAGCCATAAATAGTCGTCCTGTGGGGCTATTAGTATCCAAGATACTCAGAAGAGAACTGTGCAAGGAAAGCAGCCAAAACATCTGTGCTGGAGCAGAAATGCTGTCAGGATGTTCTGCTGGTCTAGTGGTTGTGCTGAGAGTCAAACATTCCCAGTTTCATTCTGAACATTTGCAAAGCATCAAGAAATGTCATCATTAAGTATACAATTAACAAAGAACCGTGTTGAATATGTATGTATAAATATATATTGTATTAGATATTTGGGTATTTGCCTTTATCAGATAGAACAGCTGAAGTGAGACAGGAAATGTAGGGAGCAAAGAGCAAAGGAAGACATGCAGCAAAGGGTCACGGCTGGGAGCCAGAGACTCCTGGGACCAGGACCACAGTCCCTTACACGTCACAACTGCAAGGCCTTTGGTGTCCCAGTAAATGTGTATTTACAGAGAAATACTGTAGCTTTGAGGAAATAAGGAAGAGAGTGACAGCTGTAAGCAACGAAAGCCCCAGTGGGTAACATCAAAGATTTGATTTGAAAAATGGATAATTGCAAGAACTGTGAGATATGAATGTCTTACCTGTGAGTATGTAAAAAACTCAACCTGTCAGAGTGAACTTACACATAACATGTTAATCACTGTGCCTCTGTACAGCATCATCCGGCGTCTCTCTGTGTGGGCGGTTCTCTCTTGCCCTTTCTCCCCACCACTACATACCACTATTTCACTTGTGTTATTGATCAGCTGTCAGCGCCTCTGTCCTTAACTGACTAGGACATGCAGTTTCAGCGACAATGGTTGGCGTTCATCTTTGGCGTGTCATTCGCAGGGATGGGCTCAGCAGAGGGAGAGACAGCAGTTTTGTTTCCACTGGAATATTTATGTCGCATATTGCCACTTTAATGTGCTCTGTATGGAGACTTGTGAAAAAAAGGAGCTGTATTGATCGATGATCTGTACAATTTGTTTGCAACTCACGCAGAGTTGGGTTTTAAGCTTCTTCCATTGAGGTGAAAATATGCGAGTCCTGTGATTCTATTACTGCTGTCTCACTAACAGAGAAATCACAAGTCCTCACACGCTCTGTGTGGGTTGTCACTGACGACTGTCACTAAACTGTTACCAAATAAAACAAGTACTATTTATATTTTCAACTCGAGAAGGTGTTATTTGTACAGGCTGTAATTTCATTCGGATATGTGCTTCCAGTGTCCGTCTGATTACTGTGTTTTATGTCTCAGGGTACTCTGAAGGAGAAGACAGTGGAGAACCTGGAGAAGTATGTAGTTAGAGATGTAAGTACTCTGTGTTCATTGCTACAAATGTACTGCATTGAAGACCACACACACATCTATCCACATGAACAAACTTTGAATCACACACTATTGCTTTGCTCTGTGAAGAGGTGGGTTTGTAAAGATGCTGAGAGCAGCAGTCTTATTCTTCCCTTTTTTTCCCCCTCCGGTTCCCACCAGGGGAAGCTGCCTCTTCTTCTCAGCCGAATGAATGAAGTTGCCAAGGTTTTCTTGGCAACCAACAGCGACTACAAATACACTGATGTGAGTACAGACTGCAGTAATGGTAGAGGCTTCGCTTCTCAGGGGAAAACAGTAATAAGGGCATTAAGACATTGTGTTTCGTAGATTGGAGTCTGTGTTTAAAACACTAACATGAATGTATCACCTCCAAACATGGCTGCACTTTGTTGAACTGTACATTGGTGTGTTCCTACAGAAAATCATGACCTACCTGTTTGACTTCCCACATGGCCCTAAGGTAAATCCACGTGTCTTTTCCCCTCTCTCTCTCTCTCTTTGCTTGTCTTGAAAAAGTAATTTACTTAATGACTCGTTTGTTTCTGTGTGTTTTTTTTCCACCACAGCCCGGAACGTCACACCGACCCTGGCAGTCCTACTTTGATCTGATCCTGGTGGATGCCAGGAAGCCTCTGTTCTTTGGAGAGGGGACAGTGCTCAGACAAGTTGACACGGTGAGGACACTAGGAGGAGAGAGGAGACATGGCTTGCAGCTGCGAAGCAAGCAAACACTGACAAATCCTGACGTGTTTCAGCCCAGTGGCAGGCTGCTCAAGTGTAGTACGCATGCTATCAAAGAAATGTACCAATGCAGCGAGATGTAAAAGAATCACACTGTCTGGAACTGTGCCAGCGGTGGTTCATGGTTTTGTTTCACATCTGCTTATTTTATAATGTGGAGGATGTCAGATTTAGATCTCTTACTCAGCTTGGCTTGTGATTCAATTCAAAGCAAGTGAGGCTGAATTCAGAAAATAGTGAAAAAGGAGGGTTCTGATATATTCATGACTCATGGTTGTAGGTGTTTTTACAAAGACAGCAGTGTGTGTTGAAAAGGTTGTTGCAGATTGTGTTAACAATATAGGAGTGAATGACCTCTGTTTGTCCTCTGAATCAGATGTATTTTGTCTCCCGGTTCAGGCAACGGGACGTTTGAAGATCGGAACTTACACAGGACCTCTGCAGCACGGCATCGTTTACTCTGGAGGTAAAACTTTCTGTAACATCCGCTGTAGTTTTGTGTTTCGTTTTTCAGTATGAATGATCACTTTTTTCTTCTGTTATTTTGAATATCTTTTCTTCGTCTTCTCGAAGGTTCCTCAGATATTGTGTGCGACCTTTTGGGGGCCAAGGGGAAAGACATAGTTTACATCGGGGACCACATCTTTGGAGACATCCTCAAGTCGAAGAAACGTCAGGGCTGGAGAACGTTCTTGGTTATCCCTGAGCTGGCCCAGGAGCTGCATGTGTGGACCGATAAGAGCTGTAAGTCTGGAGATGAACACGTAACCATTACGTACTCAGTGAAACAGAGAATCACATGAGTGTTTTTATATATAGCTGGTTTCCCACTCAAGAGGGATGCAGTGTAGTAAAAGATATCCGTGTCCACAGAAAGAACCAGAAGCAACCACTCTCCCTTTTTAAGTGTATTTTGATTGATATGGCAAATGCATCAGAGAGGGGGTTCAGTGTTCACAAAGCCTGATTCTCGATCTGCTAGTGTTGAATTGTTCTGGTTCACCTTTTTACAAAGTCCCTCTGGTATTAAGATAATGTAAACCAGGACATGTTCAGAGCAGCAGCCGCAGTGCCAGACATGCTTTTTACAGGATAAGATGTAAGAGATGAGATGCTTTTATATATCATTGGCACAAAGTCATGAATATTTATGCCACAGCAAACATATGCTAAGACACTCTGTACATATGCAAAAGAAATCCAACAACGACATCTTCTCTTGTCTTCCAGCGTTATTCGAGGAGCTGCAGGGCCTGGACATTTTCCTCGCAGAACTCTACAAGTGAGTTATCACCTTCTTCACCCCCCCCTACCTCCTTTCACCATATCCCAGTTCCTTCCTCATTCTCTATTCTCTCCAGTAACAGCTGTGTGTTTGCATCCGTGCGAGCATGTGTTTGAGAAAGACAAACGGGGTCAACAGGGTAAAGTCTAAAGGGCCAGCTCTTGCAAGCTGCCTGATAACCGTGCTCACTGACGATATTTATAGCCTGGCACGACTTGCTGTTGCACAACGCCTTTGACACATTACCTTTCAGCAAACTAACATGAAACCCCCCCACCCCACCACCTCTCTTCTGTCTTTTCTCTCTGTCCCTCCTCAGACATCTGGACAGCAGCAGCAACGAGAGACCCGATATAAGCACCATTCAGAGAAGAGTCAAGGTACAGTCTTTATCACCTTGGTTTCTATGACGACAGTAAGCCTGTCCACGCACTCTCTACAGTGGCTGCCAGAGTTTTCAAAGCCCACGTTCACCGTGTGTGTTTGATATGGTTTAAGTGTGTACTAAAGTTCAATCACAAGCACTTGTTCAGCTCTGCTCTTTGAATCATCCAAACATTTACCTTTGGGGATTAGGATCAAATCATAACAGAGCTTTATCGTTCATTTGGTTCAAATATATATGGTGGACAGAGATTTCTTTATGGTATGACTTTGAGGCTCAACAGTGTCTCCCTTCCTCTTTTCTTACTGTTTAGAAAGTGACGCATGACATGGACATGTGCTATGGCATGATGGGAAGTCTTTTCCGCAGCGGCTCCAGACAGACCCTGTTCGCCTCTCAAGTCATGCGTTATGCCGATTTATACGCAGCTTCCTTTATCAATCTGCTTTACTACCCCTTCAGCTACCTCTTCAGAGCATCACATGTACTGGTGAGTACGCTCTCTAATCTAATCTAATCTAATCTTTGCATTTTCCTTTTATGGATACTGACGTTTCCTACCAGGGTCTCAAGAATCAGAATATCTGTAGATCTGTCACACAAATCCAACACTTTTGTTGACGTACGATGCTAAATTAGTGCACTTCAAAGATGAGAATATGTGTTATAATTGGAGGGGAAGGGACTTTAACTTTCATCCAATACAAAGGCTCCATTTATTTCTGGTGGCTGAGGTCATGTCTGACAGAAAGGAGGAGGACCTCAGCACCTTCAAGTCTGGAAAAACGGTCTGATGACACCGCTGTGCCCAGACCAGTTGTTAAAATAAAGTAGTGTCTTTTCAAAGGTGCATTTTCACATCTTGTCCCTTCCTGTCCTCAGATGCCTCATGAGTCAACAGTCGAACACACCCACGTGGACATTGACACTGAGTCTCCGCTGGCCACTCGCAACCGCACCCACTGCAGCGACTGCAAGGACCTGGACTGCAAACGCAACCAGCTGACGCGCTCCTTCAGCGAGATCAAACCTCCAAACCTGTTCCCCCAGACTCCGCAGGAGATCACTCACTGTCATGATGAGGATGATGATGAAGAGGAGGAGGAGGAGGAAGAGGAGGAGGAAGAAGAAGAGGAGGAGGAGTAATGAGATGAAGTTGCAGAAGAAAGCCACATACCTGTTTCTGAATTTTTAGTAGAGTTGGGTATTTTTCTCTCTGTCAGTGAGGCGATCGGGAAAAGCATTTCCAGTGTGTGAAAGTGTGCGTGTGTGTGTTTGTGTGTGTGTGTGTGTTCGTGTATACAAACATAAAGCTAAAACTTTACACACACAGACACACACACACACACTAAAGATTTCTAAAAGTAAAGAGGACCAGTTAGACAGATTGTATGACTGTCAGAAGACTGTTTGCACGCCTCTTCCTCTAACTTCTCCCAGTTTCATGGTTCAAAAACACTTAATTGTTTGAAGTTGATTTTAATTTCATTTCCTTTTTTTCTGTCAGACATACAGACAGAGAGAAAATCATCTTATGTTTCATAAGCTGACTCTAAAGATGTGTTGATGGGCTGAATGGATGTGGTCAGATTTGCACTTTAGTCCATCACGTATACCGTCAGTAAACTGTTGTAGTCATAAATCCCAGCAGACCGGCTTCTCTGACACAGTCTGAAGATGAAAATCAGAGAAGACACTCTACGGTTCAAAATCAAAAATGCACATGCTGTATTACAACAGACACTTTTTATGCAACATGGGAACAACATTCACTTTGTGATTTCTTTGGTTTGATGATGTGGGACTTTTCTTTTTTTTTGTGTCATTTTAAGGGGGTACTTTGTTTGAACTTGTTTTAGGGCTGTATGTCTGCGTGTGTGTGTCCTCACTCAGACTGCAGCATCCTCAGTGACAGTAAGCTAAGGATCTATTGTACTAAAGTGAAGCACAGGAGCACTAAAGCACAAGCCGGCGTTAAACCCATCACTAACCAGATGTTCACAAGAGGCTCTCACACTGACTATGTTGTTGCCAAGCGATCGAGAGGACAGAGCACTGTAACTGTATTGCATCCCGATAGAGTCTATGGCAACCTTGAGCTCCAGTTGTGTTACTGTGAACAGCAATCGGACAGTTTAACGTCACCAGCAGCGGCAAACATGCAGTATTTTCTCCATTTGGTTCTGTTTGAAGAAGAAACTTGAATATTGCATTCAGCCCGTTTAGAAGGATTTTATTTTGATAAGGGAAATGTACCATAGCAGATAGTTTTGACCATTTTGAGCTTGAATGTGGCCTCTATGCAAGGAATTGAGGCTTTGAGGATGCCTTGTGTTCAGCTAATTTCATCAGTTAAGCTTAGATTAAAAGTGATAACCTGCTTTGTTTATCTTCTTCTTCTTGGTTTTGGCTTTTCTCTTTTGTTTTCTTTTGTTATGCATTGTACTTTGAAACAGTGTGCCGACAGAAAGAGTGAAGCTTGAGTATGCAAATGATTCTTCTGTCGGCCATTGAACACTGTGAAGTGACCACTGGTGACGGGGTTGGTTCTCGCTTTGTCACTCGTTCAAAACTGGATGAAAAGAGACTCTGATGTTAAGCACTTCACTTGCAAATGTCAAGTACTTGTCAACAAAAGACAAGCTCCTTGATCCGAAGCCCCTCAAAGTTTTTGATTACTTTTCATGTGCGAAACTACCTGATACTGTTCATAAAAAGATCTTAATCTTCATGAAAAATGCACCATCAGGACAGTGACCCATGTGGTGTGACTTCATTAACAGTGTCCATGCTGCAGATGTTTTAGATTCAACCACTGAAACTCTGGGGAAAAAGTTAAAATATGTAAAATCACATATTGATTAAAAAAAGATAAAGAGAAATGGAGACAGTTTTGCCAGGCTTGAATTCCTCCTAAAAGATGAAAAAAATCATGAGTTTTTGTCTTTAACTGTTGTGTTGTCAAGAAATTGGCTGGAAAAGTTGCTTTAAATTGGGATTGATGGATGATTAGTGACCAAACTCTCCATGAAGGATGTGACAAAGAAGAAAAGAAAAACAGGAAATCCTTCACATAAAAGATTCAAGACGGGGATATCCCAGGTGTATCATCAGCCCTTCCTTTATTTTAAACATCCTGATTTCACCTTTTAGTTTCATCCAGTTCAACCTGTTTGTTCACTTTTTCACACCTTGACGATATCATATCAAGTCTGGACTCGTCACGTCAGTCCTGTCGGTGTCGGATCGGCTCGTTGAATTGGGCCTCTAAAGGGAAGGATCACGTCATTTACTGTTTGCGATTTTTTTTCTTTGGTTTGAAGTGGTTTGGAAGGATGAATGTGTTCAAATGCAACTCTGTGTGTAGATCCATATGAACCCTGGTAAGACTTTAAGAAACAACAGCATTTAGTAGACTTGTATCTGTCTTACAAACACACATTTATATTGTGAGTTTTATTTCTGTTTTTTTTTTCTTAACATAGAATAACTGGATATGCTACATGAGGCAGCTGCATTTGAAAATAGGAAACAGTCTACTGACTTTACTTTGCATAATCTGCATATGCATGTGAAAAAGAACCCAAGCATATCCATTCTGCCAAGGGGGTTAGGGTAGCATTGGTTTAACTTCTGTGTGGACTGCATCTTTTAGGAACTTTGACATCTGTTGCTGTAGTTTACAGAGATAAAAAAAGACTTCTGAGCTGTAAAATAATACTTAAAATGAAGGGAAGCGCGATAGCATGTCCTATAACATAAAGTGTCGCCTGTTAATAACACCATGGGTTTATTTTTATTTTTCTAAGCTAGTGTTTTTAATGGTCCTGGTTTACAGAACTGTAAATAGACATTTCCATTTCCTTTTCTTATCATTTCTTTCCAAATAATTTTTGTTAACTTTTATACTATACCATAGAGGGCTTCTTTAGACTTTCAGATAACTAAAGCCTGGCTAACAGGTGAAAGAAATCTAAGGATTTATATCTATGGTTGTGATGCCCACAATGCAATCACATTGAGGTGCCAATCAATCGACTTTCATTTTCTAATCCATAGTAACCTTTTGTTTTTATGCATTTGGATACAAGTTCTCCTGGACAGTGTTTTGTTTGTTTCCAGAAACTATCCTTCATACTGTACATTGAGGTAAATTACATAAAAATGTAGAATAAAGATAGTTTTTCATATTTTTCTTGCTTTCTGTTGTTTTATTGATCCATGCCGATATAGAAACATCCTTTTATTCATTTTGTTGATGTCAGGTTGTGGAAATTAAACAACCGGCTCACTGCTCCCTCAAACTACGGAACTACTGAAAAAGGAGAGTCGAGCTGATACTAAACAGATTAAACAAGGATGGAGGAGACAGGAGTCTGATAAGGAAAGCTTTACCCTGTCTTTGTACAAACGACCTTCATCATGCAGATCTCATAGAGAGCCAGGGCAGACAGAGCAGCTAATACATGAATGATACGTTTCTTTTGTGTCAGTACATGTGCAGCTGTGCTTTAAACCAGCACAGACAACTTTAAAAACTTAAAGAAGGGAGCAGCAATAATCCAATTTAGAAGAAACAAACACATGAAGTCCTTTTTCTGTGTTGTTTATTAGATATGTGCCCTGTCAAAAGACCACAAACCAAGTTTCAATCCAGACTTTCGGACTGCAAAATTGAAATGTGGCATAAAGTTACATTGAAATGATGAAAAGTATTCTGACTTTAAAGACTGAATTAAAAGAATAGACTCTGAACTGGGGCAGAGTTCTCAAGAGTTCGGCAAATTTAAGCTCCAGTGAGGAGTTTTTGACATTTATGAAACAGACTGAAATTCATATGATGCCTATTGATGATGTCTACAATCGAACAAGATTAACCTCTTTTATATTCCTATTTTTTATGCCTGGAGCTGGTGTGAGTGTGTAGGTGTCAGCCAAGCAGCTAAAGATACAAACCTGCTTTTCTTTTAACTATTAATTATACATTTGTCCGTCAAAAGACAACTAGATGATTATCAGCACAGAAACACCTCTTAAGCACAAAGAGGACAAAATAAGTAAAGACCGCTCTGTCCACAGGCGGTGCAGAAATTGACACAAACCAAAAGTTCCCCACAAGAGCTTTAAAACCCCCGAAATAGGTATGTGGCTCTATTCCACTATAATATTTTTGAGAAGCTGTTGAAGCAGAGCTTTGTGCTTTCAGCTGAACCACAGCCCATGAGTCAAAATGTGACGATTACGAAAGACTGCAGATACTTAAAAAAGATAATCATGTTAAAAAATGTAAAAGACTCATAAATGTTGGTATCAGATAAAGATTAGTAATCAGCTCAGGAAACTAGCGGTCACATGAGATCAGGTGAGGCTGGTGTCATCGTGTTAAAACTGAAGACTGATCAATGGCTTCATGCCTCAATAACAATTTGCCTTATTTCTAAATTCAAGGATAACACTTTCCAGATAATTTGCATTAATTGACTTGTTCAAGATTGGGTAACAAAGAAAGCCTGTGGATATTAGGAAAACATGAGTAATACTCAAACAGCTACTTGTATTGCCAAACCAGAGGAAACATCCATTATGAAGAACATCTGAAAATCAAGAAGTTTAGATTGAGTCCATTAAGTCACCAACTGTGTGTCTGTTAATCATTCACTTTTTTATTAAACCACCAGCTGGTGGAGGCAATGGGAATGTTGTCTTCATGTAGAAGAAGCATTATGAACAGCACATGGGTATAGCAGCATTGACATTGACAAAAGACTGTTCAAAACAGGCCAAAGAGCATTCACATAGCCTAATGGATGGAAATGTGTTAAAATGAGGATCAAACTTTGAGAACAAATGAGAGCAAACTGATGAGAGGTGTGTAACAGAACTTTGAATTAACTCTGTCCAAGCTGACGTGTTTCTCTGTGTTTCCTGATGTGCATTTGGACTTTTGAAATGTCACCACGCTCCGTCTCCCCCCCTTTTAAGGCACTGATGTCCTCCGCCTTATAAAGCAAATCAGAGTATGAATGGATGTCACAAGCACAGCTCTCTAATCTGATCATCATTCATCATCTCTGGAGTGATTGTTCCAGCAGAGTTAGCCCATGATATGTCAAGTAAACAATAAAACAACAACGAACGTGTCTGCAAACAAAGCAGACATCCTCTGTGTCTGGTTACGCAACCAAGACCCCCCTTGTGATTCAGCAGATGGAGGGGCTGTTTGTCAGAATGTTGTTTTTAGGCTGTTGCATATTGGTTTAAATATGCAAACAGCGACCACCAGTGGTTACAAGCTGTAACTACATATTAAAACTATGACATTCAGCTTTAAGACACTGCTGTAGCCTGTACCCTGGCCTGTATACAGTACATACAACTCTAAAATACAGACCTGGAGGCTGAGTCAAAGAAACTTTAGAGTTAATGAGTTAAACCTAAAGATCTGAAGAAAACCAAACTATCTGCTTTACAGTAAAAACAGCATTTTAAAACTCTTTCTGCCTTGATGAGGTAACACAATGACAGCAACAGGGTACTAAAAGCAAAATTAAAAAAAAAGGTTTTGAAAAATGGCTTGACATTTCCACTTTTCTGTTGTCTTGCCCAGTGATACCACTCAGATCTTTGTAATAAATAAAAGCGTGGAGTCAGGAGCCAATAGCTTAGCGTAGCAGTTAGATAAAAACACATGAAACATGACAAAATTAAGGCAATCGAGCCTCTCAGGGCTTCACAATCCCAACCCCCCTCCAAAAAAGGACAAACTATGCTTTTAGAAAATGTAAAAAATTAAAACTTTTTGATTGGTCAACTTAATATAATTACTTTTTAATGAACCTCGAAGCACAAGAATACAGTGTGTATAAAAATGAGTGTCAGGAATGGACTATTTCTGGGTCTGGAGCAGGGACTTTTGTGAATAAGCTCTACAGTATTTTTAAGGTCCTTTGGAATTAGCATGGTTAGCATGCTAGCTCTCCCTATTTCTATTTTTATGTTAGGCTCGGCACACTGGCTGCTATCTCTGTGTTCACTTTTGGGAGATGGATGACAATCATCTACAGTAGCTCTTGGCAGACAGAGGCATGTCCAGAGGGGGAGCCAGGGGTGCCATTGGCCCCTTTTAGAATCTGAACACCCTCCAAGGTGCCACCTGAAAATCCTAGTCTATGTTGTCCTTGTTTTTAATTAAACTGTTTGGACTGTTTAGACTTTTTTTCAGACCTAATTTCAACCGTATAGATTCTGTGTTTTTTAAGACAGAATTTAGACGTTGCACTTTAACCCATTATTCAATAACCATTTCAAAAAGCAACTGTGAGTTGCATAACTGATCTCCAAGTACTTAACCAATATAATTATGATAGCCGTCAAGCAATATACAGTGTAGTATAGATATAGCCCAAATTTAGACTTGGTCTAAATTTAGATGTCTAAAAAGCTTTCATTTTTAGATTAGCTAAATTTAGATGTCGATTAGACCTCTTTTAGACCAAAAAATGCTCACTGGGTGGTCACACTCATAGGCAGTCAGGCTGTGTGGAGAAGTTGCTAGCACTTTGTTAAAACTTGGATATGTTAAATTTGTGACTTAACACAAAATAGTCATTAAAAAATTTAGTTTGAGCTGTCTACTGATGCCACTTTGTTTAACTTTTCAATATCAAAAGATTAGTTAACAAGAAAATAACATCTGTGCAATAATTTTATGTAAGAAACCAAGCAGATTTGAGGGTAAATTACTATTTCCTTGTGTGTGCGCTCATACTTCACATCACCCCTGCATTAGACGGTTTCTCAAATGGGCCACCTCAATCATAAAAAGCCCGGACATGCCTCTGCTGGCGGAAAAACAAGTATATTATCTAAAATGTCTTTTTTCCCTCTTAGAAATAACTGTTAAGGCCTCTGTGTTTCTGCTAAAATACAATACATCAATATCTCTCTGTAATAGCAGCCGATATTTTGGATTGAGATCATAATTGACTGAAGAATTATCAAGCAATATATGTGAATGACCTGTTTGGACTTTGCGAGAAGTCATAATGTGTAAAGTGAAGTAACTGTAAAAAAAAAGAAAAAAAAAAGGAAAACCTTTAATGGACTGAATTTTGTGTGGAAACAAACATGCAAACACCACACATGCCAAAAAACCAAAGCTGCATTCACACAGATAAACAGTGGGGAAGCATAGCTGTGTATCATTCATGGACATGTTTAATGTCGAGGTTACTTTCTGTGACGTTGATGATGCTCAACATGTTAGATGAGGTCAATAATACTGTGCAATTATCAAGTTTGATTATGTGTAAAATTGGCAAAAAAAAAAATATATAGGACACATAACCTCCCCATGCATAGGTGCTGTGTTGGCACTTTGACACACGCTACCACGCGAACCTCCCCCCTCCCTCACTTTTGTGACGGTACAGGCATCATGATTCCCATATGAACATATATTAGACATTTGTTTGAGGTCAAAGGATGCAAAGAAAAATGTAAGAAAGAGACAAAAAATGAGAGATAGAAAGAAAGAGAGAGACTGGCTAAGGACAGTTCTGCTTAAAGATGGCTGCTGTTTCGCAATTTTCAAAACAAATATACATACACATACATACAAATATATTTGTCAATTTATAATACAGTAATTTCTTTTATTTGTAATCATCTCTTAAATAAATTGTTTCATTGCACTTTGTTAAAATAATTAATATGATTTCTCTTAAAGGCAATAGTGTGATTTTTTTAAAGGTGAAAAAGATAGAGTACCATAAGCCTGATTTAGGATAATAGTAAAAATAAGGAGATCTGTAATATACATACTGTATCTGTAAAAGACCCTCCCCTCCTCATATACATGAATGGATGTTTGTCTCCATACACTCCATATATATGTAGCATGTCCTTTTTGATATGACATAGGTGCCCCACGCACACCTTCGTGTACACGCTCATGCATGTTTGTATGCCAGTTTATTTCATATCATGTCTCCACGCATACATATATACATACAATATTATAAAATAAATAAATACAGGAAAACATTCTTGGTTCATGGTTTAATAAGTTGTTTCAAAGTGGTTTTTGGTGCAGTCTTTGACCAACCGTTGCTCTCTGCTTGTTTGGGTTTGAGTCTTTGCTGATGGGATCAACAGTCGACTGAGCCTCCCTGAAAGATGCACAAGTGGGGAAGTTGAATTTGTGTGTTTGTGTGTGTGTGTCAGTGTGACTGTTTTGATGTATCTCACGTGTTACCATGTGTGTGTTTGTGTTATGTACGTGCCCAGTCTAAGAAGGGGGGGACCAAAGTCTTTGGCCTGAAGAGGGTATTCAGTGACTGTAGAGTTAAACTGTGTGTGTGTGTGTGTGTGTGTGTGTGTGTGTGTGTGTGTGTGTGTGTGTGTGTGTGTGTGTGTGTGAGTGTTTAAGCTGTTTGTGTTGATGTTGTTCGTGTATGTAAGGCCAAGGGACTGGGCTTGCATGCGCTCCGTGATAATCTAGTCCAAGTCACCGTAAAAAAGTGTCCGATTGTCCCAAGGAAGAAGCTCAGTCACAGGAACTGTCCAAGTGCACCCTCTGTAAGAGCATGTGGTACAGCAGGGATTCTGACAGCGTTCAGGTGGGGGAGTCCAGGGAGCTGCAGCACCCGTTCTCCCCTCTGCCCCTCCATGAAAGGGTGTCACTGACTGACTGGGGACTACTAGTTGGCGTAAGATCTTCACTCCACCTGCCTCTGTTTCCCCACTTTCCCTCATCTCCATCTTTGCCACTGCTCCATGTGTGTGTTCATGAGACAGGGTGGAGGGTTTCTGTCTCCACCAGGCTTGGCGGGGGCTAGATGGGTCCCTCGTTGTGGGCGCTGTGGTTGCTCCTGCTGAGGCCCACACAGTTCAGCTGCTGGTTGAGCAGGTGAGAAGTCTCGTTGGCCACGACCAATGACACAACAGGGGTGGTGCTTGTGGTGCTGGCTATGGATGTGACAACAGTGGGAGTCTCTACTGCGTCATGGAGCTCCGTCAGCGGGAGCTCAATTTTAGTGAACTCACTGTCTGTGGATTGTGGCGTTTTGTCCATACGTGACGCCATTACTGCGTTCTGGTATTGCTGGCGTGTTACCTAGACAAAAAAGGACACATGATGAGTTCCGATGTTACGTCAGAAAATATTTTATACGAATGCTGATGAAATCCAGAATCTGCAAAGGAATGATCTAGGTAACTGACGCTGAAATGACTAAGACGATGAATCCACAATGATAATGTAAACTGGGCGATGGCACTCAAAGGTAGGATTAACTCCAGCTTACTTTGGCTGAAGTCCCCCATAGAAACAGGAACCCCAGGACCGAGCTGGATCTGTGAGCGAACATATCCTGAAAGGCGATTTGCAGCTCTTGTGGCACTCCCCATGTGGGAAAGTACACAGCCCTGATGATGACATTACCAAACCCTCTAAGGAGGTAAAAGAGTCCCATCTAGAGAGTGAGCAGTTCTAAATCTGGAGCACAAGTCATGTCTCTGATAATATATTGGTTTTACCAGTCATTACTTACATAAACACAGACTCCATATCCTCTGTCCTTCCCTGAGGACCCACCCCAACACAGGAGAGGCCCTGTATCTCTGGCATAGAATCTGATGTGTCCTGGCACGAATCCTGGAGCAATTACTCTGCAGGCACCATAACGCTGGAGTCTGTACTCATGGAGGTATCTGCTGCATGGGTGAAGCTCCTCTATTTTGTTGTTCAGTAGCCTTACTTTACTCAGAATGCTCGATGGTAGAGGTGGTTTGTTCAGAAAATCAAAATAAGATTGGTACATCCCTTGGTGGGTACTAGATCCAAAACGACACGCATAACAACAAAACATACGGACACCCCTCTCTAAAGTAGACAATCCACAGCCTGTTCCAAACTGCAGTTCCACCTCAGTGCTGGACCAGAGTCCCTACATTATTAAGTTTTTGTATTTACACAGCAAAAACAAAGGCATAATAGTATGTCCTGGTTGGTCTTGCACATCGCATTATGTCGTTATGACATTGCAGATGAGGCGTTGGAGAGTCGCAAATATTATAACCTTGAATTGGCAGCATGTAAGTGCCTCACGTGTCAAAGTGTGGTCGGTAAGTACAAGCTCTTCCCAGGGAGTTCGCCAATCACCGAGAGCAATGGCAAAAAGGTTCAAAAACACCATGACAGCTAAGCAAGGGGTCCTACTGCTGCAAAGCGTACCAGCTAGCACCGGCCCAACCTCGTATCCACAGTTTTGTCCCCTGAACAGTCCCATCTGAACAGATGGCGTCCATGATGGATAAGAAGCCCGGGGAGACACCTCAGGAGAATAGGGTAAAATTTTAAACTAACAGATATCACCATGAAACTTGCCAAGTTTATAACTTGCATTAAGACAAATATTTTTTGTATTACAAGTTTTGTCAAATGTTATGTATGAATATCCATTGTTCAGTTTTGGGTTCTGGAAATGTATGCAAATTAGTGCATATTTAATTAGATATTGCCTCATTTACATGTTCATACATAACATTTGACAAAACTTGTAATACAAAAAATATTTGTCTTGATGCAAGTTATAAACTTGGCAAGTTTCATGGTGATATCTGTTGGTTTAAAATTTTACCCTATTCACCTGGGGTGTCTCCCCGGGCTTCCTACCCATCATGGACGCCATCTTCAAAATGACACCTTTCTAGTGGTCTAACTTGGGTAAACTTTTAGTATGTTATTAAGGACACCTGATACTATAAAAAACAGCTGAGAAAACTCATGTTAGAATTTCTTTAAGGTTAGGTGCCTACTTGAACTGTAAACTCTAAGAAGGGTTAAAGCCTGGTTTGCCATCTTGGTGGTACCACTCCAGACTAATTTGCTGGAATCAACCTCAATTATACAGTTGTGACTGTTCAACCACAACACATCAAGGCTGGATGAATGTTATGAGGTGGAGAAGCCTGGGTATCACTTCTTATCACTTATCTCTTCAGAAAAGATTAGGTAAATGCAGTGAAGGTCAGTCACGGGACAAACCTGGAACCTGACCAGTGGCAGCCTTTCTTAGAACAGATCCTAGACCACACACCTCTGTATACATTTTATAAGTCTAGCATCAGAGGACAAAAGCCAAAGCTGGTCTGAACAAGATCCTAGACTCGGAAGAAGTTGGGTAAGATTAAGTGACTAAATCTGTGACAATAGCAGAAAGGTTTGGAGGTTAAGGATTAGGGGAAAGGACTAGACCAACAGTCAACACAAAATCTAAGGCCAAACCAGGAGAGAAAGGGATCCTGGGATCTTGAAGAAAAGAAAAAGATCCTAAGGCCTGAAGATGTGGAGAAAAGTATCCTGAGAAAAAAAAGCAGTAGGTGGAAAACATGGAACCAACCTCCTGCGGGCCAATCTGAAAGAAAACTGGGAAAGGCTTCAGAGAGGACAGAGTCTTAGCATTCAATGCAGGGACAAGAAACTGGACTCTTCACAAATAAAAAGGCAGTTCATTCAAAGTGCCTCAGAGGGGGCTGGAGGATCACCTCAAACATAAAAGCTGAAAAAACTAGATACCTGAACATTTTAAGATAGTCCTACAGATTGGGACTGAATAATCAAAGCAGTGTTGGGGTGGGGAGGAGGAACGGGTGTAGCAGTCCCAAATATAAAACAGAGTAATCCAAATGACAGGTTGACTGGCTAAGATACCAGTCTTTTTAGGACTCTTTAAACACCCTTGTATGATTTTGAAGAGAAGCATGCAACAGGAGAGAGGAGACAGATCTGGATGTCTTATTCTTGGTCCAAGCCAATGCCTCTGAGTCCATCCCACACATTCTCCTCTGATCAGCCTGTCATTTCCTCCACTGCCCAGTGACCATCACAGATCCTCTTGGAAACTATTTTGATGATTAGGTCTGCATTACAACACCAGAGTTCACTACATTATGGTAGTCTTTGGAAGGTGTGAAATAAGAGGATGAACCGCTTCCCTGCTGGCCTGTAACCTTTTAAAGGAACTGATCCTTCATGGTCTAAATGGACTGTAGGAGGAAAGACTTGTTCTGTGTCCACAAGGACAACTTGACCTTCTTAACCTCAACCCTTCTGTGCACCCACTTAATATTTACTCCTATGTAACCAACAAGAATGAAGTTTGCTCCCATAAAATCAAGAGACATACATGTTACCAAGGGAAAAGACCACAGATTTAACAATGTTGGAATGCCCACACCAACGGTTTGGCCAGTCTAGAGCTTTGGCCTGCAGTGTGCAACCAGAAGGGCAAACTACAAAGGACCTAATTAGCATAGACAAGAGACAAGACTTCACCCTCTGGGAAGCTAAAACTGCATTGCTGCCAGTTTAGACCGGTAGCAATGCAATCCTGTCTGACGTGGCCTGTAACAATCCAGTATAGCAGGGCAAAGTTACTCTGCCTCTTATCCTCTTTTTATCAGTTGTAACAGAGAGACAATTGGGGAGAGAAGGTGGCGATGCTAGGGCTAGCAGGGAGAAACAGCTGTGTATATGTGTGTGTGTATTTGGTACTCCTGCCACATACACGTGTTACTAAGCCATGCCCCTCGTTCTTCCACAATGCCAGTGTTATACCGGGGCAGAGTTGTAATGGGTAAAATGCTCATGAATTCCACTTTACCAGTGTGAAGCCGGGAGGGCAGTTAGATCACACTTCCTCAAATGTAGTGGACTCCAATTTTGCACCAGCAGCAGTTGTTTGTTTGGAAACAATAATGCCCATCCTCACTAGCTGTACAAATCCAATCTGGTATATCTATAGAAACAACCAGGTCCTGAAGGAATTGGCTATTATTCTGGATTTAAGTAGGAATAACACAAGTGCCATCTCTACAACAACATTCAGCATGCCAAACTTTTATGTGCCAGAAAGCCAGAGTCTAAAGACTGGAGTATGCAGACAGTGGCCTCCAGAGGGCTGCTGAAGAAACGTTAGATTAGCTCAGGCTAAAAATGATGGTGCCTTTTCCAGCTTACATGCGTAAACTATCAGACAATAGTAGGGGTAAAAGCAGGTTGAAGGTCAGTCGGATTCCAGGTGTTGCAGCTGGATACTGATCTGGTCTTAAGGGTTTTTGTCTTACCTACTTCAGATCAAAGTACTACTTTGGTTCTTTGTGTTAACCAATTCATTACCACCTGTCTGTCTTGCTGGTTGTTGCTGAACATGTTGAACGTGGCGACTTTGCTTGACAACATCTTCCTTCTACATCAATTCAAAGTAAACTGGCAGCATGCTCAGAAAGTATGTCCAGAATTTCACAGTAGCACCTTTCCACCCACTCCTCTTGGAGCAAAGATCATACCTTCTTTGTGTTCACAGTGTAGCCCAGGTGTCCTTACAGTTCAAAGGGATTCACCGAGAAGGCGCCCTGATCAGATGGCTGAACCATTTCAACTAGTACCTTTTAGTTACAAAGCAAAGCTCATTACCCTTGGTGGAAGATGGAAGTATACAGTTTTTGTGTGACACACAATCCATGTTTGAGTTTCATCAATTAACAATTAACAATGCTCGTGAATGAAACCCTGGGTTAACCCTTTATTTTAGGTAGTAGTCCAATACATAATCATGCTGATTCTCATTAGCTTAGAGTCAGCAGCTAACTGCTCCTTCTTGAAGACACCATCTGCACGGCAGAGATGGGGAGATCTCTCCCCTTGAGATCCTGTCCGTAAAAATTACAGAATCATCCACAGTGATCATGATGGAAACTCTGCAGGAGATTCATGGATAGAACAAGAATAAAATGGTACCAGTAACCAAAACAGTACCCCCCTCAGGAGTCTTTGGATGACTCACTGTTGGCCCTCTTGGTCCTTAAAACACTTCAAGATTAGACATGCAAACTCTCAGGTTTAAAATGAGGAGTAATATCCAAATTACCGGAGCACACCCTCCTGTCCTCTCTCTTAAGAATTCATATGGGGGGATTGATTAATTGATGCGTTTAAGTAATTGAGTAGTGATATCATTATTTCAATATTAATTGGAATCTAATCATTATAGCTCTTTATTTGTATCAAAAGTACTCTCCTTAATTTTTTTTCACTAGAACAAAATAACAACTCTGAAATCAAACAGGTGTCATTATGGTGCTTTTCTTGCTCTCCAGTATTTGTTCTCACCTTTATAAACTGCAGGTCTGTGCGCGCTCTGACCGAGTAGTCGGGTACATAGATCTGCAGGAAGGAGTTGAGCTGGTTGTTGCTACTGCCAAGAGTCGGGGTGATTGCATCTATTCGATCGGCCTTATTCAGAGAGTCCGAGTGGTTGAGTCCAAACGGCCGAGGAGGGGATTTATTTTCTGTAAGTGGGAGATATGAGATGAGAATACACTTTAAGTCTTGATACCAGAAGAAGTTTTTGATTTTAGTTGAAGGTTGTTTCACTCCAGGTTCTATTTCATACACACCGAAGACTACAAGTGAAAGATTTCACTTTCAAATGGGAAGAAACCAGTATATCCTGTTGCATATTTTGTGTTTTGTATATTTTGTCATTTGCATAGCAGCTATAACTCTTGCTGTGACTGTTCTCTCTGACTTTCAAATTTCTTTGGGACCACTAAGCTGTGAAAAAGCCTCAGTACTGCTAAATACCCTGTGTTTTGTGGACATTTTTCATGTAGAAAGTGGTAGAAATGAGCTTGGATGCTTGCTGTGATGTATGGAATTCTAATATCTTTCAAAGTCTCTCTGTTCGGGGAGTTTCATAGACCAGGTATTGAGTCAGTGGTTTCCAGTGATGCTGCCTCCTTCTCTGTACTACCACATGTTAGACTTGTTCTTGCTTTTTTTTTTCTTTTCTTAATTTTTAATTAAAGACAGATTATGTTTTCCACTTCTTAAAGAAGCCTAGTGAAAATCACACACAACAAAGTGGAAACGGCTTGGCAATCGTTAATGCTACTGCACCGGCTGGAATGTATGTAATCCCATGTAGGAATATGTGTGTGCTTGTGTGTGCGTGCCTGTGTGTGTGCATGCAGACCAAACACAGTTGGCCAAAGACCTGGCATGTGAACTTTTGTGGTTAAGAACTCCAGTTCCTAGGGGCGGCGGGGGCCAGTTCAATACAGAAAACGGCGGTGTGTCAAGAATCCACTCATAATGCATGAACATACACACAGACACACAAACAAGTGCACTGCCGGGGGGCGACACTGTGCACTGTAACTCACCAGTCACTGGTTTTTGTTAAACTAGATTGCGAAATACATGTGAGTTGATTTATGAAGTAGTTTGCCGTTCACTATGAGGATATGCGACTCCCCCACACAACCCCACAGAAAGAGCCATGTTTTAGAGGGAGCAGCTCCTAATGTGAAGAGTGTAACGACTTTGTGTGCATGTGCGTGTTCATGTGAACATGTGTGTACATGCGTGTTTTCATGTGTGTGCGCTCAGTGGTTGTCCAGCAGGGGGCTGTAGCTGTAGGTCTTGTTTGTGTAGTGAGAGGGTTAGAGGTTAGGGGCGAGCGGGGTGGAGCCTGGGTCCACTTTGGGGCCTCCAGTGAACAGCACCATTCAGCCACTTGACTAATGGCTCAGGGTATGAGGGAGTTAAGTCCCGATGCTAATCTTTATTCTGTCTCTGTTTTTCTCTTTGGTTTATACTCATGAAAATGTACAGTATGTGTTGCATTCGTGTACGAATGGACTTTTCAGTTGCACCTTTTTGGATACAAACAAAATATACGCAGAAGTGGCCACAAGCATGCGTTTTCAACCAAACATACAACCTTTAATCTTATTTCAAATCCCAACCTTTGCATGTGAAAGTAACATGGCATTAATTTAAAAGAGAGGAGCCCACCGTACCTGGAGATCCTGCCAACGATTCAGCTCTGCTGACCACAAATGTGCGAGACAGGGACAGAGGCACTTTGGGAAGAGAGGGAAAATAACAAACAACAGAGATAAAAGAAGGCGGGCAGCTTGTTAACATCAATATAATGAAGATGCATAAACAGAACATTTCTATAACCACCCATATTCCCTGTTTTAGAGGAGTAACCTGCAGTTCACTTCACTTCTCCAGGTGTAAACAAACAACACATGTCTCTGATGACCCATCACATTACATCAAATATGAACTTCATTCTGGTGTCTAACTGCTAAGTAGCCGCTCACACCACAAGAAAAGGCTTTCTGCTTTCTCACCAGTAGGTGTCTCTCAGATCCCACCACCCATGCGAATCAAAAGAGGTGAAAGGGTTAGAATAGTACTGAGGTTTATGAATGAACTGAGAGAACTGAGCAGATCAGACAGTGACGCTGACACGTGATGTCACTGCAGGAAAGCCATGTGGGCCTCAAAGGGATTTTTTAACAAATATTTGACAGAGTGTATCACACACAGTATACTAAAAATTTTAATCTTGAAAGACCTTCAATCTGATCTGATCTTTCTTGGTTGGTGCTGTGATCCAGTTTCCAACACAACTGTTGAAACTAGACAGGTTTTGATATTCGATACTATGGACACATTTCAGTTTGGAGCCTGGTCCTCTTTCTGACTTTTCTTTTATGGCAGTAAACACAAGTGGATCCCAATGCAGTATAAACTCACCAAACTCACTAATGGTTGAATCTCAAAGACCGGTGTGCTGTGCAAGAATCTTACCTGGTGAGGCTGTCAGAGCCATCATCCCATAGTAGGAAAAAGGTCCTGCTTCAAACTTCATCCCCTCCTTTCCTGCCTCCACTTCCACTTTCCCCTGACAGAGTGAGATGAGGTTCACTTTAGCATACTTCCAATAAGCACTTTGTCTTAAAAACATCATTTTAAAAATACACAATAAAAAGTTCAGCGATTAAGATAGCTTTTATTTATACTTTCCTATGTGTCCTCAGACTGTGGACAGCTCCACATTGTTGTGAACTACAGAGTGTTAGTGTTTTGTTATGTCAGTTACTAGTCTATCTGGGATTTCTGCTACAGCTTTGCAATTTTTTCTGCTTGAAAACATTTATTCAAGCTGCCCATGCGTTCAGAGAAAATCCCTTTCCCTCTTTCCTTTCTTTTTTTACTACTTTTAGAAAATCCCTACCCTGTGTAATAGCTTCCAATCTGCTCCTAAACCTGGTCTCTGGGGCTGTGACCCCACACGTGTCCTTCGTGGACCTCAACTGGATCGGCAGCTATTTTACATGATTTAACCGGCTGAATAGAGGAATTAAAATAGGTGATGAGTGTCAATTAATATGACAATGGAGATTTAGCTACACTCCAAATACTTTGAGTGATTTTCTCAGAGAAAAAAAAAGCTTTAATTTTGGACTGTAATGCCAGAAAACCCTTCTAAAACACTTAATGACAAACTCTGCAACCTATTTTCAAACTGCACTTGAAGGTGAGAAGCTTTGACTTTGATCTGATGTGTTTGAATTAATCGTTGTCACTCTTTGGCTTCTTCAGTGAAAGTGTCAGCAAAGAGAAATTTACATAAAATAAAACAATTAAAAGTGGCATCACAGCACAGTACAGCACTAAGTACAAATAAAGACTGTCAAATCCACGTTTCTTATGGGTATACTGACGTATAGTTTTTGTTGGTCCAGACATTTGTATAACTAATGAGCTGCTATCTTTAATCCAAACTGCACTGCTGTAAAGTCATGCCATACCCATCTTTTTGGGATGTGTGACCCCTGCAGGAACAAACCTGCAGTTTAGCTCTGTTAGATGGACATGCTTATGATAGATATTTCTCTCTAACATCGTTTTGAGGTCAGGGAGCTCAAATGCTGTTACAGTATCGCACCACTGTGTTCCAGGCTGCAGATTGTGCCCATGCAGGAAATCTGACGGATCATGCTCAACCTGCTTGAACAATGACGGACAAGAAGTACATTTTAAGGAAGAAAGAAGGAAGAAAATTTCATCAGGATCTGATAGTATAAGCTACTGTTGGACAACAGCTGAGCTCAATACTTTCTAACTAACATTCCTATAAAATGGCTTTACACAGTATGACAGGAAAGCCCACATACACTTTGGAAAATATACCGGATCACATTATATAGAACTAATATGATGTGTGCTGTGTGGCTGCTTATAGGGAGTGTTCCTATAGGCTAATAAACCTGCATAAGGAGATCTAACATGACGACTGGAGTCTGGAACACAGATCTTTAAAATGACTCTCTGCATTTTATTTTGTAACGTGTAACAGTGGGATGTAATATCAGCTCAGAAGTGACTAAATCTTAATGTTAGCTGTGATGTGTTTGTATTATTTAATAATGTCACAATTCATAATCAATTTTTATCTGTATTATTGATTCTGCAATTGTAGTTACTTCTTATTATGCTGATTTATAACCAAGTCTTCATTTTATTCATTGCATTAGTTTTATGAGTTTTAAATTCTACAGAGAGCATTATAAACACTGACACCGGGGAACTTTCAATAACCACAAATATCAGCTACATATCAGCACAAGAACCTGACCTGCTGTGGACAGTATGAACCTGAGGGATCCCTGATGTTGTATCAGCAGGTATAATGCATGCTTTGGTCTACCAGCAGTGTTGCTTCTGTGCACATCCTGGTTGCACCAGCACAAGTGTAGAGGTAGTCTTTAGGCTTCAAAACTCAAGTTGACATTGTCCTCAATGGTTAAAACCTTCAAATATGGCCCATTGTTCCTCTAAAATGCCATGATTAATTTCCTATTTAACCGCCTATTGAATGCCTAGTTATGAAACGTTAAATGTTTTGTCAGATTTACTTTGTCCACAAAAATAGCATGAAGTTTCCCTCTGACTCAGGCATGTGTTCGATCATCTTGCTTTTACTGCACCAAGTTTAGACCATCAGAGGACTCGATACATCAAACTCCTGTCTCCTCCTCTCCCCATCTGTATGAAGTTATGTTCCACTCATTCTGTACACACAGCTAAATACTCTCTGCCATGTCTCTCTCTCCATCTAAGTAGCTCTCCTTTTTTTCTGAACACTGCAATTGCACTGTTGCAAAGTCCTGCCGTCGCTAAACCTTTGAATCGCCAACAGCATCATATTGGTGTCATAGTGAGTGATTTTACATCTTGTGGTTGTGTAGTATTGTGGTAGCACCAGAAGCCTGAAGTCCAGTCTTGTTAGCTTCAGTGATCCTGACTTGTTGCTGATGTTCTGTGGAGATGTGTTGCTTTGTTGGGAAATACTACAGTCTATTTACACTAAGAAATCTTATTACGTCATCAAATTAAATTTCATTACATTTTGTGATTCAGCCCAGCCTAATAAGAAAGAATGAAAGGATGGATTGACTGATTGATTGATTGATTGATTGATTGATTGATTGGTTTATAGGACTACCAACCTGGAACACAGTGGCGCAGCATTATTCTTTGTGTAACAGCATTTGAGCCTGACTTAAAAGGAAAACTCTGAATACCAGGAGAAACTGTGGTATGAAAGAAAAACATGCTTGCAGCACTAACAGCAGCATGTCTTTGCCTTAGATGTCTCAACTGTGATGGACAGTGTTTTGTACTTTGGTAAGAGTAGGTCTTTTTTTTACAGGAGAGACACATCCTTCACTTTGAACCTCATTATGTACACACACCTGCAGGACGAGGATGAAATAATCCACAGGCTTGTTCCTGTGGAAGAGGTAGTGCTCTGCTGCTCGCTTGTTCTTCTTATCGTACTTCAGCTCCTGGATGACGTTGGGATGCTTCAACAAGCGCAGCAAAATCTTCTCTGACATTTGGACTGGTGAAAATGGTTCGACCTCTGAAAAAGGAGAGAGACAGAGAGGCAGACAGTAAGGAATGTGAAACATAAATTACAGTCTAGACAATTCTTCATTTTAGGTTGAGACTCTAAAAAAAACACTGGTGTGGCTGATAGACCTTTTTGAAGATAAATGATTCATATTTTTTAGGCTAAATAAATCTGTGGTATTTCAAAGGCTAAGCATCTGAGCTGACAGGAACACATGCTTGAGGCTCTCACTTAATGATTCATTAAACTGAGCCCACTGAGTGATTGAAGCAAATGTTTGGAATGAGATAGTTTTCCCAAAGAGGAACTTTCTAATATGAACAAAATTCAGAGTTTCATTTGTCTTAAAAAAAAAAAAGAATAAATCAATAAACAGTAAATCTATCAAAGTTTGTGCTCATTATTCTCATGTGAGTGACCCCTCATGGGCTGGAGATGGAGTTCTTGCCGTCTATTCCCTGTGGCAGCCCACAGAGTAATGTAGTGTACACTGTACTCGCTCATCTGTATGACTGTCACATCCATTGCTGCACACATATGGCTCCATTCAGTGCTTTAAAAAAGAGCTTCTGTTCTAGTTTAATGACATTCATTCTTTTTTGTCTGTAAGTGGTTGACAGAAGGTTCTGGACAGCTGCGTCCTGCATTAAACAGTGTCTGTGAATGCTACACTGATACATTTCGTACTTTTTACAAATCAAACAGGACTTTGATTAAAATCTGCAAACACTGACTGTAATTCCAGGAACAACTTTAGGCACATGCAGGCTTAGCATGAACCTCCTCATGACCAAGTGACACCAAAAAACCCCCCAAAAAAACAACATTTTTAGCAAGTCTACATACATAGTTGAAGGAGACTCATTATGCTGGTCCATATTTTAGCACATACTGTATATATACTGTATATAATGCTACAGTTCTGGACGTCCATGATGCCAGATTATGACAGCATAATCTCCAGACATGTTCTTTGGCTTCTTTAAAGACCCATTAATATCATGTTCATATGGCATTTTTCTGATGCTAAAGGACATATCATGAGAAAACTAAATGTGAAATTGCTTTTCATAGTATTTCTTCAGTCAAATCTCTGTGAATCTCTGGCAGACCCAAATGGCAGGTTCAGAAACAGTGAGATTTCATACGTAACCAATCCAAGCTCCGCCCCCAGAGCTCTGCTCTGCAGGCCAGACTCTGCAAATAGAGGAGAAATAGGGAGGACGGTCGTAGAACAAGCGTGTGCGTTAGTGGATTGCAATGCTCGTAAGAAAGCTAATTATGATATTAACTTTCATCATGTCCCTAAAGACATTAGCTCCTATGTTACCTGCAACTTCAACTAGGTCGGCAGTGTTAGGCTGCAAGCTAACGACTCAGAGGCAAATTGCTAATGATCTACTGCAGAAGACAAGCCCTTGAAAATGACATATAATGCAATTTTTGGTAAAAACCTCATTATCACAATTTAAAGACCACTGAGAACACTTTAAGTAGTTAAAAAAATGATCAGAGTGGGACTTTAAACTGTTTATTTTGACACAAGGCCACAACTTGACGTCAGGCGCTTAAAGACGAGCCCACCAGGCGGCTGCAGTTTCCCCTTTAAAGTTGCTCCCCAGATGTGAAAGACAGCTACAGCTACTTTCTTTCACAAAAAAACAAGACACCAAAAACGAGTGGCTACTTCATAGCTGTTCATGCTTACTACTTCATAGATGACTCCTTTGGAAGCAGGGGCTAGTATGAAACCTGGGACTGTTACATGTAGAAAGACCTTCCATGAAATCACAAGCTCTAAGTAACCTTATAACAGCAGCTAACGTACAACAGCCAACATATGCTAAGAGAGCTGAGTATGTGCGGCCTGTAGCTTCAGACATTTTTTGATAAGGCATAACTTTAAGGTTGTTTCATGACTACAGAGTTGTGTGAAAAGTAATGTCCACAAGCTGTGTCTAACTTTACATCACTGGAAAAGCCTCCAAAACAAAGTGTTTCAGGCAGAGGCTGGACAGCGCTGAAACAAGGGTTTTCATGGGTGCCAGTGTAAGATAAATAAGCTTTGAGCTGCAGATCATGCAAAGCTACTCTATAGGTGTCCCAGATGTTTAGCCTCAGGATACACGACTTTCCTGTTGCTTAACACAATTCTTCACATTATTCTTTGGATGAGCAGTCTGCTTAGTTTAGGTAGTATAAAACCCTTACGTTATTTTTTGGGCTTTTCTATTTAAGATTTCCTGCATAGAAAAGCTCAAGTGTTTTAAAGAGGGGTTGAAGGAAGGGATACCATGATCCTAATCTCAACTGTTCTGATCTCAGCTCTGATAATGTTGAATCTCACTGCACACAATGGATCAGTTCCTTCTCTTCCACTTTAAGCATGCAGGATTGCAGGCACATCTGTTTTTGGGTCCCATACAGCAGAATATGTGATGCTGAACACACAGGCAGACGTGCCAACACTTCTGATATGGACAGAAGTCTCCCTCATCTAAATCCATTCTCCTGCTGTACTCCCAACTCTTAATTATCACCCTGTTTCATGCTGATATCAGTCAACCTCTACATGGAGTATGTTGAAAAAGACCTGGAACCCAAGGCAGTGAGAGGCAGGCATGAACCACTCTACCTGCCATACAGGTTCATAAATGATTAGGGATGTCCCAATCCAATATTGATATTAATTTCAATTTATATTTAGCTTTATTTATATGGCACTTTTTCTTACATAAGGAAATGCGATTCAAAGTGCTTCACAGAGGCTAAAAACAACAATGAAGACAAAAACCCAACCCTTCCACCCACACATACACCCATGGACCCACACACACACAAAGACACACACCCACCCACACATACATACACACACACACAACCGCACACAGTGTGAGAATTTAGGATATAAGTTAAAGAGACATGGCCTGACACCGAGACATTACATGAGAAGAAAGCTACCTTTAGGGGTGGGAATCACCAGTGGCCCCATGATACAATATTATCACGATACTTGGGCCACGATATGACATTATCACGATTTCCAACATTTTGCAAGACAGTGAGTATTGCAATACCAAAATGTGGTTTATACACGTTTTCAACTGTTTAGCTTATTTAGCATGTCTTTCCTTTATGTTTGTCTTATTCACAGAGTATTTAATTTTCATGTAGCACATCTTGCAAACCTTATATATTTGTTGCACTAACTTTCTCCTGTTCTATGACGTCACCTCTCCCAACCTCACTAGACAAACAGTTGATTTTATTTTTCCATTATCATAGATTTGACTTCATATTAGCAATTAATAAAAAAAAAACGATACTTGGTAAATGAGACGATACGATATATCACCAGAAAAATATCGCGATACTATGCTGTATCGATTCTTTCTCCCACCCCTAATTGATACCAGATATTGGTCCGATAAACCACTGAGTCAGAGAGCTCCATGTTCAGCAAAGACTGAAAACAAACTTAAATTTTAGTAGTTTCCATGAAGATATCTTTTTTATTTGCTGTCTCTTCAATCAACTATGGAGTCCATCATAAAACTTACTTAAAAAAACCAAAACTATCTTTTTAGTCCAAGAGAAGAACCTGAACACACTTGGATCATTGCTATAGTATTTTTACAGATTTCTATTGACTGTTATATATAGTTGCAGCTGTAGTTTTAAGCTGCTTCTACATCTGTGTGAGTGAACTGACACACAAGCCTGACCAAAAATGTATTTACAACTTTTCAACTTTGATATCCAGGTTGCTACTGGTTTCCATCGACCATCTAACGGGCCAACCGGCTCGTCCAACTCAGCGGCAGTGATATGTGTCAGCTGGCTCCACCACCGGGAACTAAACCCCCTAATAGCCTTTAGAGAAACTTAATCAACGCTTAGCTGCTAGGTCAAAGTTCTGAAGCAAATCCATCTGCAGTGAGATGTAGTCAACCTCCGCTGCTGCTGCTGCTGCTGATGTAGCACTGCTGCTGGATATTCTGCAGCCTGTTCAGAAATCCATTTCCCAAGGGAAAGCGGGTGAAATATTTCACATTTTACACTAAGTATGTCGACTTGTGTGAGAACCCTGATCACAGGCCAAAAATGCTGGACGTGATGTCACTGAGGAACGAGTGTAAGCAAACAGGGTGGTGTTTTTAAAGCTGTGAGCTCAGATCCCAACATGTAACCCCCGGTGCATGACACGCAAGCAAATAGACGCCGCCTGCCTTTTTTTTTTCCTTTTGCAGTCTCCACAGACATCCCGTGCTGTACTCCCAAGAGGCCTTCCACCACTTCACACACACACAAAACACGCAAGAGCACCAAAAAGCTTGTTGTGAGTCCTCACACAACTCATTCCCTCACACCCACAAACAGCAGATACTCATTCTACACACATACTCACTCCTCCTTACACCCACTTGCCCAAAACTCAAAGCCGGCATGGGCACATGCACACACAAACAGCTCAAACACACACTCGCACACACACTCTCTCTCCCCGCAGTGAGGGGCTGAGGGCACACTGGGGGAAGTCAAGCAGTAACACAGCCCACTTGCCTGTTGCTAGGAAACGCAGGGTAGCCAGCAGAAGCTGAGGTGATATTTTAACCTTCATTTCATTGTCGGTAAGCTTGAAGGCCGAGAAATCCTGCTTCCTTTCCCGATGGGTGATTTTCTTCTTCGTCTTGTTGTCAGCTGAGAAGGGAAAATGAAAAATCAAGCGTAAGACACAAACTAAAACAAACTTTTTCTGCAACAGCAAAAAGTTGATCCACGCCACTCCACAGACACAGAGTGAGTCCTCCTGGGTCACAGGGTGACTAAACTTGAGTTACCCAAAGCTTATTTCTTTTTCCGGAAATGTAGCTGTGGCGTTCTTCTCGGAACTAAACGAGAACTATAGGGGGCTACAATGTTAGCTTACCACATTCTTAGCATTACTGACAGCCATATGTATAAGGGCAGCAAGAGGACTGGCACATAATCCATGTCTACAGACCCAAACTGATACCCTCAAAAGTGTAAATCTGCAGAATGCTCATGGCCTGAAACATTAAAGATGGTTTAAGTTTTGATAAAATCCAAACTTTTAAAAATTTCAGAAGTTCAACAGTCCGGGCGTTGTGTCAAATGTGCATTAAAACGGTTTTGTTGGTTTGCAAATAATTTCAAGGCGGAGTGTGCGGTATTTTCTGACATTTGGCTGAACAGACTGTCAAGATGGAAAATAACAACCCAAAAAGTGTTAAAACTAGCAAATAATCTCTCCAAATAAAAAAAAAAGCTTGTTTTAGTTAAGTTGTTTTTGATAACAAAAGCTTTTCAAATGGAGAATCACACCTGTGCATCACAGGAGCTTCTTGACCTTGCAGGTCACCATCACTTCAGATTTACAAATTGATGGTAAGAGTGACAGGGGACCGTGTTTAACTAGAGTCTGATTAATATCCCTCAATATTTCCATTTCTCCACACTGCACCTATATTTAATAGAAAGTAGTGCCAAAACAGCATTTAATATACACTGTGAGACTGGGTTGTTTTCTTGTTTTACTGAAAATATCAAAAGGTGGCTGTGTCCAACCAAAACTCATCCCCTACTCACCACTCCCAATGTAGTAAGCTGTATGTAGTGGACTGTATTGTGAGCTTTAAATGAGAACAGAATTTTCATAAGACAATCATAATATTAAGTTTGAACATGTGATATGCTGTCTTTGCTCTATTTTGAACTGAACATATCCTTCGAATGATTCACAAACCGTCAAATTCTGCTTTTATCAACACTTTACGATGTATCATGTTGGTTTTAATGCAGCTTTTAGCTTTAAAACACTAAAGGAGACTCTTTATAAATAAATAAAAAACATTTAAGCAGACTTTTATCTACAGGAATATCATTAATCAAATAATATTTGTACACAAATTATAATCAATAATATCTTGCATACAATTTAAGGTGGTGTGAAATGATGGTCTTCAAATGTGCATGATGGATCATTAACTGTGACCAAAAGCTTCGCATTAAGCTTGGTTACAGCCTTGGTTTCTCATGGGGGCTATGTGGAAACACAGCACTAGTCAAGAATGAATCATACTTTACTCAAAGTTGTACACTGTGCTGTAAGCCGGTGGCTGATTATATCCTACTGTGGAGAAGATGCTCAGTCTGCAAATGAAGCAGCTACAACAGCTCATTGCTGTTGACGTCAAACAGCAGGTTGGGTTTAAACTCAGTCCAGACTACAGTGCTACAATCTGAAGATGCCATGAAGTTCTTATCATGTCACCTCGCAGGGTATGAACCCTCTCCTTTCAAAATGTGTCTGTATGTACATCCATGTCTGCTTCATCTACTTTCAGCACACTGTTTTGTTTTTCAGGCCCACAGTGTAACTTTTTGGATGACCTGGCACTTTCAGTACTCATTATTAGCTTTGTCAGACACAGCACACATCTATTTTTAGTGACAAATCTATAAACGTTAACGGTATGGCAACTGTGAAGTCCTAACAGCAGAAAAGTTTCTAGAGAGGCCGATATCTTCTCAAGAGTGTAGAATAAACCGTTCAATGAGAGATAGGGAGTGTTTAAAAGCTGTGATGGCTGAAATTCAGTGTGAACGGATGTCACTTAAAGGTAGTTCTAACAGTTTTCACTTTGAGAGAACCAAACAAGATGTTGCAAACTGTTACTGCGGCTTATGTGGCAGCGATGAGTTCTCTGTTAACATCCTCAGCTGACGTTAAAGCTCCTCTATGTTTTAATCTGCTGTTTGGTGCTGAGCAGGAAGTGTATTTTTTTAAACAGCCTTTCCACCTAAAATCTGGGGCCACCTTACATATAGTCATTTGATCCCAGGAAGAAATGTACCCATGTGTGTGTTTGTGTATGAAATATTATTACCAATTGCCTACGAGGTGAAACCCACAGTAAGTAGTTTTGAAGAGAGCTGTTATAAAGTGCAAAACCACAGAGCTTGGTTAAGCTGATCATAGTTTTTTGACTGGTTCTCTAACTGTGGAGGACTAGAGATGCACATGAGAGTATAAGCCTGAGAAGGGAACCTACTGTACAAGTCAGTCTCGTCCAGGATCTCAGACTTTATGATTTCTTCAATAACATCCTCCAAGGTGACAATACCCAGAACCTCGTAGAAAGGGTCTCCCTCGCCTTCATTGTTCACTCTCTGAACTATGGCCAGGTGGGATTTTCCTAGAAAAACATACACGCACACACAGATACACAAACACAGGTAATAAAGTTAGGGTCATATAGTGATAAAAGAGTTAAATATAGGTCAGACGGTGAAGGGGCTACAAGGGAACAAACAGGCAGGGAGCCACATGGCTATTTACATCCACTTAGAAGCAAACCAATTAAACATGTATTAAAATTAAATACTTCAGTACACACTGGAACAAAGAGCTGGAGTAAAGTAACTGTGAGAGCACCGGGGCTGCAGTCTGTGTTACAGCAGCCACACAATCCAAATCACACACACACACACACAGCAGGTGACACAAGGTGAGCTGAAGGAGTTAGAGGTATCTGTATCAGTTCAATGGCAGGGGATGCAATATGACGGTTCAAATCCTAAAGTGTCAGCAGAAACTTGAAGAGCCAAAAAGAAAAGACAGTCAGGCAGTTATCATACACAAAAGTCCCCTCAGCCCTCCCTGTCTCCACATCTGTGTTCCCAGGACCCTCCTGTGTGCTGTAGAGTCTGAAAAAAATAAAAAGAAACAAACTGCCATGTATGCAGAGAATACTGTCAAGCAAAACGCTAAACAAATTCTTTGCCTTTTCTCAGCTTGCGATCATTTAAAAGGAATTTTCCAGAGGCCCAGGCTAATATTAGCCCCTGCAAAATGAAGTTTCCATTCCGCCCCGGCGATATTCTCACCGAGTGAAGGAACAGACCGGGTGAAACCTCCACTGTGTGATCAGATTGTCTCGAAATGGGCCGTTTGCATGCAGATACACTGGGCGTAAATAATGTAGGACGTCAGTGTGCTTGAGTGTGCATGAGCATGCACGTGTGTCAGAGTGCATGGGTGTGCAGGTGTGTGTGTGTGTGAGTGAATTTCTGGAAAACACAGGTGGACCACTGAGTCAGGGCTCAGATGCTGCGCGGGCTCATGTTGACCACTTTGCTGCAGGTTAGCACAGACTGAGAGGACTGAGGCTGATCACAGAGACAGTGTTTTATTGCACTGCAGCTCACTGCCCCCTCACAGCGCTGTGATAGCAGCACTATGATGTGGAGAGTGCAGAGCCTGTATGTGAGTATGCTGTGCACCGTGCACATTAGATACAGAACTGATGCTTTCAAGTAATATACCTAACAGGCTGGCGGGTTACCATCCTCAAAGAGAGATATTAATAGCATAAACACCAAATATCCAACACTGGAGATGATCTGCAAGACTGAAATCTGATCATCAAGGTGTACAAAGAGAGTCTTCCCATCTTCGTGAAGTTGTCACAGACATATTGAGTATGCTGCTTTATCACAGAGGGGCTGGGTCTAACTAGGACAAACACAAATGGAGCCTCAGAGGGTTACAGCAATCAGGCCTCAAAAGTCCTTGAGCAAGCAATTACCCTGAACTGCCCAGAGAGAGAGAGAAGCACAAATGGAGTTGCCAACACAGCACAGCACACTGAAACAGATCAATGCTTACTTCCTTCTCTTTAATGGTTTCCACTCCACTCATGTCAGCTTCATCAACAAGCTTACAAATTTAGCTTTCTGGGCAAAGAATATCCACATCAGGACCAGTTTAATCCTGAAAGTATGAGCTTCATCCACATGTGCAGGAATATCTGGACCTATATTTTCAATTCTGGGACCATTGACTGTGTATCAATATGGACAAAGTGCCTACATCTCATAGGATGCTGACATACAGAACGGGGCAGGTGGAGCAAAGGCATTTAAACCAGAGTGACCAGACTGGTGGAGCTGCGGGACTGGTTTCACAACCCAAACCAAAACACACATCACATTGAATTTCCCTCTAGGATTAAAAAAGTATCTATCTGTCTGTCTGTCTCCTTCAGTTTTGTACTGTCAGCAGCAGGACAGATCCGACTCTGAATCCACTGTTTTTATGAGTGCAAAATCAAATAATCTGATCATGACGTGCGTGTACATGCACCAAGCTTTATTCAGATTAGAAGCATCTGGACATGCGTAGAGTTGTCTGATTTTGCTAAAACAACCACAGAAAAAGAGTTGTATTTATATGTATGTATATATGTACCTATGCTGTCAACAAACCAACAAATGCGGTCGTGGTTCACTCCATCCAAGTTAGGAGTTTTCCCCCCGTTACATATTGTTACTAGGTTTTTTTTTTTTTTTAGACTTCTACCGTAGATGGCTGTTGTTCTGTCCATCATTGTATGAGTCATGTTTTTAATAAAATCAATGCATTAGCTAGCTTTCGGGGCACTCAAACCTGTTTACAATGTTTACACTAAGTCAAGCAGACAATCAACCTGTTAGTTTTGTTTTCTGAAATTTCAAATTTCTCAATTGGCCAAAAATGATTGTGAGGATAAGGATGCGCCGACCCGATACTTGATATCGGTATCGGTCCCGGTACTGAAGAAAATTCTAGATCAGGTATCGACAATAGGCCTGATGCATAGGGGCCGATCTATTCAGTCTAACTCTATGCAATGCACCGTGAGTGGGCATCCACAAGTAAACACGCTGAGCGGATGCCCATATTGTTTTCAAATTAGAGCTAGCAAAGGAGACCTCAGCTTACAAACTTGACGGCCACTTGCAACACCTGCGCAGTAAACGTTCCGAGGGGCAGTGGTAAAACTTCAGGTTACAACAAAAGGTAATTCAGCGCGGCTTTTCTGTATCAGAACTGGATCGATATCGGCCGATACTAAACTGTAGACATCTGTATCGGTATCAGAGGTGAAAAAAGCAGATCAGTACATCCCCAGTTTCAAGAAATAAAAAACAATTCTTTTCATTACAATATCAAAATATAAACTATGGTGTTGGTTTTGGATGACAGATGTGTGACTACTTTCAATTGATAAAAAACAAAAACTAATAGTGGGAATAAATCTAATAACAATCATAAAAAAGTGCTTTTGTGAAAAGGTTTCCCAGTCTAAACTTAACTAACGCTACACTAATAACTGGAGGGTCATAATAACTAACCTTTCTGATACATTCTCTTACCTGAAACCACATTGTTGGAAATATTTTCTGTATCTTTATGTTTAAACTTTTCCCCAAAGCGTGTCCATCCTGTGTACAAAGGATTTACACATGCAGCTTTATCAGAGGGAAAGCAACAACCAATGGGAGTGTGTGTCAACATAACCTCACCTTTCTGAAATAAAATGAGACCCAACCCCTGACCTTTGTGTGAGCCCGCTGATAAGAGGTGGAGGACATCAATGAGATCTACACACAATCTCATCTGCTCTTCAAGCAGGCATGTGCTCACACATACCAAACACACACATGTTAGAGTGCGAGGCATTTGTTTGACCTGTTAAACTAATCCAATCAGGATGTTTGTTCACATCAAGAACACTTTCCATCACCTCCCTGTATAGAGGTTACCTTAGGTTAGCTATTAGAGATGACCTGTTGTAAGAGCTTTTAAAGAGCTTTATAAAAATCAAAGGAATGACTCAGAGAAGGAGCTGAATGAGAAGCTGTTTTGTAGATATGACAGAGTGGCATGGTTTGCAGTTTTATAGTGTTTATACAAGAGTCTGTCCCGTGGGTTACGCTGTGAGGAAGAAGTTACACAAATTCCCTTGAACAGATGGAAACTGACTTCAGTTTATGAATGCAGTCCTAAAAACCTTGATAGACAACTTAGAGGACATTCTCAGTATGAGTTTCAATTCATTTGATGAGCACAAGACTCTGGATTTAGAAACATGCTACAAACGCTGACACAAACAGCAGGATAAATTCAAATTACACCGCCAAATACAAAACACAGAAAACACAGCTAAAACCAGATTAACAACCAATTGAAGAAGAGACTCACGAGAAATCACCAAATACAAACCCATGACCAAATATTGAGAACACAAACAAAGCAGACAACACAATTGAGTCACAGATGCAAATATCTCAGGCTATTTAACTGAAAATGTAAACTGAAAATATGGTCAGCAGTTTAAACAGTTACTTATTAACGTCACTGACTTCAGTCTTGTCTGGGAGTCCCTGAGCTCCATCATGCTGTAGGTTTCTCTGGATCGCTGTTGCGGATGTTTTGCTGCTGTGGACCTACTTGCTTTCCAGCTGCTTCAACTTCATATATCATTGTCACCTCTGTTCATCTCTCTCTCTTTCTCCATCTCCCTCTGTCCTCTCTCTAAACCCAGCGCAGTCTCAGCAGATGACCGTCTAACATAAGTGTGGTTCTGCTGGAGGTTTCTGCCTGTTAAAGGAAATTTACCCCTCCACTGTAACTTGCTACATGCTGCAAAGAGTTTTACTTATGTGGATGAAAATAGGATGGGAGTGGATCTAATCTTACAAGATGAGGGTTAGTCTGACCCATAGACTGTATATAAAATGGACGCCGTCTGTCTCCTCGCCGGGTGAAGCCACTCCGAGAACAGCACCCCCTAGAGCCTGGCTGCAGTACAAGTCATAAACCCCACTTCTGCCAGCAAAGTGAATGGAGCGGCGGACGGCCTTTAGAAATTAATTTCACAGAAAATACACTTTTCTCACCCCCGACTGCGATGTTGACATGTAGTTATTATTAGACTGGTTTGTGTTCAGGTCTTTTTTTCTCTCTGCAGCTCCATTTTAAAAAGTTATAAGGAGTTATAAAAACAGGAAATTGCGTCATTCTCTACACTTTGCACTTGCTGCTTGTGCGTCGCTCTTTTTTGTCCATCGTCAAGTCCGATCGGGTTTGCCAGTGGAGAAGAGGATTACATTTTTCCATCGTTTTTCTCTTTTATTGCATTGGAAAAATGAGTTGTTCTGCAGTAAACTGTGTTAACCGACATGTGAAATCGGGATCTTTGCAGTTGTTTCAGTAAGTTATGTTTTTTTATGAAGTCATCAGCTTGCTAGCTACATAACATTAAACGGTCTGGTTTAATTTAGCTAATGGGGTTTACTTACAGATACCAAGCGGTAAGTTCTGTGCCTTATTTAAGCGTTTTTATTAGAAGTTAAACAATGAGGAAACCCCTTAAAATCCGCCTTCTCTTTATAACAATATTATGACTACGTGACTTTGAATTTGAATTAAAAACCGTACCGATCACACAGATTCATACTAGCAACCAAATGCTACCACAGAGTATCAGGGCATGAAATGAAAACTCGAGGCATGAAGTCATAATGTTAAAGGAATTAATTCGCATTTAAGTCATTCCCCTAATATTGCATCACTTTATGAGAACAAGGCCATGTAAATGAATATAATGAGAGTCATGATGTTATGAGTCGAAGTTTTGGTAATGGATCAACCAGTTTTACTCGGGTATGTTACAACGAGAGCAGCCTGCGCTAAAGTCAGGTATGGTTTAATTAAAATGCATCTTTCGGATGCACCGTCCTAGCTTTCTGGCAGAGGATTGACCACCGGTTCAGTCTCCTCCGTACAGCGGCAGTAGTATTACAGCTTCTGGTGACATAACGATATTTGTCTAAGATAAAGCTCTGAAACTGTCTTTAATGGGACAAAACGTCGAGAAAACGAGACCCTATAAGTGTATAGAAGGACATGCTCAAAAGATTACTTATACAAGTTGCACAACTGTTATTTATTTTATGTTATCAAATAACATACATAAGTCATAAGTATACTTCTTTGTAATGACAATTATCATTTACAGCAGCATGGTAGATCATGTCTTATTGTTTTCAAGATAGATAGATAGCCCTGTTACTTATGAGATTGAGATAAAACTATGAGCAATGTAATTAGTTATGGAAAGACAGCTGCATATGATATACTTCATCAATCACAATGATATTAAAATTTTTATTACATGCAAAGAAATCCCTCAATTGTGATAGGATGTTCATAAGACATATCACTCACAAGATGAAATGATTTAGATTATTTATACAGTTTGAATATTCATTCACTTGAGGTATTTTTTGTGATTGTCTTTGAATTGAGTTTTGGCTTCAGCCTGTTATGCAACAAAGCAAGAATTAAACTGAACGCAAAACATTAACTTTGTGTTGTTTACAAACTCGACAAATGGCAGTAAGCAATGTTATTGTATTTTTGTAAAGTTTCCCTTTAGGTGACAAAGCGAGGCTGAAGCAGTGGCTGGTGAACACAAGACGGCAGGACTGGAAACCAACAGGATCATCACGTCTTTGCAGTGCTCATTTTGAAGAGCATGCCTTTACTGTGGACTCAAAGGTTAAATTATTTCTTTTTTAATGGACAGCAATTTTTATGAAGTTCAATTTTGCAACAATTTATTGTTAAATTGACTAACACTTTGAATCATAAAATGGCGGTTATTTAAACATTCCCAAGAGCTGAACACTACAACTATTGTGGTTCCATTTTAAATTACTGCTGTTTTTATGTTTTCTAAATTTAGGTATTTGCATGTAGTTGTTGTGTCTGCTACCATCTACTGGTCATTATTAGTTAGTGTCATCAGTCATTTTCAGTTTAAGTTGGCGCAGCCTGGAGTAAAAAAAACAGGAATCACGTTGCAAAAAAAGTTTGAGTGATACCACATGAACAACTTCTTATGCTTAGACCAATTGTGCCCTGTTAGATAAAGGTAACAGCACTAGCCAAGTAGTAGTCTCTAAGAATGCTAACTAAATGAAACCTTTTAAATAATTGGACAAGTATATCAAAACCTCTAAAGTTTTCATGCTGAGCTACCACCTGGTTTGAGACATAAGTGTCGTAATGAATTTAAGTGCTGGTATTCACAATTTAATTGATGAATTTCTTTGTGTTTTTCAGACTTCATCACCAACCACTGATGATATGGTGGATTCATCTGCTGCAGCCTGTTTCCTTTCCACCCAATGCAACTCCCAAAGTACTAGATTATATCTTTTTAAGTTCCTGGTAAAATAACAAACATACAGGTTTTCTGCAAAGGAGTAAAGTATTTATAAATCACAAATAAATACTAAAATGCTAGTGTCCTCTCACAAGTGTCCATGTCATGCTATCTGATTTACATTAATTACATGCTGTTCACTACACATATTGTCAGTTTGTTTTTTCAGTTTTACCACACTTTGTCCACTTCATGGTGAGGACTCGCACACAGAAAGATGGAAAAGACAAATGTCTTGAAAAGTTGGATCCCTTTTATTGCTAGGAATAAAATGGATCCAACTTTTTTTGAGACATTTGTCTTTCCCATCTTTCTGTGTGTGAGTCCTTTACAGCCTTTTTGAATTGTCTTATCTGACCATTGCACCAGAAGCAAGAATACTAGGACTGATGTTAAGCTCTTTTCTTGTAAATCACTTGATGATGAGTACATAAGAAATGCATTGACTTTGTTGTGGTATGTTTTTTTCTTTTGATAGCTTTACATGAAAAATAAAATTTTGAGACAAATACTCTGGAATAATAAAGCATATACTGTGTTTTTTCATCTGTGCTGTAAATCAGAAAACTTTATCATGGTACAGCAAATCACAGAAAAGCATGTGAAGTTTCAACATTAATTAAATTTTTCTAACAATAAAAAACATCCCCTGCTACATTCGTTGTGGGGAAAACGCCTTGAGGAAGACCATCGGGTGGAATGGCTGGGGTATGGCAGAAAGTTTGTAAAACAGAGAGAGAGAGAGAAGGAGGAAGAGCTGTGACAGAATTGAACAGTGTGATGGTTACCTTTGTAAAACAAAATTCACAAAATTGTGCTTGTGTAAACAATTAAACAAAATGTGCAAATCAATCACAAATAAAGCAGATAAATCCTGACCATTTTTTGCTGCCTATTGTAGGTGAAATCCCAAATCTAGCACCACCCTACTAGATTTGGTCTTTCAAACACAAGGCAATATTATTTAAAAAAATGTCATTACCCAAAGTGGTGAAATGAACTCCATTAGTATAAAAAAAGGCCAGGATCTCTGTGCTTTATTTGAGGATGATGCACAATGCTTCCACCAACAGATGAAACAAAAGTAGCCATCACACTGTTCACATAGCGCCTGGCTTTGTCCATTTTCTTGGGGCTGTATCTCCATCGGCTCCTCTGAGTGATGGCAGAGAAGATGATCCTCACGGTGGGGAACTGCCGATGGAGATCCTGGAGGTCCTGCTGTTGAATTTCTGTAAATGTATTGAACAATAAAAGAAAAAAAAAGTCATTTTCCTACAAAACCTTGCATGGCTTGTGATTCAGCATGATTCCACATCATGCTGAATCACAAGCTGTTTAATATTTTTTTACAGTAGATATAATTTGGAATTGAAAACTTGAGCTTGCTCTTGTTACATCACAAAAAAAAATATTTATAACATTACCTAATAAAAGTCTGACTAAAATCATATCCAACTAAATCAGCATCCATCTCAATGAATTTTTATCCTTACTTCTGGTCACAGTGGCTGATGTTGTGCTCATCTTTGAAGCTTCTTTTCTCTTTGTCTAAAAAAAGAACAACATAAATATTTGCTGTTCATTCAGAATTTTGTTCATTTTTAATCACAGGACAATAGCATATATCGTAACAACTGATAAACTAAAAATATCACGTATTTTGCTGTTTAATTTACCAAGGCTAGTGTTAAATTGCAATGCTACTTTAGCTTACATTTACACCGTTTCTTTCAACAAAGAGAGATGACTTACTTCCAATCAAATAATAGATGATATCTTTATTCGTGTTAGTTATGATGGTATTTTATGTTCTTAAAAGTTAGTACGCTCACAAATTTCACATTATATCAGGAGAAGTGGAACTTACTTATTCTTGGTCGCGACGAGCGGGGAAGCTATTAGCGATACCGATGTAAGGCTGGAAGGACATCCGGGGGGGGGGGGGGGGGGGGGGGGGGGCACTTTTTGAGCGGAACGTCATCGCGCCGAGTCTCCCGTCCAGCCAAAAACGTCTGCGTACAACGCTACTGCGCAGCTCTGGTTGCACGGAACCCGGAATTACCGAGAGCTTCTTGGCTTCAAATCCGTATACAGGCGGAAGGCGGAACCACGGCGTCCATCTTATATACAGTCTATGGTCTGACCTCATCTTTACATTGGGTTCTTGTTAGTGGAGTATGGTCTAGACCAGCTTTTTTTGGCAACATGTTGGGATGACACTTATCGTGAATTGGTGCTTTATAGATAGGTTGAGATTGAGATAAAGATTGCAGTGACTCGTGTTAAAGTCAAGTCAATGAATCTCCAGTCAGCGGTAAATCTCAGGTTCTCACTGTTCAAGTCCGATTTACCACAGAAGAAATCTAGTTGAGTCCTCATTACTTATTTCCCGGTCTGAGTCGAATCCTCATTATAAAAATGACTAATTATTACAAAAGGGGTCACTCTTTGACTTTTATTGACTGCATGGACCTAGACTGACCTAATGAAACTGGACAGACTGTGTAAGACCTTCTGGATTAAATAATAATAATAATAATGCATCAGATTTTATAGTGCTTTATCAGAGACCCTCAAAGCACTTTACACTGGATACATCATTCATTCACACAGTCACACCTTGGTGGTGGTAAACTACCGTAGTAGTCACAGCTGCACTGGGGCAGACTGGTGGAAACGTGGCTGACAGATTGCGCCTACGGCCTCTTCAACCACCACCACATATCACTCACATTCATACACCAGTGGAGGACACACACTGGGAGCAAGGTGGGTTAAGTATCTTGCCCAAGGACACAACGGACAGACTAGGGATAGGGGGGAATCGAACCGCCAACCTTCCAGTTGTTTGATGACCGCTCTACCTACCTACTAATTATATTACTTTAATCATCTCTAAGCTCAATGGGACTGACCTCACTCAAATAAATAAAATGAATAAATAAATAACGGATTCTGACTGACCCTGTCAGCTAAATCACCGCAGGTGTCTCACAAACTCAGAAATACCTGCAGTCTGACAGCTATTTGTGCTACATTTGTTTCTAGGGGAGGTTTTCCCCTATATATAAAAAAATATATCACTTTTGGTTGTCTTTCTGTTGCAGTGCGGAGGGCTTTATACATGAGGACAAACAAAATGAGTCTTAACTCTTGAATGAGGCTAATCGAAGTTTGAATCCACCACACATCTATCCAGTGCTAAGATGTTTGGTAGGTTCCAGTATCCAGTGGTCTGGTGTCTTAAAAGGACAAAATTAATTTTAGCTTCCTAGCTGTAACGTAACCAACAGTTCAGGGAAGATGAGGCACTTACTTGTCATGTCCAGACAGATATCTGTTAAAGTTTCAATCTACCCTCCTCCCTTCCTTGATGGTTCTTTTACGTATTGCACATATTGCTCTTTTCTGAAACTACTGTCAAATATTTTAAAAATATGTAAAAGCCTGAGTAAGAGTATCTTTATGCTGGATGGAGCTGTAGCAGAAAAAGATGGCCCATAAATGCACATGCAGACAAACCCGCATGCCAGCCTTGGCTCTAAACCCAAATTTTTATGGCCTCATGTATAAAATCTAATATAGACATTGAAACAGTCTTTATCAATCCAAGTTCTTGTGCAGTCATTGCTTGGGGCAACGCCCATAAACCATCCCCCCCCCCCCCCCCACCCCCGGTGATGTCTACTGTCTTGAGTCTATTTCTGTCTCTTTAAATGCTACACAAATACACACACACACACACACACACACACACACACACACACACACACACACACACACACACACAAACTCAGTTGTCTTCCGCACAGAAGCTTTCTGTCTTTTTGTCTTGCAGTCCCCTATGATGCGTGCATACTTCCTAGATTCCCACAAAGACAAAATACCACACTAACGACAAAAAATACCAGCTTCTGTCTTACACAAATATATAACTGGACAATGACAGCCTGTTTATTCATAGCTCTTTAGCTGCTGTTATGGCAGTGGGTTTTGTGGAGGGGACTGGAGGTAGTCTGACCCTCTGGGGCCTGGAACTTGGAAGCGGGCCACAGGAAGAGCGTGTCCTTGTAAAGACCAGTCGTCTGGGGTCCTATAAGCCACCACTGCTGCCTGACATCTGGGGCTGTCTAGCTGGACTGAGGCTGAATGCATGCTGGGCAGTCCAGCACAAAGGCACACTGCACACATCAGGGTCAGGGGTCAATTCACTTTCAGTTTCTTACTTTGAGAAACAAAATTCTTGAGTCATTTTAAAGCTCTTTGTTGTCCTTTCTGAATCATTTCTGAGAACGAGTGTTATGTCAGGGAATCTGTAAATGGCACTTCCAGTATGCATTTGTAATTGGATGAAGTACACACACGCACACAAACACACACACAACTCTCCCCTACACACAGGATTATTTAGTTTCCCTTAACAACACAGCAGCAGATGACTGAGGTACCAGGAAGTGCTTAATCTCACTGGGGAAAGAGTCAGTGACCACAGCATATTTGTTATGTTGTGCACGCACGCACGCGCACACACACACACACACACACACACACACACACACACACACACACACACACACACACACACACACACAAAACTGCTCTAAAAGGATGAGGATGAACGGCGAAAAATATCAGTGAAAGGCCCAAAAAAACAATTCTGTTCAGTAATTTTTGTCAAATTTGTCATCTTTTTAAACTCATTTTCAGGTATAATTTATATTTTACAAGAGCTTCTATTTCAGTTTATTTATTAACTAATTTTACTCTTCTTTAAATTATATACATACTATATATCCTTTATGCACCTATATTTGATTTAGGTTGGTGAATAATTTAAGTTTAAAAAAGTACCTGTTCATATTAGAAATAGTTTTATAGCGTTTAAAGGCTCTGGAAAGCGATGTAAGACAAATATTGTTCATTAAAAAAAAAATTAAAAAAAAAACATTAATGTGCTGGTAAATAAAGATGACTCCATAGTTTTGTAAACAGCAGCAACACAACTGGCTTTTTGAAGATGGCTTGAAACAGAATTTCTCAAATAAAACTCTTAACAGCCTGGTAAAAGGAAAACTGACTTTAAAAAATGCTCACTGTGTCTGACCTGTTAGCAAAGAAATCAGATAACTATTCATCTTTAGCCAAGACTGTACAACTGTGAGAAACTGACTATGATCCACCTGACATGGGTCTAAAGCAGCGTCTTCAACTAACCCACAGCAGCACCACACTCCACTGTTCACATCCTTGCACTCGCTCTTCATTTGGTTTAATGCCGTGTGCACCGTATTTAAAATCCAGTGGCTCTCTAATAGAAAAAGGAACAAAAATAACACCTGCTGACCAGAACCCTTTCATCCAGGTTTATACTTCCTCCCACCTGCTACAGTCTGCCACTGAAAAGCATCTGGCCCTTATTCATAGCAGGACCCTAAGCCACAAGCTGGACTCTTATCCCCTGTTGTCCCTCGGGGTCAGAATAAGTCACCAACTTGGTGCTTCACGATATTGATGATGTTGATAATGATGATTACGGCCGTGATACACAGAAAACATAAATACATCCATAATTAATTCATAGAACTATGAATTAATTCATTCTTTGCCCTCCACTTGAAACTGTTTTATTCATTTATTTACGCTGATTCCTCCGTCTTCATCCCCGCTTGATCTCAGATGTACGTCACTTTTTGGAATGAATTTGTCACATTGTGACGTCAAGACATCATGTAACTCTACCCAAAAATTAGGACCATTACTAGCTAAAATTTCAGCTGAGATCTAATATATAAATATATGTATGGAGCCTTTTTTGAGGAACATGACAGGGAATAGAAAGAGAAACTGGCCTATCAACTTCATCTGCAGATGAGGACAGATCTACTGATCATTTAATTCTATGAAACTTTAAGAAAGGCTCTATTTGCCCTTGTTTTTTCTCTAAAGTTCATAATTTCATCTCAGTCTTTCCCTTCAAAAGCAAATACAGGGTACTTTCTTTGAGTTAAAATATTGTGCAGAGCCTGGATTGTGATATTATGTGATTAAAAAAAAGGTAATAAATTCCCACTTCCACTTTCTTAGTTTTCTGAGTTTACTCCTAGATAATGAAGAAAGTCATAAACAAAATGCGTCATCTAGCAAAGAAGGTGACTCTGAATGGTAAACAATGCAGCCAAAGGTACTTCTGTTACAGCGAGTCCCACTCCTGAACCCTGGGGATGAGCTCACAGTTCACACACTTGCACTACCAGGTTCTTTGCAGTTAGCAAGAAAGAAAGAAGAAAACTGTTGCCTGGCTTGTGTGCTGGCTCTCCTGGGGTTTTTTCATCAAAGGGGACAAGATGACCGACATCCATTGTGGCATGTGTGAGTAACTTAGTAGAGACATGTTACTCAGACAAGCCCACTTCAAATATACTCTAACATCTCTTCAAGCTGCTTGTGGGACTAAATGTTGTTATAAGCCTCAAAAAGTCTCATCATATGTAGATTTAGTGGGCTTCAGGTCTCAAAACCCCCCTGAGAACACCAACTTTTTCCCCTAAATTATTTTTAGGACCTGTGTCCACCAGCAGAATTTGTGTGTGTGTGTGTGTCTGTGTGCATGTGTGTGTGTTGGGGGAACCTATTTTCTGTAGAAAATCAGAGCAGTCACACAGTTCAGTGCTAAGAGTCTGAAAAAACACCCTCAGTGTTTCTCGAAAAGGTCTGAGTCAAAATTCGACCAACTTTGGAAACACTGCTGCATTCTCCATCTTCACCTCTCCTTCAGTCAACAACAGTGAAGGGGAAGAAACTAACCAGACGTGAAACATTTTCAGGAAATTGAAAACCTGCTGCTAATGCCAGGACATTATTTCTTTGATCTTATGTTTCCTTTTTAATGTCTTAAAATAAAAGCAAATATAGACAACAACAATAAGTGAGACGCACTCTCAAACTTAAGTGGCTTTAATAGACACAGGTCCTCAACTCTGTTGCTCCACTGCTGGAGATCGAGACTCTTTAGAGCAACAAGCAGAAGAAAGTTTGTTTATGGTATGCATGGCACATAAGATATAACCACAATAGAAACTGATGTGATCTTATCACCACCTTAAATTGGTTCCTATCTGATAATTCAACATTGCTTTTGCTGGGATCATTTTGCTCTGTAAAGGGACAAAGGCCCAGATCCAAAGGGCCCTGACTGAGAGCAACATTGGACAAAACAAACAAAACATGTGTCGATTTATCTATCTGCTCATCCATCTATCAATCTATTCATCCTTAATCCAAAGCCAAGCCTGAGAACCTCCACTCAGGCCTTCAGAGACTAAGCAGTTTGCTCTTTTCCACCATTCCCAGCTTATTTATGGAATGCAGCTTTGTCATATTTTTCCATAGCGCAATTTTCCCCTATAAATAGGCACGTAAGGCTCGTAGCGTTGGGGTGGGAGTATGAGGGGTCAGTATCTGTTGTGGACACTCATCATTGCCCCCTCCCCGTCTTGTGCTCCCCCCATTTTTCCAAATATTTGAGCTCAGACAAATATAGAGCACATTCGGGTGATGGGAACCCGTTGGAAAGTTGCTCCTCTAAGTCTACCTCCAGTGAAAGTTTCCAGCCATTCTGACCCATTTTTCCGTTGACATAGACAAAAACTTTACCCTATTGCTGGTTACATGTCGCTATTTAAAGCTTCTTCAATTAGATAAACATTTAGTCTGCATACACTTGCAATGAAATAACATAACTGTCTCTTGGCCTGTAGAAGCTGGAAAATAAGTGGAATGTGTCTTTTTGCTTGTTTGTGTACGTGTCTGTATTTCCTCCACAAAAATAAAGATTACACAGATAATTGAAATGCTATTCAAGGCATTTATAAATATAACATAAACGGATGAACATATTAGTGTTGCAGAATTACTTAAATTGGAAATACATCCCTGGCTCTAGAAAAAAATGTCCGGAATCCTGCCATTTATGTCATTCAAAGAGTTTCCCATCATGTAGATATCTTTGGTTCACTCTCTGCCATGAACAACTTTTAATCTCTTCACACACGGATATTGAAAAGCCACTTCTAACCTGCCAAATGCTATAAGCACAAACACAAGGAAGTGTGAGAAGAGGCTGATATTGATACATGAACCACAAATACTAAGATTTCATTTCACAATTTCAAAAATTGGAAGATTCTTCTGGTATGTTGCTTCTTATTGATGAATATTTTTGCCTTCTCCAGTTTGTATCTGTCTATATCTGGCACAAATTTCAATCAAACAATCAGCATTCATCATTCACCTCTAAGCTCACTGCCCCAGACCTTTACAAAAAAGGACTAGGGCCACTGGGGGAAAAAAAGGTGCAATACATAAATTTTTAATTATACTGACTTTTTTTTTTTTTTAAAGAATATTGACTAATATATATTGAATATATTGTCTTTTTCCCCAGTGGCCCTAATCCCCTTCTGTAGACCTTTCTGTTCATACCAAGCAATAATGAAAAATAAAAAAACAGCTCCTATCCAACACCATCATCCTCCATCTCAATATTCTGTCAGTGTCTTGTGCCAACCGGTAGACATCTCAACACAGTCAGACCAACATCTGAACAGTTTGTTCTGTAACTTAAACAGAAATATAAATCCCCTTATTATTATGGCTGTCAAAGTAGGCCTCATGTAGAGTAGCTGCTACATTGGTAATAGGGGGATCAGAATAAATAGATGAACCAGTAAGTTTTAATTGCTATTAATATTTCAGTGGCTAACAGTGATAAATCACGTTTAAATAACACATTCTGTTTTTTTAATCCCAACAGTTTTCAGGCACAAAGTCACTGCATAAAACAAACAACAAAACATCATATGACGTGTGCTGTATTCTGTTGACATTTTGATTGATTATTCACAGAACTGCTGCTCTGATCCATCTGACTGATACTTCTGCATGAGAGTTGGGCAGGGATTCATTTTTTGTGTTTGCTCTTCAGTTAGAAACATCTTTATTCTGTTGTTGCATCATACACATTTGCCTTCTTCCACAGCATGTTAAGCAGTTTACATGATCTGACTATAGCCTATCAGTATTATTAATAGAGGGAAAATCACTTGTTGCCCCACGATTCAATATTATCACAATACGTATTGCGATACAATATATTGTGATTCATACAAATTTTTCAACTGTTTAGCTAATTTATCATTTGGCTTTCCGTTATGTTTGTCTTAGTATTTTATTTTCGTGTAGCACATCTTGCAAACCTTATACATGTATATTTGTTGTACTAACTGTACTTTCTACTGCTCTATGATGTCTCCTCTGCCAACCTCTCTGGACAACAAGTTGATTTTATTTTTCCATTATCATAGATTTGACTTCATATTAGCAATTAATTTGAAAAGTTGATACTTGGTAAATCAGACGATACGATATATCACCAGACAAAATATGGCGATACTATGCTATATCGATTTTTTTCTCCCACCACTAATTATTAACTTTTTACCCTTGTCTCTCTTTCCTGTAACAAGATTTTAGGGCATCCTATACTAATTAATGAATGACTATACTATAATGACTGTACTGTCTGACTCTCTGGCTGAGAAGAAGAGAGAAGCAGAGAGAATATAACTGAATATAGACATATTTCACAGTGGTGACACTACATTGGTTTAGTGCTGAGATTGCAGTTTAACAAAAAAGAGACAAATTGACCAAAAGTGCTGTCCTTAGCAAAATGGTATCCCTCATGAAAACAATGCTGATGAGGACCACAGTGAGACAAAAGTTAAGCTAATGTGACCGCCTTTCACTTTCACATGCAGGAAAAATCCAGAATGTGTGGGAGAAATAAAAAAAGCAAACAGCATGCATCGACTATTTACCTAAATTGCGTCCTAACTGATGAGTAGATGCTGTCAACTCCTATTTCGAGTATAAAGTTCAAAACATAATGGAATAAATTTTGCCATATTTTGCCATAAGTGTTGGGCATCAGAAGCTTGGTCCACTGTGCCAGGCATGGTTGGAAAAAGGGCAAGGGTTTGTACAAACTAGATAACTCGGAAACAAAGCAAAGCAAAGACACAAGCACACTTGCAGCAAACAGTTGAGGTGTGGACTGAAACAATTACAGCCATTGAAAGCGGAGACAAAACAACTCATTGCTGTTTAATGTCAACAAATTCAGTTTCTGCACCAATAAATGTCAAAACTACCAAAATACTGTCAAACTCTATTGCTCAGCTGTGTCATTAAAGCTATGGTCCGTTATTTTCTGATAGCAGATCATTGCTATGAAAAGCAGACAGTATTAGGATGCGGCTTTGAATAAAGACTTGGGCTGGTTGGGCTGGTACAAACCTCAGTGACAGAGAAAAGCTGCAAGGCCATATGCAAAATGTACACGTAAAATACTGAAGAATTACTACAAATCTCCTAAAACCTGGATGGTAACTTGTATTTAAATTACTATGCAGCTCTGTGTGTCCCAAAAATAAGTGAGGCTGTGGCTGTACAGAGGTGAAACAGAGCACTGCAACCGCCAAGTCGAGGCTCATCCTGAGTGTATTATACATCAATCTGAACCTGACATGAACGGCTTAAACAATCTGCATTATAGATATACTGTATAACTATGTATATTAGACTATTTTACAACACAGCCCAGAAGCTTCAGCAAACAGACGGGGCATCGATATCTGGCCAGTGAATAAAGCAATAAATGTAGAAATGCACAAACACAGCCGGAAAAAATACTAGGATGTATTTAAAAGAAGACATGACATGCAGGTTCTGGTTTTACGGAACAGTTTGCATGAGATTATTCTGAAAGTTAGACTAATTTTCACAAAGTGCGTGCATTTTACAGTCTCCTTCACTGAGTGTGAAGGCAGCACAGATATGATTGCCTATGAGAGGACTGACCTGGAATCCAAATATCTGTACTGACAGTAATAGTAATCATGTTAGACGTAGTACTAAGAGTTTAAATGGGCAAGACACATAGATGACAGCCATCTGCCACAATAATCTAGTTATATTAGAGGAAAACCACACATAGAAGCTGCAGTGATCAACAGCCCAGAGGATATTGATTTGTGACACAAAAATTTGCCTTGTTTATGAATAAAAGGCCTTATTGAGGATGCATCAAGCACTGACCGGTACGAAGAAATTCACAAATTTGGAAATGACATGCGACAGAAATCCTCAAGTTTTCGATACTTTAAATAAAGGTGCAGCATATATAAATGTGAACTTCTGCCCTAACGCTTCCTTGCTCACCCCTAGATTTGTGAAAGTGGCTTTTGAGTACAAGAAGCTCCGGTGAATCATCTGTCAAGTATCTTGAAAAACATCGATCACAACAACCACTCTCTTCTTCTGACCTTCTAACATTTTGCACAAACTCTTACTGCATGTAATAAAGCACCTAGTTTAAGTTTGTCCGCTTTGTGTCACTGTAGAAACATGGCAGACAAAGACCACTACCAATGTAGAGGGGGATCTGCAGTAGATGTACAATAAAAAGCTCATTAGCTAAGTTACAAAGGCAAAACTCTTACATCCCATCTCTACCATGTCTGCATGTCTGTTCTGCTGCATGCCACTAAAAACTACAGACTGTACCTTTACATAAGGCTAATAATGATATATATATATATATATATATATATGACGTCAAACACTTTTCTGTGCAGTCACTCATGCTTTGTAACTTTTACTGTCACAGGTCTAACAATAGGTTTAGCTAATTAAGGACTGATCAGTTCAATACAGAGAAGTTAAGTCTACTCACAGCTCCTAACCGTCATTAAGGGGCCTTGGTCACAAGATCACTCTGCTGCTACTAGCCAGTGGTGTTTCACTACACACACACGCACACACACATACAGTACAGCCACACACTCGCACACTGCTGGAATGACATTGTTGTTCATTCAGAGAAGCAGCTTGCTGTCGTAGCTGGCTGCGTTTGTTGTTGAAAGGTCCCCTGGGTGGAGATTCCTTTGGGCCTCAGTCATAAGGAGAGGCATCAATGGGAAACCAGTGGGGATAAATGAATGGGCCTGTGGTCAGGTGCTGCTCTGTTATGTGAGTGTTGCAACTGCTGAATGGTGAGCACATCTCACAACGATGACACGAGCTGAGGGTGTTTAAAGGTTGAAAGATACATCATAGCTCAGCTGTGTCCACCGCTGCTCTATAAGATCAAACTGTGCTCTTCAATGTGAGCATGCAGCTCACTTACAAGGTTACATAAAAAAACCTAATGACTACAATAGATAAGATCTGTCAGTGTGTTGTAATATTTTCTGATCAAAGCCTCTTGTACTGGAACACTTAATGTTTTTCATTGGCTATTCGTATAGTCTACCAAAACATGGCAGAATGACGACTATCAAAAGCACATTGACCATGTTTTATATTGATATTGAGGGAAATTAATTTTCGATACATATCGTTATCGTGTTATCGCCCAGCCCTACTTCCAAGCTTAACACTGCCATCAGGAGAAAGACTTTTAAAAACAAATCTGTTGTAACTTAAATACAGATCTACAAATCTGAGGTGTTTAACCTGAATTTGCATATAGACTAGCGGTGAGACTAGAGTTAGCCTTTCTGCATTGAGACTAAAAATAACTTTACACATATACCCTGATAGCTTACACTATTTATTTGTACTTGAAAATGTTTATGCAACTTTCAGTTGAACTGCTTAATTGTTTTCAGATAAAAATAAGTCAGGACATTAAGTTTTAAAACTTTATATAGTACTTGGACCATAGACTGTATCTGAGTAGTGGGTTAACCTCTTGGCTTCACAAGTGTGGCCAACAAGTGAGACTGCCTTCAGTCTGAATCATCATTTATATCCATGAGATGGTAAGAGTAAAGCTACCACATGAATACTGGTGTAAAAATTACTCACCTTTCACCTTAAAAAGTTGCACAAATAAGCAAAATTGGCAAACTTGTAGTTATTCTGTAGGTTCCATTTGTTGCAGAGGCAGCAGTCACTGTTAGGATTAAATATACAGTACAGTCTTACTTTAACTAAATGTGGTTCTCTACCACATGGCAAAATGAAACAACACTACAGCCTGGTGCAAACCACTTTTGATCTTAAATGCTAAAATAACCTGAAGGTTCAAATTACGCAAACTGATTAAGGTTTATGGTGAATTTTTAGCTGACATTGAGATTTGTGCCACTAGTAACTAAAATTACATAATTAAATTGAATTTGAAAAGCATGATTTAAAATTGAAATTAATGTTTTGAAATTGAATATATTTGCTTTGACATTGTATTCAACCCACTTGAAAATTCAATTCTCTATTTTGCTTAAATTCAACAATCAAAAATTTGATTTCAGTTTGCACAATTCAGATTCAGTATTACAATTCAATTTCGGTTCAGCCTGGCACAACCATTACCTCACGTACGTCTGTGAGGAAGAGTAATCGAGCGCAGATTCACACAGCTCCTATTTACGTCTGCAAAAACTCAACTGAGTGGAGTGAACTGGACTGGGGCCATTTCCATGATGTATGAAGACTAGGGACTGAATAATCCACTTTGCATTCAACTTAAAATTATTCATATCTTCATGTGTAGGAAAAAGCATAATGTAAGCCTTAGCATTACTGTAGCTATTACTGTATGCTTCTCAAATTCAATATAATTATTTAATTTCATTTTATAGCAGCAGAAATCTCAGCCCATATTAAATTCTCAGTGGACATTTCAACAACTTTTATTTTTGTTATTTCAACAGGCAACTTCTTGAGTAATAATTCCAATCACCTCAGTCTTAATATGAGAATAATTACAGTATGAGGAGATCGTTAAACGTGTTTTCAATTATAATGTGAAATCAAAATAGCACATTTAAAATTTGGTCCCCCTGCTCTAGTATTAACTGATCTATGATTTTAGGGTAAATGTGAAGTCTCTTTCTTCCTGTAAGAACATTAAAATATTGCTGATGGGGGTGACATGATAATGAGTGGAAACAACTTGAGCACACCAATCAAAGAGCATGATGGGAGTCAATCTGTTCATTTCCTCTCTTAACCTCAGCTACCTGATGTGTGGGTGAAGGAAAACAGTCTGCTATGGCCAACTGGAACCATGTTGGTTAAGCCATGTGCACTTTGGATCAAATTAATCAAATCTGAGGGATTTGATCTAAAGCCCTCCCATAATTATAATACACTCACTATTCACTTGGAAATGTGTCACATTATGTGAGCTCAGTGCTGCATTTTATCACGGCTGTATAACAATATCAGTAAGAATCACAAGTTTGTATTTTAAGAGGACATCATCTGTTAGAAGGAGTGCAGCACATTTCCAAAGTTGAACCTCATGCTTTGATAAATGTTGTGTAAGTGTCTCAAACCAATAATGTAAAATAATCCTAAAATAAACTTTAGTTACCATCATGACAGTAAACAACATTAACATAACATCAAGCACCGTCACTGCAACTTCAACCAACCAATTGGACGCTCTCTTCACTTGTGACACACACAGAGAGAAAGCTAATTAAACACCTGAAAACAAATATTTTTGGCACAGAGAACTTGGAGCTTTAAAACTCATCATTAATACCTCAATAAAACAATTAGCCGTGGCAAAATCCTTAAAGCTAGAATGAGCTAAGTACTCAGTAAAAAAGCTGCCGGTCCTTGTGCAATAAGCTTTGAGAATTGAGGTTGTTTAAGGAACAAGAAACCTGCAAGAACATGCTGCATCATATGCTGCATTTTTAACCTTACAGATCTACACAGCGTCACTAATACTGGTGCTAATAAGATAGCACCGAATCATTGTTCTTTTCTTTCAGCGTTAAATCAGTGCTGTTTCAAATGAACAATAATTGCATTAACTTTAAATATTAACCCTTAAATAGAAATCCATTTGCAAACAAAAAAACAAAACACAACCTTGGCAGCTGTGCTGAGACTTGTACGCACAATAACACTCACTAAACTATCAGTAAGCAAAGTGAGATTTCCTTTCTGCAATGGGTTCAAACAGGACAAGAAAAATAACTGAAGCTGGATGTTCAGCTGTGGATGGGGTTAAAGCTTAGAGCTGGATCTGGGTCTGTGGGGTCAGCTGGAGCAGTGGCAGGGGCCTGCAGCCCATAGTGGGGCTCTACTAGCAGTTCCCCCCCCCTCACTGCTAGCTAGGAAAAAACAAGGAGGGGAAAAGTGCAAGCATACGAAGAGAACTGAGTGGGCTAGCACTGCATCTGTGCATTATGAGAAAGTCTCTGAGCAGATGTTTCTGTCAGGTTCATTTGTGGAGATAGATACATGACATTCTGTTTTCAGATCAGTTGATGACTGACACCTTTACAGTCAATGTGAACAAAATGGGATTAATGCAGACACAGAATGGGTTTGACCTTCTGAAGGTGTGCAGATCAGACAGTAAGAAAGTGAGTAAACTGTCTGCAGTATGGAACTTTCTCAATGTGTAACTTTAAAGAGGTCAAAGCACCTTACATAAGTCAGTGTATTTTATGACACTTTAATATGTGGCACTGTTTTAAACATCAAATCTTGTTCAAATCAACTAGCATCATAGCAACCTCTTTAGCTTAGTTTAAATCCCACATATCAAATCAATCAATCAATTTTAAAGGGGTGGTATCATGCTTTTCCACATTTTCAACAAAAAAAAAATGCAAAGTTACAATGTTTGGTGTCCATACTACATCAAGTTTTAAATCATGAGGTAAACATATGTTGTCATAATTTTGGAAAACAGATGTAAACTGCTCAAAATGGGAGCCTGCGAGAAAACGCGTAACTCACTAAATGCCTGCGTCAGCGTTTTAGGCTCTCCTTACTAGTTCATCCAAGCTTCCGAGGTGACACCCACAGTGGAGTGAGGCAACTCTGCTCGGCTGCACTACTGATTGACCACAATAAATAGGTGGCGGAGCAAAAACCTCAAGCTCTGCCCTCAGTGGCCAGTCAGGAGAAAGCAGGCTGATGGAGGGGGGACCTTAAAGAGACAGCAGCTACAACAAAGCCTTTCAGACGGAGGCTGAAATAATGATATTTTAATACAGCACTGTGAGAAATGTGAGGCTGTTTTTGACCTGAAAATCATCTAAAACTATTAAAGAAGTATCAGAAAAGAAGAATAGAGTAAAAAAAATGCACAATACCCCGCTTCAATCAGGTTAGTCATGGAGTTCCACAAGGTTCAGTATTCAGTCCACTTCCTTTCACTTTATATAAGCTTTCTGTGGGTAGTACCATGAAGAAACCCACTATAAATGTTCACTGTTATGCAGATGACACCCAGTAATACTTATCAGTGAAGCCAAAAGAAACCAATCAGCAAACGTTGCATGCCTCAAATATACAAAGGCCTGCATGACCAGAGATTTTTTGCTGCTCATCGCAGACACAACCTAAGTTATTGTTCTTGGCCCAATACACCTCAGATGTTCTAATCAAATAAGTGCGTTATTTGGCATCAGTCTTGCATCCAGCACCACTGTTAGGAGCCTCAGAGCTCTATTTGATCAGGGGTTTTCCTTCAGCTGCCACATTCAATTATGACAACCTGTGTTTGTCATAAAAATCAGACACTTCCTGTCTCAGAATATAAGAATAAGAGAAAGAATAACTTTATTTTATCACCAAAGGAAAATTCAATTGTCAGTAGTCTCAGTTGTCATGTGTCAAAACGTCATCTACTATTTAGAGAAGAGTTGTTAAGTCTGATGAAATTCTGATAAGGTTTGATATGTCAAACCTTAACCATGCATTTGTTACCTGGTTGGGTTATTGTACTCCCCTTTTTATCAGACTGCTTCATTAAGTCCCTAAAGACTCTTCAGCTGGTCCAAAACACTGCAGCTTGAGTACAGGCTACAGCTAGAAAAATAGAGCACATCTCTCCAGTATTAACTTCTTTAGACTGGGTCCCCATAAAATCTAAGATATAATTTGAAATCCTTCGTATGACCTACAAAACTCATAATGATCAGACACCAACATATCTTTAGGATCCCGTAGTGCCCACCACTGTACACTTTCTTTTATCATTATTAACGGCACTGTAACCAAGAGTCAGATGAGTTTCTTGCTGTTGTTTGTCTGACAGTATGAGGGTATGAGATTTTTCATGACATTTTGAAATTGAAACTTAATATTGGGTTACTTTTGCTAATAAATGCTACAGTTTGGCTGAGGTAAACTATCTTGAGAGAATTTTTCCATACATCCCCCCAAGTTTCTTTCTGAAGACCTTTAATCCATAAACTTTCATGAATAATTCAAGACCAAGGAATCATTGAAAGAGTTAAGCATGAGGTGTGGAGGCTGAATCCTGTTTGTGTTTTATTTATTATTGATGTGATTATATGGCCAGATGAAATAAAGCACTAGCGCCTCTTAAGTCTCAGAAAGGCTCTATCAGCTGATGGTAAAAAGCGCTGGTGTCTCCCAGGCCTGTGAAGGGCCCATCTTGGGCTTTTCCTCCAGCCAGTAAATGGAGAGACGGACAGTGTGCCCGGTGTTATCAATGAAGCCAGCCTCTTGGCTCTCCGAAAAGTGCAGCTTGGAAGGCGTCCATGGCAGGGCATTAGGCCTGGAGGTTTGTGTCGTTTGTAATTTATAACACTGAGGGAAATGGGCAAGAGGACAATATGGAGAGAAGAGGGAGAGAGGGAATGTGGGAGGAGGGGGATGGGACTCGCTGCACAAGCAAGTGGCTCTGCTTCCCTGAGTGTGCTGCACAGAGCCTGGTTACTGGGCTGACCAAGCTGGAGGGCTTTCTGTCCCTCTCTGAGGCACAGCCTGAATGAGCCTCATTTCAGTCAAAGTTCGACAAGCAAGCACAGATGAAGAATTTAGTTGTTTATGCGTATATCTGAGCAAAACTGTGAGAGTGAGGGATTATCTGTTTTTCAAAAAGGATGAAACAGTGTTAGCTATCTGCAGGATAGGACAGTAAATTTAACCACAGCTCCACTGTAGCTTTGCAGTGTATGGGAGATGCAGAAGGGAGACCAATAAATCACTTTCATTGACTCCCCACTCAGTCTTTCACTATCTCATTGCAGAGCTCAATATCTGAAATAAAACAGGGAAAAAAACACCTTATACTTTTCATCAGACTTGGTATCTTTGAGGAGTCTTTCAGAAAAGTTTTGCCTCTACCAGTTAAAGATATCATTCTCAGTACAGCAAATCATCATCATTCTTGTCTTCCTTCACATTATCCTACAGTGACACTAATAACAGCAATTTCCCTCAATTTCATGAGCATGACATAATGCACAACACCAAAATTACAGTAATAGTATCTGAAATACATAACTGTAGTCATAACAAACATCTCAGCGACAAAGTGATTATGGCTTTGAACTGACAACACTATCACAGATGGACAAAGACATGTGAATGAACCAAAACTGTGTTCATTTTTGGAGCAGGAGCTCTGCTGTCGACAGACAAATGTGCATGTCTATGTTGTCTGAGTTCCTGATACATTTCAGATGGGATGATTTTGACTTATATTTCATTACATACTTTTAATGCATGAGTTAAAAAACACAGAACCTAACTTGACACTAACTGTAAACTGAGTAAAGACAATTTAGGGGCTTTACTAGTAAGTTATCATAACAGACTTAAAAGCTCTTCAAGCGCTTTAAAGTTAAAATCAAACTGACTAAGCTAGCAGGTTCCCTTAAGAGCATCCAAAGTATTTCTGAGCATTAGCCAACTGTTATGGTAATAGTTCTCAATTCATGTTAATTGTTAGTCTGAACAACACGTCAACACTTTGTCCCTTTACAAACAAACAGCACACAGGTCGAGTGCGATCTCTGTTTTGGGAAACAGCTTATTAGAAGAGCGTGCTTGAGTTCTCAATTGCGTAATACCAAATTTTCCTCAGTAGTGCATGGCTACAGATCCCTGGCAACATGTGCTGGAAGCAGACTCAGCTCCTTAACAACATCCACAACACAAAACTACCAAAGCATTCCTTCAGGAGCAGCAATCATCAGAAATTAAGAGAGTTAACTAAAAAGTTCACCTGAAGGTATCAGGGTGGAAAAAGAAGAAAAGCCTTTGAAATTTGTGTGATATTTCTATAATTTCAGACAAAACTAGCAGCTTTGATTCGATCAGGAATTTTGGATGATACAGAGAGACCACTTTACGTGTTAAAGTAAGGGTCTCCGTTTAATCCTCCTACGACAGCAGATAGTTATAGAAGGCAATTGTCCCTCAACCATAATAAGTCTTTGATTCGCATAAGACTGCCATACAGAGGAGAGAAAGGCTGCTCACAGAGTTTTAGATCAAAAGTTTAGCATAAAAGAAATTTTTCAAAGCTAGGCTTCATAACATGCCATCTTCAAGGCAGCAGGATTTCACTAGACTGTAGCACCTTTTATTTTCTATTACACCTTTTGTTGGTTACACGCAAGTTTGCCAAGTGGGGCAAATTTGGAGGCCAAAGCATTTTCGTACTATTGCCTAATAAAGCAAGCTTACACTGACACAGTTGTTTGAGAACAACAAAAGCAGGAGTTGAAGCGAAGTACCAGATACTGGCTCTACCCTCATGTAAACTCAAGAACAAAATACAAACTTCTGACCCTTCACCCTGAGTTACAGAGCTGTACATCCAAACGGCCACAGACAGACTGCACTGTTGTTTTCATGTCAAAGACGTAGTATGGGGTGCCCAGAGGGGGGGGTGAATGTAAAGAAATGTCATAATGCCAGATCAGACGGGCTTTGGAAATGCACTGCAACTAGATTCACACTCTTTAACTGTTGGACTAATCAGGTCTTAAAAGCTACACTCCATGTTGAACCAGAATCTGAGGAATGTAGGCCAATTTTAAAAGCCAGTCATGTATCGCTACAAACTCAAAAGTTGGCTGCAAAACACATTAATCGCCAAAAGTCAGTGTTCACTCATTTACATTTGATAATACAATTAATCACGGTTTGAATTACATCACCTACGATAGCCTGTCATTCATAAGCATAAACCCTCTGTGTCATTGCTACAGGTTCAATACAAGCATCATATCATACTAACATACTAATTAGAGATTTCATGCATTGTTTTCTTAGCTTTCAATACTTAAAACTGGTACTCTGGGAAGTCCTATTTGATGTAGATCTGAAACCGATTAATTGCAATTTTTTCAGACTCTCTGGTACCTCTTTAATGGCTTTATATGATTTTCAGATTTAAAACAAAACCCTCAAATTTCTCACAGCTGTGTATTAAAATATTATTTCAGCCTCCATCTGAAAGGCTTCGTTTTAGCTGCTGTCTCTTTAAGGCTCCCTCCTCCACAAGCCTATTTTCTCCTGATTGGCCACCTCTCTGGAGGCTTTCCAGAGGCCGGCCAAGGGCAGAGCTTGATGTTTTGAGCCCCGCCCCCTCTATTGTGGTCAATCAATTTAACAGCACAGCAGCACTACTCTGCTCCACTGTGGGTGTCACTTCACACGTCATTGGAGTTAGGCAGTACTGCTTTGCCAGAAGCTAAAATGAACTAGTAAGGAGGGCCTATAACACTAACATAGACATTATAGTGAATCTTACGTCTTTGTGCAGACTCACGTTTTGAGTGGTTTACATCTATTTTCTGAGACGATGACAACATGTTTACCATGTGATTCGAAACTTTGCGTACATGGAGTATGGACAACAAACATTGTAACTTTGCATTTTCTATTGTGAATATTGAAAAGCATAGTACCACCCCACCCCTTCCCCTATAAATATGAAGGTGTACAAATCAGCACTGAATCACAGTTTACTGTTGGGTGCCAGAATAGATGGAGTGATTATGATGTCTTAAAATTGGAGTTGTACCCTAAATCAGATGATCACTGTACATTCACGAAGACAACTTTTGGTAGGTATGATAAAGACTGGACAGAGGTGATCAAAAATGCTTGCAACTGTTACATGTACATGTCTGTCCATTAATTCACCTTTGGAGTTCCTGTCAAATCATCACTCAGTGTATGGACTACTGGCCTGGTCCTGGACATATCAGAGAGCCCCTTATTCTCCTACGGTCTGTTTTGTCTCCAGCTGAGCCCCAAGTAAAGTCATCGTACTGTTGACTAACACTAAAAGGGTCTCTATGGTAATAATAATGACATTCAGTAATTAATTCTGTACCCGCTTGCTTGTCTGAAGACAAAGTAGTTTGCAAATGTGTTTGTCAGCATCCTAACAACAGTCACATATATACTTGTATGGGCTGATAATACATTTGTGTTGTTTACAGCTGGTCCCACTGATGCCATGTGGCTAAATACACTTCAACCCTCCTGTGACAAAGAGCATGGACAATGAAACCTTGACAGTGATGGATCACCTGCAGAACTGCCAGAAATGTACAAGTCTCTGCAAATCTAATGGACTAAAACATGCATACCAATTTTTAGTCCAATGTAGTCAGAGTCAAGATTCAAATAGTAGAAAAGTAACCATTCAACAGGTTTCTACAACAGAGAGGTTGACTGCTCTTTGAAAGAAAGTGGTTGCAATGTTGCAAGTGAAAACACACGCTTGAATGACAAGCAGAGGACAAAACACCAAAATATATTCTCCTTTGTAGTCAGGCGTACAGCCACACCAAGAACAACGGCGTTTCTCGTGAATAAGACTCAAAGTTTCTTTATCAACAGCATGAATGAGCAAATATATTGTGCTAACCCTAACACCTGCAGCATCGAACTTGTTTATTTTTTTTTTATAACAGTTACATTCCATTTATGAAATAACATCTAGCAATTTGTGTCATCTCTTTAACATGAAAACACAGCAAAATGCAGACAACCTCTGACCTGAGGTAATCATTTCTGAGCAAGTGAGCCGCCGGCAGGACAAGTCCTGCTGAGTTCAAAGGGGTGTCCCTCATCAAGAAACATTAAGTGTTCTTACCAACATCATGCCATTTAATCCCAGGACTTTCAGCAGCATTAGCACCAAGGGTTACCAAGCAAACACACACACACACACACACACACACACACACACACACACACACACACACACACACACACACACACACACACACACACACGCACGCATTCTGGAAATTTGCTATGATACACTCCATACAAAGAAGCTAAAAGAATAAAAGCATGAGAGGCAAACCAGAAAACTCCTGTCAGTATAGCAGTGGAAGGCCAAAAGAGGGGAGAAAAGAGTTTCACTTTAAGACAAAGTACCAAGCAAAGAGACCGTGAAGGCTGTTGAATCTGAATTAAGCATAGATTGGCCTATATTGCAGCAATCAGGGAACTAGTTCAAGACGTGCCAGGCCTCATGTAGACTCTTTTACATGGAGGATCTACCTCTCTAATAATGAAGCAAATATGCAAAATAAAAAAAAACTGACACTTTTCTTTCTGCCAAATGTATTGAGATATGAAAAAAACAGGCGATTAAATCATCAATGTGGTGTGCTTCTCAATGTAGGTCAGATTTAAGTCAGTAATGTGAAGTGAAGTGACGAGTTGTCTACTTTTGTTGTCGTTGTCTACCTTCTCTGATAAAACAAACAAAACTTATCTCTTACTTTTACTACAGTGGGTTTGTCCTTTATCAACAAATCTACAACAAAAAAAAAAAAACAACAAGAGAAAAAGAATTGCTTTTTCGCACCGGGAAGCAGTTTGTGGCCCTCTCTCGTGTTATTCCCTTCTGACTAGATCTGTCCTTGTATTGTACTTTCACTCACATGCACGTGGCTCCAGAGACTGGATCCGCTTACTGACATTGTTCAATACTATGATATCAATAAGAAGTGTGGTACGTCAAAACTAATGTGCATATTAGCTCAACTAATTCACAGCTAATGTTGTTTATCTGAGGTACTTCATGCTGTTCACACTACCTGTATTACCATTTACCCTGAATCAGAAATGCATTAATGTATTTTTCATTACTCAATTATCACTAATTAATTTGAGGTTAGCTGACAGTAAGTTGAGGCTTTATTTAACAGCATTAAAACTGTGTAAAAAGCATGGTGACAATAGCTTGGCCCCAATCTATCAGGTAAAATGACCTACTGAGAGACGCAATAAAATAAAAGTTGTGTTTGTTGCAAATGCTTGTATTACCAGTCCCAATGTACATTCTACATTATGAGACATGAGCTGGACTTAAGAGGCTTGACAGATTTGAAATATTGTGTTTCTGTGGTTTATCATAAGGCAAGGAGCTAATTAGGGATAAAGTTTTCTTTGCCTGTGCTGATACCAGTCCCAGGTCCCCTCTGGACTCAAATATTCAAGTTAGGCAAGTGTCCTGCCTTCCCCAGGGGCAGAGATAAGTATGCTGGACCAGAAAAGCTGTGCATAACCTGAAATAAGCACGCCAAACATCCTCCTCTCACAAGGCTGGTTACACTGCATGCGAGTGAGTGAGTGAGTGAGTGAGTGAGTGAGTGAGTGAGTGGGTGAGAGAGTGAGTAACTTTCATTCACTTTCAGGAATAAAGCACATAACTCAAAGTCAGAGAGGCAGCTAAATCCCTGATTCTGACTCAACTACTTGGTTTGGTCCCAAATGGCACACGCTGACCCACTCATTAACTGGCAAACCTGCAGCTTGACAGGCAGCCCCTGGATGACAGTAATTGTTTCAATCGCAGACCAAGAACAATTAATGAAGGGGTCAGAAGTTTCCAGAGGGGTGTCAGCCCAAATTAAAAAGCCTCTGCATGAATCTGACTGTAACCCCTGACCTTGGAAGCCAAGACCAAGGTGTGTGAAACATGAGGGTGTGCACACATGAATAAATGTTGGTTAATTTCAGTATTTCAAGTACTTTCATTGTGGGAAACGACTCTCTTTTATTTTGTTGTGGAGTTGTAAACAAGAGCCGATAAGCGACTCCTGCTTACCAAAAACAGTACATGATGACTTTTTGGACCGATCTTAAAAAATAAATGTAGCCACACAATTTCTAATATAAGCATGTTGAGATTTTTTCATCTTCGTGTCAGACCTCAGACGTCTCAGCAGCTCTGCAAGCGGCGTCAAATTAATTAACGGTGACTTACTATACAAAGCACTTTGAACTGAGTGTGCACGGCACACAGAGCCAGAAACCCTGTTCAGCCTTCCCTACAACTATTGCTTATGACTTTCATGAGATGGCGAGTTCCCTCTGGCACCGGGCCAGCAGCGACCACTACACAGAACTGGACTTTCTACATAATGAACTACTGTATATACTATACTGTACGTCGGCGGCATAATGTGTACCATTCTTTAAGAGGGGGTGGGAACAAACAGTGTTCGTGAGCAACCTTGAGTGAACGGAGAAACCTGGAGTCACAATGGAAACTGTAAACAACATTTCAGGTCTTAAGTTGATGATCGACTGGGTGGAGGTTTTAAGCACATATTAAGAGCCCAGAATAAAATGAACAATATTATCAGGGTAGTGTAAGGAGTAAATGAATTCGCTCGGATTAATATCTTCAAATCCCCAGAAACATTTTGATTGAATAAAATGATGTATAAAAACTGCGACTGTGCACAAATATGGATGATTTAACTAAATTTGACTTTGACTGGAAACAGATGAAATGAAGATCAAAGTTAGGCACTTGAGTGAAAAAGAAAGCACACTTAACACACCTTGTGTACTTGGTGAGGGTATTAAGAACTCAGACTTCGAGACAGATAAAGACAGAAGTTGCTCAGAAATGATTGGTGTGCATGCACAGACTGTTTAGTAGGATTATATATCATTATAACGCATCGTCAAAAAGTATCAATGCATTCTAATTAAAAGTTTAGGTGACCTTTTAATAAACTAGGAGAGCGTTGATACCAGTGATGAGATTGCTGTTTGGTTTAATAAGGCATTGACCATAATGCGTGCATTCAACTACTCTGATTGGACAGAAAAGTCCGTCTTTCATTCAGATTTCATCCTTTTTTTTAAACTTAATTTAGTCATGATAATCAGGTATTTCAACAACAGGTTGAACCCCCTAATTATTGTCTGGCAGTAATGGAGCCTCTGGGGTCAAAGATCAATATTTTGGGGGTTGCGGTTCTCTTGATAAGCTACAAAGGCTCTTTAAGCCGAGACTTCCCTTTCTGTGTGCTATTCACAAATTACATCATAGAGACTTAAAACATGATGATGACCATTATCACCTGTTGTTAAATGAGACTGTTGTAATGCTGAGTGGAGGTCAGATAAGAAGCAGTGGGTTGATGGATTGCATTATGTTTTGTGGAGTCCGCCTCTTTTGCTGTCACAGCACAGGGTTTTCCTGAATTCAGACACAGCTGAAAAGTTGTTGGACAAAACTCAGACTACAGACAGAAGAGCTAAAATCTTGCTTCTCTGAATTCTACATTTATACACCCTCTGTTTATAGATATTGCATTACAGATGGCATTCATTATTTACATTCTATCCCATTAAACCTCTGCTCAAACATAATGCAACAGCGTCTAAATGTATTCTTTAAATATGATGGATGTACTGTGATTGGTAACTGCCTCCGCACTGGAGTTGAAGTAAACTACGCAGTTTCTATCTGAGGGTAGTTTCACTGCTTGTAACTGAAAACAACATAATGTTGCATTTTCACTAAGATTTGATTGGAGTTGTGAGATGTGCTTTCTTTCCGACAAACTTCAGTCCAAGATCATGCAATCATATAAAAAAAAGGATCATCTTTGTTATCAGACCTCTTTGGTTTGTGTATTCAGTGATATGAGAGACATCAGAGAGGTCACATTTGGTAATAATGCTGGTGTAAACAGAGTCAAACATGTCACTGTGCTGCTCTGTGAATAACAAAGAAATCAGGGGGAATTGATGTTTTCTGCTGCAAGTGCTTTTCTGTAAATAATCGCGAGTGACGAAAACAAACAAACAAACTTCAACAGCGAGTATATTATGTAATGTGAATTTGGCATAGAGAACTGAACCTAATTTCTGGTAATGGAGCTGAATGGTTTGTTCTGTTTTCACACCCATTTAATCCTCTTAAAGCAAAGTGAATATTCTCATTTGCACGCAATGCATCAATTGAATTTTTCTACATTGTAAGTATTGATCGATCAGGTGGTTACAGGTGTGAAAATGTATTCCAAGGTTATTTACACGGTGGCCTATTTTGGCGTAAAGACGGAACCAAGTGGTACCAGATCTTCGAACGCTACCAGGAATAACTGAGTCAGAGGCAACAACAGAGAGGGGGATGGCTATGCAAAACATCAGGTAAACCTTGGGTGAGGTAAACATCTTTTACAAACACCATGCGCATAAACACACTCGCACACACAAAACACATGAGGGGCTTGAGGGTTTTAGAGGCTGTTATTCATTATCCACACGACTGCATTCCAGGGCTGGACAAAAGGAGTTATCGCCACCATCATTCAGAGGCAAGCACAAGAGAGGTAGAGAGGGATTTAAGCAGGTTCTCAAACAAGATGCCCCCACCTGATAACCTCAGCACTGCCGTTGCACCATTCCCACATGTCCCCTAATGCATTCACGAATCAGAGGGAGAGAGAGGGAGGGGAAACTAGAAAGAGTGAATGAGAGGGCAAGGTGAGAGGAGGAAAGTAAGACATGGAGAAGGAGGAGAGAGAAAGAAAGAAAAAAAAAAGCGTGTGAACATTAACAGTGAATGGAAGCGATGGAGGAAGATAAGGACACCTCCTCCTCCTCCTCCCCTGTACAGGAAGTGACCGGTGAGGTTTGGCAAGTGCACGTCTCTACTGATGAGGCTGCGCCAATGCTGTGAAAAATGCAAAGGCAGCCCTACACCTTTCCCCATCACAACCTGTAATCTCTTAAAAAAATGAAGTGCAAGATTGGATCTGCCAGATTTAAAGAGTTCAGAATTCACCCACATACTTTGACATTTTAGAGGAGCTGCACAGGGATTATGTTCAGATGAAAAGGACAAGCAGTGGCTTCCTCTATCGCTTCCAATATACTATTACATAACTGCCTCATCAAAGGGGGTAGAGCAGACAGCTGAAAGGTCAACCTGTGTGCGCCATGACCTGTGTCACCTAGAGGTCATCAGAGGTTGACCTAAAAGAATCCTGACTGTTCATCAGAAAGAATAAAGGAACAATGGTGTGAATATTTGAACAATGGTGTTTCTCTGAGGAGTTGACTCACCTTTTTTAAACTCCTCCAGCATTGCATCCAGCTTGGTGTCATTGAACACGAAGTGCAAGGAGTGGCTGTAAAACTTTGTGATGGTTTTGAGCGGGGTGCAATCATCCGGGTCCACAAACGCCAGGTCTTTGACAAACAGCAGGTCCACTATGTTGGACCTCTCGCCCTCGTAGACTGGGATGCGCGTGTAGCCGCTTTTAATGATCTCGGACATGGTGTTGAAGTCGAGGGTGGCATCCTCCGGGATCATGAAGCAATCTCTCAGCGGCGTCATCACATCCTCCACGGTCTTAGTCCTGAGCTCCAGCGCACCCTGGATGATGTTCAACTCCTCCTTCACCAGGTCGTTGTAGGGGTCCGTGACGCGCAGCATCTCCAGAAGCTTCTCCCGGTTGTACACGGTTCCTATCTCCTGCCCGAGAAGGTAGTCCAGTAGTTTACTCACCGGGTAGGACGCAGGAAAGGTGAGCAGCATGAAGAACTTGGTGAGGAATATGGTGTTTGCGCCGACAGCGAGGCCGTGCCTGGAGCAGATGGCCTGTGGCACAATTTCTCCAAAAATCACTATTCCTATCGTGGACATGACCACTGCGATCAGCCCGGAGCCAGCGATATCATCCAGCAGGATAGTCAGGGTGGTGTTCACCAGCACGTTTCCGAGCAGAAGAGAGCACAGTAAGTAATTCCCTTGGCTCCGGACCGGCTCTATTTTTTTGGCGTAATTTTTCTCCCTTTCCGTGCCGCAGTTCTGCACAATCTGGAGCTCCATGGGGTCCAGAGCCATGAGCCCCAGGTTCAACCCGCTGAACATACCCGACAAGCATAACAACATAGAGATGAAGATCACCTGGAGCCAGAAAGGCAGCAGAAACTTTCTCTCCTCCACCACTATCACTTTGGTGTCATCCCCATCGTGGTAGATCCAGGTGTTCTCTGTCCACGGGTCGTGCATCCCAGCCACGGCAGGTGTCGCGGTGGCAATGCAAAGGTAATACGCTTTACTCCTTTCCGTCTTTCGAAGAGGTTTGACCTCGATTTCAACTATTCCGGAGGTTTTTCTGTTCAGAATGATGCTGGGCAGAATAATGATATCCGAAGTCCGTATACCGCAGGGATGTAAGCCGGAGGAGTCCTCTTGGCTCTGGTTATCCCCCGAGGAGCTGTCAAGGCTCCCGACCGTCCGGCTCCTCTCGTGTTCCGTGAAGGCAATTTTGGACCAGGTCTCGTTGTTGATGTTCTGCCCGTAAACTCTTAATTTCACCCGAGAGCGCTCACTCACCCGTAGGTAGCCCCTGTCCATGTAGGAAATATCGTCCGTGTCCTCCAGTCGCAGCCCTATGATGACGGTCTCCTCGGACCCTTCCTTGCCACTTGTCGGGGTGACACAACAGCCAGTGACAGTTAAGAAAATCATCGCCAAAGCTCGGACCCGGTTAAGTGACGCCATTTTTGCAGCGGTTGGTTCTTGGGATAACGGCTCTGCCATAGCGTTAACCGTTGGCAACCAACCTCCTGAATGAAAAGGGCTTTCAAAAATCAGAGCCAGTCGGAGTCCGCCTTCATCTCCTCCGAGGGTTGCCGTGACTTGTACATCGGGACCTGTTCGTTCCCACTACGTGTCCGACACTGATGACTCGCTAGTGCAGGCTTACGGGCCAACTCGTGCCTCCCCTGATGTCCCCAAGACAGGCGACGGCGGTGACCAATCAAAGCGGGCCGCTGACCGGGAGGCGGGGCGTACGCAGCCTCCTTGCCGAATCACATTCCAAAACAAGTGCACCTCATGTTAAAAAACGGACAGGACTCTGCTCGGGACTTTTTTTCACTATATATTCCGCATTTGTTTGAGTTTTCGAGTAAAATTGCGAGAAAGTTTAATTTTCCTTTAAAATAATAATTATAAAAAACGAGACAAAACACAGACGACGCATGACGAGGCAAACAAACGAAAAAATAGCAATTTTAGGGTTAAAAGTTTAACTTAAGACTACTGATTTTTTGTCGTAAAACAAAAAAATATACAGTACAGGCAAAAAGTTTGGAAACACCTTCTCATTCAATGTTTTTTCTTTATTTTTTATGACTATTTACATTGTAGATTATCACTAAAGGCATCAAAACTATGAATGAACACATGTGGAATTTTGTACTTATAAAAAAAAGTGTGAAATAACTGAAAACATGTTTTATATTCTAGTTTCTTTAAAATAGCCACCCTTTGCTCTTGATGACAAGGCACACCTGTGAAGTAAAAACCATTTCAGGTAACTACCCTATGAAGCTCACTGAGAGAACAGCAAAAGTTTGCAGCACTATCAAAAAAGCAAAGGGTGGCTACTTTGAGGAATCTAAAATATAAAACATGTTTTCAGTTATTTCACACTTTTTGTGTAGTACATGATTCCACGTGTTCATTCATAGTTTTGATGCCTTAACTGAGAATCTACAATTTAAATAGTAATGAGAATAAAGAAAATGCATTGAATGAGGTGTGTCCAAACTTTTAGCCTGTACTGTATATATGGAATGTCAATGAAATAATCATAATGATTTGACAACATTCTGTCATACAACTACACCAATAATGATGTGGGCTACAAATTAAAAAAAAGTGATTTCCAAATCTTTCGAAGTCATCGCTTCGTGTTACCAGCCCATTAAAAGGTGTAGTCAACAAGTGGTTTTTTTTTTTGTTTTTTTTATGGAAAATAAAAAAAAAAAAAAGGAAATTTGAATTACTGTTTACCTTGGTCCCAGATTTCTTCGTTCATCATTCACTGTAGCAGTATATAAAGTTCAGAGGGGGTGGCTCCTTACCAGTAAAAATACCTGGCTTATATCAAATGACACAATTAGTCGTAAGTTTCCATGTCGTCAAAGCACCTTCAATGTTTCAATATATGTGCAAAAAAAGATACATATCTGATTAAACATATTTATTGTCCCATAACAAAATTGAGACTGGTGTGTTAGAAGCTGACATTGGAGCAAAGCTGCATAGACAATCTATGATAGGAGTCATTAATCAGTAAAGGTGTCAATTCTTAAGGCAGAGTGGGCACTGTAATCTTAAAGTATGAAAAAGATGGATGTGTCTCATCATGTTTATAACTGTTCCAGATTAAATAGTTTGGAAAATTCTTATTTTTCCTTAATACCTATGCAATGTTAAGATTTATTTACACAGCAAATATTAATAAATTAAATATGCTGCTCCTTCAGTGGGGGTGATTGGCAAGGAACCATTGTACATAACAACAATAAGACGCCTCTGTGTGCTATAATTCATTTAAATTACCTAAAATGTTACCAAAGACACAACAAAATCATAAAGCATGTTAAAAGTGTCAAAGCATCAGGCATAATTATGTCAGTACACTTGAATTCCTATTTTATGCACCAACAGTTTAATGCAGGGGACTGTAGAGTACAGTGCTCTTCCCTCCATCATTTGCAGCAGGTGGCAGACTTTGTGCTGCAGCACCCCCCTGTGGCTGAACCTGGACTCTGTTTCTCCAGCTGTGAGACCAGCTCAAAAGGATCCACAGTGTCAGCCTGTGAAAAAAATGCAGCAAGTTAAAAATCATTTTAAGTGACTGGATACACTTGCTTTCATTCAAGAGAAATGTCATTATTATGATTCTTTAAAGACAATAGTAAGGAACGTGAAAAGTTTGTTTAGCAAATATGAGGATTTTAGCATTTCTTTTTTTTAATCTCGCATTTAATACCAATTAAACTGCAAGATTATTTAAACCTCCAGAATAAAAGCTGTTAACTGAGCCCTGACATTCATGTACTCCTGTTGTTTTAAACTGGTTGCTGTTAAATTTGTAACTCACAGTAGTAGTTTTCAAGAACAATAACAAAGGCTTTCTATCATTATTATGACCATTCACCCATGTTGATGAGAGAAAAGGATCTGGAACATGATTCTACCTGAGAAGGTCAGTCCAAAGATTAAACCACAGGACAAATCTGATAGAACGCAGAAATGCATTTATTTGCCACAAGTAGTGACCCCTGAATGAAAAAATGTAACTTGTTGGAAGGATTGTGTTTGTAACTGAGAAACGTATTCAAAGTAATGTTTGTGGATGTGTGTTTGTGAGCGCAGAACGACCATGAGAACTGATAAGATGGCATTCCGTTAGCTGAGAAGAGAACATTCCTTCCTGTTCAAGGTTCCCCAGCATGACTCCACAGTCTGGTTATGACTCCAAGACAGCTGCTTGACCTTGTGCGTGTGGATGTGTGCGTATGTATGTTTGAGTGGGTATGTCAGTGCGTGTATAAGAACTTTCACTCATGAGTGTTGTGTGAGTGTGAGTGCGGCTTAGTGCACAGTGAGGCTCTCTGGGTGTGTCACATTCTCGAAATAAATAATACAAACATACTGACCTCTAGTGCTCAAAAAACAACAAAGACATTTCCACATCCAGGAATTTAATGACACTGACCTTAGGTTTGACTGCACAGGGCTCACAGGGACCTCCGGGTGGCTTAAAAGTAAAGTCGTCCTTGAATCTTGAATGGGTCAGGATGTTGGCCAGCTCTCCATCAACCTCCACTACATCACCCACCTGTGAAACACACCCACATAGGACATCATTTCTATACGGCACATTGACTTTAAGCTGGTCTCCTAATCCAGGATGTGCAAACCTTGAATGTGTAATGAAAGTCAAATTGAAAGCAGTCCTCCACTCCAGTAATGCCCCCGTTGTAAATGACTTGACAGGAGTTGGTTTTGCCTTTAGGGACCTTGAACAGGCGGTATGTGACAGAAACAAACTTGTAGTCACCTGTGTCAGGACAAATAAAAGAGTGTTAAAAAAATGCCTCTGCATCAATGGTTACAATGTGACACAACTATCTGCTGATATAATTTGCTTTAAAACAATGACTGGCCATTTTAGTCAACAGTAAGCACTCTTTAAGCAACACTGCTGAATGACTGTTAATCATTAGCCAGAGCTAAGTAAGCAAAATGAATAACAGGCATTATAAATCTTAACCAGTCAAACATATCTAATCTAGTTAACAGTCAATAATAATAAAATGACAACCAATGTAGTTTTAAACTGCAGAGTCACTGAGTAATAAACAATAGAAGATAATTCTCATATCTTTTTCTTTTAGGATTAATGATCAATACTAAACATGCAACATACAACTAAAATGAAGGAGCATGTCTCTTTTGTTTGCAGCTGTGCAAGGCTTGTAAAAGGTGTTTAGTTTAGGTGTTATACTGGCATAAGGACAAAAAATTACCTGATTAATAGAAACTTTAAAGATGAATATGGCCAAAAAATTATTTTGTAATGTTGGTGCAAAAGGATTAATTTCACTCAGTTTCAAATTTAGGTTTGTTTTGATTACAGTTTCTCTTTTTTTCTTCTTAAAAAGAAGTAAATATACAAAAAAAGTCAAACAGCAATATGCAAGAGAGAGATAAGTTTTAAAAAGTGTCAAACCGAGCACATCCTGCAGCTCTTTGTTGTCCACTGTAATGACACTGGCTGTGACGAGACGAGGTGTGCTGAAGCCCACTTCTTCAGCTAACTGCAGCAGATCCTTCCACCAGAGTGCTCCACCCAAACATTCACCTGCCAACATAAAATATAAAGTCATATTCTGGCCCATTTTCATATGCTACTGCAGCAGGTTAATGTAAATCTGACACACCCCACAGGACTTTGTGATTTTTTATCTCCTCTGTCAGTCTTCCACTGCTGTAAACATCACTGAAGTAAAGTTCACCACCATCCTGAAGACCAAAGCCAAACATTGAAAGTCGTGAGTAGCAGTGAAAATCTACAGGTGTATGGGTTTTGTGCTTCATAATTAAAGTGGTTCAGGTATTGTTCTCATATTTATGAGATTCTATAGGAATTGGAGAACCAAAAAATCCCAAGTTAGAGGGAGCGTACCTTGAGCACATTGTAGGCTTCAGCCAGCACTCTTTTCTTATCTGGAGACAGATTCACCACACAGTTGGAACTGTGGCAGAAAATAAGCATTAACACAATCTTTACAGGATCACACTCCATTTTAATTTTAAATGAAGAGAAAGAGACATTAAAGGCTTCTTACATTATAATGTCAAATGAGTTTTTCTCCATACCAGCCTCTGTCAAGGCCTCAATGTAGCCCTGGACAAAACTGACGTTGGGCTCTTTGTAGCCAAACTCTTTTGTGTGGTAGTCCACGTATTTGCGAGCAACTTCAAGCTAGATGGGATAGAGATTTGTAAGAATCGTCCCTCTTTGGTGCAGATTTCAAAAAGAAAAGTTGTTTGTTGCCATGTTGAGTTTACTGTAGCCATTTTAAACTACTGCAATATAGTACCTGGTCCTCTGTCATGTCGATGCCAACAACATGACCCTTCTCACCCACCAGATCACTCAGCATGAAACAGTCCCTCCCACTTCCACTGCCCAGGTCCAGTATCTTGCAGCCCTCCAAGCACTCTGGCACTACAAGACCACAGCCATAGTACCTGAGGAAGTGGGATTCCAATTTCAACTATGCATGGACAAGATTAATTTGAAGAATACGTAAAGCAAGAATAGGGACTGTATCATACTTTGCAGTAACTTCAGGGTGCACTTTCTTCAAAGCCTGCCGGATGAAGGCTGGGATGGGCTTGCCTGAAGTCACACAGGCGTTGGTCTTCAGGTCAGAGGACTTCCCCAGAACTTTGCCATAGTACTCCTGTCAAAACACAGAGAGTCAATCATTAAACATCAGGTTGGTCTTCTGCAGCACAATAAAAGGCCTGAACAAACAAATGGCTGATAAAGTCCTCTTCAAAGACGCAATACAACTTTCATTGTCACTATAAAAATCCTTTCTGCGAAATTTCAGAGCTGTTCAAGCCAAGCAAGAAACTACTCAGACATGTACACTGTAATGATAACAATAATAATTCTCATATTACCTTGACGTCCACGTGAACGGCGCCGTCAACGAAGCCTTTGGTGCACGCGCTTCAAAAAGATTCACACTTTTATTCGGACATTTCAACTTTAGCAGGCCTACATTATAGCTGCGGTTCGCTTGCTATGCTTAACAAGTGTTAAAAAGTTATGGTTCTTTGTCCAAAATTACTATATTTAAAGGAAATAGTGTTAACCAGAGCAATGGATTAAAACATGGATTAATCCATTGCTCTGGTGTTAACATAGTGCAAACATGGCGTAACCAACGTGAATACTGAGTAACTGCTACTGTCTCCCGTTCATGCTGCAGCTCTGCATGTTGGCTGAAATCTCAAACACACCACAAGCTCAGCTTTAAGGATACAGTAATATTAGCCCAGATGAGACTGTTTCAAGCAGCTTCTTACCTCTTTTCTCCTGACATTATCCTGACAGCTGAGTCCACGCCTGTAGTCTGTCCGTCCTCTCTGCAGCGGGTTACTTCTGAACACTAAATGGACAAGGTCCGGCCGACTTCCTGGTCAACAGCCCTCTGACATGAACCTTTTATTAACAGTTTGATATGACCAGTTGAACCATGATACGGTTCGTTTCTTCTTCGTCTGCTTAAGGGTAAGACTGCTGTTCACGAAGCATCACCGCCACCTCCTGGAGCTACTGAACTCCTACAGGGTCAGTCTGGTCAGAGGTTTTTCTCATCTACAAGTCCTTTTAGTGCAACTGAATATTTTTTACCACCTCGTTTGTACTTCTTATCCTGAATCTACCAACTTTCCTTTTATGTGTTTATTTCATGTAGTTGTTTTTCCTCAAATATCACGATTCAAGTGCTTTTTCCTTTATTGTCCTACTTCTGTGCAATAGCCTTTCTCTGATTTTAAAAATGTTGTCATGTTTGTCTGGTCAGATCCATTCTCTCATTATCTCTAAAGCCCACGTGTGCAGGAACCATTATCTTTAAACATTTCAAACACACCGTAACACCGAGTTAGACACCCCCTCGAGAGATGAATGTTCCCAACTGCTTGCCTCTCTAGTTTTGCCTGGTTGTTTGTGGGGGGAGTCGATCACCAAGTGCAGTGCAGTTTCGCAGCTCAAGGAAGAACATTAATGATTATTACATAATGAAAATGCATTAGAACTACTGGGTCTGCAGTGCAAAATGATTAATATGGTGATTATTACTTCAAGGAAATGGTAAAGTAATGATCATAAATGTTCTTCCTTGAGCTGCGTCACCCCGCTGCAGTCTGTTACGGACTGGCCCGAGGTCTCGCTACAAACGAGCGGCTGCTGGAAGAGAGTAGGTGAGTTGTGTTTAGTCTCTTTGCTTAAGAATTCAGGCAAAGCTAAAAAGATGTTTGGTGACTAGTGCTGTGTCTAGGACCCTGTATGTACTGTTGATGAAGTTAGGTGCTGTTTTAAGCATTATTCGTGGCTACAGAGTGGCGTTTTGGTTGAGGTTTGTTTGTGGCTCCTCAGACCGCTGTGTATTGCTATCTTGTGGTCGTTACTAAAGTTGGTATAACTAGAGAAGCAAGCGGTCGGCAACATTCATCTCTCAACGTGGTGTCTAACTCAGTGTTACGGTGTGTTTGACCCTAACTTAATTTTACGCCAGAATATCCCTTTAATGCACATAAAAACCTTTAAGACCAGTATACGCTGATACTCTTTTGATACACGAATCACTTCTTTCAAAGACATGTTTACTGTCTGTTGAAGTAGAACTCTTCCCTCTGAGGCAGCTTATCATTTTGTATTGTTACCACTTAAAGGTCCTGTGGGTAGCTTTTGGTTTGCATCAATTTTAGACAAAGCCATCTATGCTTATCTTGTTCTCTACATGCTTGAGAAGTGATAGTCAACAAAATAAAATCATCCTGCAGAAATCTGACAGCTGAATGTATTTTTATCATAAATGTTTTGTGCAAATTATAAAGACACTGCTGTTGGCTGACACCTAGCCCCTTTTGCCTTGGTTTCAGGGATCAAAAATTTAGATCTAAAACCTTCAATCTTGTTTCTGATGGTCTTATTTGCTTTTGGTTATCATGAATAGGTTCTGATATGAATTGCGGTAGATCTCATTAATGTAAAAAAAAAATCCTCATAGGAGCTTTAAATGTGTTCCCAGTTTTCTGGGCTCAAACTGTATCCAAACTTTAATTCTATTTAGTTGACAAATTTGCATTTCAGCATAACTCCCTGTGAAGGACATCACTTAAGCCTTTGTCTGATCATCTCAATAAGGTCAAAATAAAATGTTGTGTAACTTTCTGGCGCAAATATAGTACCCCACACAAATAGGTAATTTCATTCAACCTTGTCAACAACAGAGTCCATCTTGGGTTTAAAAGGGCATGTTTATTGAACATACATCCATCTTGGGTTGTTTTATTAAATGGCTTATGATCAGAACATTCAAAGAATATGTGCAAAACCACCTCACACACACCTGTAAAGAAAAAAAAAATCTTTGGCGACAGGCCCCTCATCACGTTTACAAGTCGTCTACTGTATTGTTAGTCTAACGTACCCTTCACATAACTGCAGGATAAGTCTCAAAAGAAGTTACATCTTCTCTTAACAGACAGAATAATACCCATAATGAGAGATTCATAACAATAAAGCTAATGATTTCATACAAACTATGAAAGCAACCATTTGGTTCACAAACTTGTTACAGGATATGACGCTCTATTTGAAAATATAAAGTGGTTCTGGAATTTCTACAGCTCCTATATAATTTTTAAAGTATTCAGCTGATAAGAAAATAGCTCACCTTGGTACTAAATGTACCTCAATTACACAATGGTATGTTCCAGCTCACAAAAAGAATAAACATAGAAAGCACTTAAGAGTGTGTCCAAGAATCCAGGGATGAAGGTCAGGCATCTTGTTGTTGGTACAGAAAGCTTACGTTACAATTTCACTTGTGCTAGAAAGTCAGAGACATTTCTTCAGTGTAGGGGAAAACACAAATTTGTCAGACCATTGGCTATAATTTTGTGCTTTGCAGACGTTGCAATGTGTGCAATTCTTTTACAGTGCACCAAGGAAACATCAAACGAGACATTTGCCAGAAACTGTGGCACATCGCTTCACCAGTTCCAGTTCATATCAGAGAGCAGGAAACAAAATTCAAACTCATCTGTAGAAGTTTCACACGTTCTTATAATCAGTGGCATTTCTTTCCTTGTGGCACATTCATCATCAGTTTACCCCTGCGGTAAAATTTAAGACCTAAGCTTTGGATTTCAAACACCCACACACCAAAAAGGCTTCCCAAACTTTGAGAATAAATAGCAATGGCACTGATCACTTATTATTATCATTAAGCTCTGAGTGTTTTTTTTCTTTTTGGTCTTCATTTTCTCTCTGTAGTGTGTTGTAAATATTGCTTGTTAACTAGAACTGTGTCCTTAAAAACACATGCCTCTACGATTACCTCAGATCAAAAACATGAACTGTTTTTTCCTAAAACCATATCTCAAACTTTATCTACTTCACTTTGCTTCATGTGTTTGGGGTTTCTCTTATCTTTTCTCATTCCGTAGTTTTTGAAGAGGTATTTTTCCGGGCTTATGTCAATAATATTTTTGTTTTGACTCTGCTACTTTGGTTAAAAAAAACTTCCAGAACATTTCTACTTGTGTTTGCAAACTTTGGCGTTTGGAATGACACTAACAACTGTTATGGCACTACCACCTTTATAACTGCCATCATGTTAAGTATTAATCAAACGATGTGTAATCATCATTTAGGGGCGGCAGTAGCTCAAGAGGTAGAGCGGTATAACTGGAAGGTTGGCGGTCAGATTCCCCCCTTACCCTAGCCTGTCTGTTGTGTCCTTGGGCAAGACACTTAACCCACCTTGCTCCCAGTGTGTGTCCTCCACTGGTGTATTATCGTGAGTGTTGTGTGGTGGTGGTCGGAGAGGCCCTAGGCGCAAACTGGCAGCCACGTTTTCGTCAGTCTGCCCCAGAACAGCTGTGACTAAGAAGGTAGTTTACCACCACCATGGTGTCACTGTGTGAGTGAATGAAAGATGTATTTAAAGCTCTATATGAAATCTGATGTATTATTATTATTATTATTATTATTATTATTATCTAATTACAGACACTTAACCCTCTCCCCCTCAAAAAGTGGAAGACTGGCATGCTCAACTATCCATAAATACCAGTTAACAAGCCATATTTTCATAGTCACACCAGTCCACTGAACTGCAATCAGCCAAAAGGAACTGTGAAAGACGGCATTATAAATATTTATTTAATAAATATCAAAACAAAAGCATGGTAAATTTGTTTGAATATGAAAATCTAATACAAAAGTGATGATGTTTATGTTTTTATACTGTAAAGCTGGTGAAGGTGATATTCTATCCAAGTGACTGACACAAAAGTTTGAGGTCTGATGTTGCCTATTTTGCTTATAATCTCTGAACAGCTTCATGTGTCGTTGCCCCCCCCCCCCTAGATTTGGTACCTGCCATTACATACTCTCTTATGTCTGAAGCGTAACATTGTTCATCAAAGTTTTGCATTCACTGGGGTTAGGCACGTTCTACAAACATTCAATAAATCAGCCTTAGAAAATGATTGTGTACAAAGTGAATTTGATGCATACTCTACTGGCAACTCACAGAGGTCCATTGTCACAGATGCTGCAACCAAGCCCTAATAGACCAATCATGTACTGCAATTTAAGACTGAATTTCAGACAGCAAGAATTTCTGTTGATTTCTTTTTCAGCTAAAAGCTTCTTTTACAAAGATATTTACATTTTGTGCAAAATAGGAGCTGCTGACATTAAAGATTTGTTAATGCACTTATTCTTCTCTATCACTAGCAGGGCAGATAGAAAGCAACAGAAACACGAGGCAGAGCGGTTTTAAATCGCTGAAAAAGCACTTAAGAAGCATGAGTCTAATGGGACGTTCCACACAGTCTTGTTCTAGTGTCCCTGTACAGTATCAGTTTGCGAAAAGCACACACTGTGGTAACTCCACATTGCACTCGTCCAAAATGTTCCTGCTGTGTTTTTTTTCTACGTAGTTTCCTGCCTGCAGAGAACAGCTTTGCAGAATTTTCACAAGCACCTGCTGAGGAGAGCTGAGTTCAGCCTGGGCAGCGATTGTCCTGTCCTGACGTCAAGGCTTCGGCTAGTACGTCTTTGACTGTATATCAGTAGCTTCTGTTGCATAAGGAGGATGACTAAAGGTGTGTGTGTGTGCAGTGTGAGAAGTCCTAATCGCCACAGGATTGTACTTCCCAATTATAACCCCAAATACACAGGTTAAGGCCACTGTGCTGCTGTGAGGAGGAAGAGGCTATCTCAAGAATTTTATCTCAATCATTTGTAGCTGAGGTTCCACTTCCTCTTCCCACACCTGTTTTATCTAAGATGCACACATTCATATAAACACTCACTGAGAAAGTATTTCAACGAGACACACTTGCTCAGATACAAGCATTGTGCCTCCACGCTCTGGGTCAAGTGCTCTCTCCTTCCCTCTGCGACACAAAAGTGTGTGTGTTTGTATGTGTGTGTATGCGTCTGTGTGCGTGTCTGTATGTGTGTGCGTGTGTGTGTGGTTGTTTCAACCCTGCGGCTCAGTGCTGGTGCTGTGGTGTGGCCCCTCCTGCTCGTTGATGGTGTGGAGTAGGAGGCATACGGGCGGATGGAGAGTGGCGCTGCCTATCTGGTGAGCGGGCTGAGGAGGTGCCGACGGCCCACGGGCACCCCGCCTCTCCAGCCCACCCAGGGCCTGCTCCTCCTCGACGCTGAAGGAGGCTCGGTGGCCACAGCTGTCGCAGAAATCGCCCGCCTCTTCCTCCCCCTCCCTCTCGTCATCTCCCTCTCGCCCCAGCAGGCTCTCGAGCTCCCTCAACTCATTGCCTTCCTGGCCCGTCCCTCCAGCTCCACTGAAGCCGCTGCTACCACGTGTGCTGCAAACGCACACCTCAATCCCAGAGTCTCCTGTGAATCGCCTCCTCCTCCCAATACCGAGGCGATCTTTGTCTTCAGCACCACCTTCTGAGAGGTCTTTGAGCAGGGGATCCTTGCAAGAATCATCTCCACTTCCACTTCTTTTCTCTTGGCTGGTATATCCCTCCCTGTTGACCCCATCTGGCAGCAGTATCCTTCCTGAATCCTGTGCCGTCTGCACGGGCTTGTTGTCAGGCTTAGGCCGAAAGTCTAAGGTGGGGGGCTGTGGTTCATCTGTGCTGGATCTGCAACACTGACTGTCAGAGACTGGAGCCACCACAGTGGACTGGGTGTTTGGACAGTGTCCCTCCTGCTGTTCAGGAGCCTGTGGACTAGAGGCCACTGAGGAGGGGCTTGTGTGTAAGGCACTGTAGGGAGGGGGAGGAGTCGGTGGCCTGTTGACCACCTCTTCATAGTCGGGCAGGAGGTAGTTTGGCAGAAACCCTGAGGAGACAATGATGGACAAACAGTTTGAGTATTGTTTGAAGAAACACACGTAAGAAATACAAACAACTTTAAAAACGAGCGATAGATTTGTTAAAGGACGGCTTTTGCTTTACACAAACAGGAACCTTAAAACATCTATGAGGCTTTAATTTGAAGGTTCACGAGTCTCCATGCGAGAGGGATAAAACTGTGACAGAACAAGCTGATTTCTGGGTCAGTTCTGTGCTAGGGGCTGAATTGCGAGATGGTGTTGCAACACTGGCAAGGTACCAAGAGAGAAATTCTGGCCCTTTCCTGAAAACTGGGGCATGCAAACAGGGATGGTTCTGACACAGTGAGGAATCAAGGATACATCTCAGTGCAAACATTTAATTTGAGCCAGAACCAAAGTTTTAAACCGTTTCAAGTGCCTCTGTTTGATAAAACTGGATGACGACTGCTAAGTAAAACACACCTGAAATATAGATGATGACTTGCAAATCATTTTATACCCTATATCTATTTGATATATGATTTCTATTTTATTTGAATATAGTGCAAAGAAGCTGCAAAAAATATTTATAATATTTTCTCATTTTTAATTTGATGCCGGTGAAAACAGTTTTTCAAAATGGTTCAAAAAAATTGCAAAATAAAAAAATTGTATTAATGCCAAAAAAATAAAGCTACAATGTTTGTAACTCACGAGAGACTGTGTGAGCAAACAGTTTGACAATTTCAAAATTATGTTTCTCAGGATCAAATTGCAAAGAAATTGGTCATTTCAACATCTACGAATAATTTAAAGATTCAGAGAATCTGGAGAATTTCTGTGCAAAAAGGAGGCTGTAAACCAAAACTAGACAGCAGTGACTTTCAGGCCTTCAGGCTACACTACATTAAAAAACAGATAAGATGTTTTGTGGATATCACTACCTAGAGGCTTGAAATCACTCGTAGAAAACACTGAATGCAGACAGTTTAATGCTGCATCAAGAAATGTCAGTTAAAAATCATCCAGATAGGATTGTTTTAGATGGACTGGGGCAAAGTGGAAAACTGTCTCATGGTATCGGTGTTGAGGATGTAGTACGTGTAAATGCTCGTGGCATACCTAGCTTTTACAACAAGAAAGTCACCATCAGTGCTGAACAACATAGCTTTTATGTCATGTTCACACCAAGCAGAAGTTAAATCATTCATGTAAAGACGTGATAAGACATGCATTCTACTTGAGCGACACGTATGGAAATATCCCAACTCAAACAAATGTTCATGCGGCAATAACCAATCTGCATGGAGATTCCCAGTTACTTTTTTAGACCAAGCAGAGGGAAAAGGTTACTTTGAGTACTTTGTTTCACCACCTCTGACTTTTATAACATGCAGTCTCCGAGGCATTGACTTAATGAGTGACAAACAGTACTCTTCATCAATCTTACTCTAACTTGCTCTGATTACTGTTGCCAGATCAGCTTTCTCATGGATCATTTTCTTCAACTTACATCACAGATTTTCAACTGGATTGACATCTGGACTATTTGCAGGCCATGACATTGACCTTGAGTGTCTTGCTTCAAGGAAAAGTACTTGTTACTGACTACCACAATTTGTTTTCTTAAATTTCTTTTAGTGATTTTTTTTAAAGCCATTTCAAATGACTTTAGTTTTTGTGTCATGTATGAGATCTGCTTTTTTTCAACAAAATTAAACAACTGAATGAATATCCTCCCAGACTGGTGATTCCATCGTTTTTGCCAGGGATTGTACAAACACGCAAATTAAGCGAGTCATTCATGTGAATTAAGGGAGTAAATACACAACATTTGTGCGTCAGGTTACACGCAACTTCAGCGAGTAGATGAGTTTACTCGCGCTTGGTGTGAACACAACATGAGACAGGTTTTCAGGAACAGGTTTTGGTGCAACTCATGCTGTCTTCCAGTTAATACCTACATATTTTTATAAGACAAAACTAAACCACAACTATCACTGGTCATCAGTAAAACTCATAAACTCATACAGACAGTGTGTGTAACTCAAAAGGTGAGGAATGTGGTTTGTTTGAGCTCTTACTGAAGTAGAAGGGCACAGAGGGGTAGTTGTGTGCTTCACGGTAAGCGATGAGGTTGATCTCATGCTGCCGCTGTTGCTGCTGCAGTCTGTGTTTGGTGCGGCGATGGTGACACACACAGCAGCAGCTCAAAATGAAAATTATCGCCCACACCAACCAAAACCCTGAGGGAAGAGAGGAAGACAAGCACGATTATTTTTCAGAGGTACTCTTACAAAATACTGTATCAGCTTGTGCTGACGTAATTTAAGGCGCCTGCTCCTGACATCAATATAACATCTGCTGATCAAATACTGACATCTGGTTGTGACACACTGCGAAAAATACACACACTCTGTTTGTGTCTCTCAGTATCGTCATGTGTTGAACTTTGTCACTTTTGAAGAAAAATCTGTCAGTGGTTTATGATCGATTCATTAGGAGAAGATTTATAAACACAGACAAGACCAGCAGGACACAATCAGAAGTATGTGAAGGTTTATGATACAAACCCCACAGCACAATGTAAGAACACCGTGTTTTCTTCATGTGGTATTGTGATTTCTTTTTTTGTGGAACAACTCTGACTATGACTGGGTAGAAACAGGCAGAAGGGAAAAACATTAAAACATCCCAGTTTGTCATCACTGTGTTTGGAAAAAAAGTGACACAATTACGTTGACACACGATGTCTGGAAACTTCAAGAAATAAGAGTTGAGCAGTCCTGCTCTGAGCAATGACTGATGTGGAAAAACAATCTATAATACAGCCTGAAAGTGTGTGTGTGTGTGTGTGTGTGTGTGTGTGTGTGTGTTGTGTTTCCTGTTTTACAGTCTTTAGATTTGAATTAGCTTCAGTTCTTTATTGATCAGCTAGGATGGCTTCACATTATTACACTGAGTCTGATTTATTTAAGCTCAGCAGCATTTTGTCACCACACTTTTTTGTTCTTAGAGAGCTTTGTCGTATCTAAACCAACAATGAGAAAGCATCGCCACTGCAACACTTCCTTAGGTGGTAACTAGCTAGAATAAGGTTTAGTCCGGATGCTGCTTATCTTAGGGGAACCAAATAACCAAACCTACATTTGACCTTGAACCTGAATTTGATATTTATGGCCATCATTGATCTCCTGCCTATAACCACATATTATTTTAAAAACTTTGATACAGAAGGTCAAACCCACCACTGGAAATTACCCGACAAGCTTTTAAGATAATCTAACACACAGTTGACATTTCAACTGAGCACAAACCTTCCTTCAGAGCAGGTATCTCAGAAAAGAAAAAGATGGGGAGATTCATTGATGTTCTTTGTATTGGCCCCTACATCATTTTTTCATACCAAAACATAAACACCTGCATAAATAATCCTGTGATAGCCAGGCGGCAGTAGGTACACACGTGTTGAAAATTTACACTGGGTAATTTTACAAGCTCCTAGAACTAGTGTGATTATTGTAAACGCATAATGAATTCACAGTGGGTGTCATTTCTGGATTTATGTTGGTGGTGAATGTGATCAATAAAGGCTAGAGCCTTCCATGCACAACAAGCTGTACAACGTTTTTGTTGGAAATGCACATTAGCATTTGCAGCACATTTACTGCACTTTTCTCCCAGTATTGAAAAGCTTGTTTGAAAACATCTTTCATCTTTCTTCACTGGTAAATACTCTTTGTTCATTGTCAATGACTGGTTGCAGGGTCCGGTCAGAAGCACCATTGGTTAGTCCTTCTGGCTGTGCATGCTCAAAGGATGCCTTTATTGCTGCCTCATCAAAGAAACATTTGAGGCTTTAATAGTAAACTCTATAAACACAGCTTGTTTCTTGGGGTGACAAATACAACGATAAGTGAATGATACAAGAATTCAGTGCTTGTGATTGTGAATAAGATTCTTTTTCTAGTTAAGTGAGTCTAAAAATATATTTGTGACCCTTAAGATAACTTTAGGAGTGAGCTCATGTTATGTGAAGACTGAGATATTCGATAGTGTACTTAGAACGTGTTTCTACTACACAGCACACTTAAACTTATTTAACATCATAGGGATGACTTATAGAACTTGACATAGCATAATTACTAGGGTTGTCCCGATACAACTTTTTTACCTCCGATGCAATACTGACATTGTAGTCTTCAGTATTGTCCGATACAAATATTGATCCGATATTAGCACAAACTTTTGCACGACAAGTTTTGCACTTAGCTGCAACGTCTTTTCGCACAGGGCCGACATCACTCCTACTCCTTGGTACTTTGGTACACACTGTTGTTGTGATAACATGGGCTCTACATGCTGGATTCGAGTGCTGTTAGACAGAGGTGCCGGAGCAGAGTCTGGAATGGTCTGCTTGTATTGAAGTGCTAATATCGGAGATTTTAGATGCAGGCCGATATCAACCCCGATTTTCAAATTTTTGTTGATATTGGACCGATATCCGATATCAAAATTGTATCAGGACATCCCAAATAATTACTGCCCTCTAGTTCATTTTTCTTCACTTGCTGTTAGTTCACTCGGATGTTTGAGTTTCACTGTGCACAATGATGGATGAGTGAGTGCTATTTTCACAGCTATCTGCTGAGAGTGGGCCAAATGTCTGGAAGGAGTCTGTAACACTTGTAAAACTGGAGAATGAAGCCGCTAATAAACAACGTTCACCAAGTTAGTAGCAGTTTAATACTGAGGATGTGTTTGATGAGAAAAGGCCTCTACAGAAAATTTAAAACCACCTCTCAACGTGTGCACGCACACTTAAACTATGGCATCTTTGTTTCTGTGAGACACTGAAGCTCCCACTCTTGATCCTCATTAAAAATTTTGAACAACAAAAAATGTCCAGTATGCGTAGAAAAAGTAAGCACATTTAAGATGCTCTATGTGTTTGTTATCTTCCAACTAGAGGTCCCATTTAAGGTGTATGTTAGATGGTCAGGTGTTAGAGAGAGGACAAGTGTAACAGGCAGCAGTTCACTTACACCAAAGTTCATAGTAGTAGCTGCAGCACTGGGACTCTCCGCAGCAGTGTCCGGACTCACAGATGTAGGTCTGGTTGTTTACACCTTCACAGTGCAGTAGGCTCTGCAAGAGAGAAACCGACTCACTTAAACACTCAAATGTTTTTCTGTCATCTCAACTTACAAAAAGGTATCTGAGCTGAGGTGTTCAATTTACATGTGTTTACAGCAAAGAAAAATGGGGGAAGAAAACAGCTTCCTGAAATGTTCCATGGTTTACAGAAACCCTGTTAAGAGCAAAATATCTCTACAAACGTGAAATCTAGCTGTAAGGACGACAGATTCTGGCTGTTCACATGACACAACATAAATCAAAACTGGCCGAGTCAGCTGTTCTTACAACAGGCGCATCCAAGATCCCTAGAGTGACATTAAGGAGAAAACAGCTGATTTTATTTTGGACACAGCACATTACATTCACTGCCTTACTCTCAACCAAAAATATAACCACTAACTCAGGACAGAAGAGCTGTTTGTGTCTTTGGAGCACTGCTTGTCCCATCCCAAATCACTTTGAGGAGGCATGCCGATCTTATCAGTCACAGAGCTAAAAGATGAATTTGAATTATGAACATGTACGGATTGACAGTTGTCAGGGCTCGACAGTGCATCTAAAAATAGATGTGTGGGAATTGTAAAGAGGCAGATGTAGGCATAAAAAAAAAAAAATCAGCCGAGGCAACAAATATGTTCTCATGTAAATACCATGGTGAAGTTAGTTTTAGGTTGGATATTCAACAGACATTTACTGCGGATCTACCGATGTCTTCTCACTCTCTATAACCGGGAATGGCAGCAGCAGTGCGGTTAAATCTACTCGGCACCCTCGCTGTCAACATCGGGTGTTGAATAAGGGACTATCAATAAACAACCGGTTCATGTTCTCAAAAAAGGCTGTTTTCCTTCAATAGCTTCCATGTCACGTGACCAACTGACCTAAATTTGATTTCAAATAATAGTACTTATGTCGACCAATAAGACACACATTATTTGATCAGTTTTCATTGTGCCCCAAACTTCTTTGTGTTCTCCTTACTTTTTTTTTACTTAGGAGCACATGTGCTCGTTGTGAAAGAAGTTAGTGTCAAGCCCTGCACATGTGCCCATAAAAAAAATCAGCTGAGGCAACAAATGTGTTTTCATGTCAATACCGCAGTGAAATAAGTTTTGGGTCGGATATTCGACAGACATTTACTGCGGATCTATCGGTGTCTTCTCACTCTCCATAACCGGTAATAGCAACAGCAGCGCGGTTAAATCTACTCAGCACCCTCGCTGTCAACATCGAATGTTGAATAAGGGACTATCAATAAATAAGCGGTTGATGTTCTCAAAAAAGTCTGTTTTCCTTCAATAGCTTCCATGTCATGTAACCAATTGACCTAAAACTGATTTTAAATAATAGTACTAAGGTCTGACAATAAGACACACCTCTTTTTTCCCTAATTTGTCCTCCAATAATTTCTGGGTTTAATGTAAAAGCAATTTTCATTGTTCCCCGAAAGTTCTTTGCATGCTCCTTAGTTTTTCAACTTAAGAGCACATGTGCTGCTAATGAAAAAAGTTAGTGTCAAGCCCTTGTTGTCGCTTTTGGTTGTCTCAGCTGAAGTGTTCTTATTGCCACTTTCAATGTTTAGTTCAAGTTCCACCATATGCTTTCATTTTTAGTCAAATCCACTGCTGTAAATAAAATATACTCGTGCAACAATATCGCATATTAACTGTACGCACATGTTTTCATTTCATTGACAGGGCTTCATCGAATCTGTCACCCAGTTAAAAACAAAATCTTAAAACATATGATAGCTTTGCCATTACAGCATGACAGTGAGCCAGCCAGATTTACAGCAGCATCATGAAACTGAAGCAGCCAAATGCAACTCATCCATCGCTTACAGTATGAAGTGTTTTCCTACACTGTCACGTCAAAATTTTCAGTTACTCACGGAGTTCATCCGAGCGAGTTTATCACGCTTCACTATTTCAGTTTACTGGGACACAGACCGTGTTCCTCTATCAAACATAAACCTGTTTCTACATGAACATATGCAGCATTGTAAAACCGTAAATTACTTTTATAGCCAAAGGCAGCCATAAAGTTTGAAAAAAAATCTAATGAACATGGAAGATTTGTACGCAAATGCATGTAGTTTAACACACTGAGGGCCGTAAATACTCAAAACACAACTTATCATGTAGTTGTGCACTCGACATAAGTTGCAGCTAATTATAATTTTCATGATCAATTACAGTGCCAATCATTTCCACGCTATGTTCATTTGCTCAGTTGAAAAATTCTGAAAATGTTTTTTTGCAAATGCACCACGCCCCCAAAACAAAGCAGTTAACTCCTCCATCATGAATGTTGGAGTCTCAGATTGAGGACACATCTTTCTCATCTTAAATTTAAGATGACGTCTATATTTGTAAAAAGAAATGCTCGCACTGCAACTATCTAGTAGCCAACATTTATACTTAGCTTTGAATCTGAAGTAAACAAGTTCTAACCACTTGTGCTGGTTAGCTGCTAGAATTTCATCAGTGTTTAAGGCCCATATCAAGTGAAAATGTTTGAACCAAAGCCAGCACATAACCACTCAGTGTGTCGCCCTTCATCTAATAAACAGTTTCAGCTGAAAAGTTCAGCTAAGGCCTGAGCAGAACTTGACAAACATCAGACAATGTTTGACACGACATTCCAGTTAATCTTAAATCAATAACGCCTGTGTCTCCTCTCCAGACGGCTGCGTGTTTTAACTGTCAATACTTTAAATTAGAAGCTGTCTGACAAGAAGTTAACCTGAGTGAGAAACTTTACCAAAGCTTTGAAAAGATTAACTGGTTAGGTGGACAGAGCCAAGAGGAAACACTGTTATGAAAAGACTCCAGAAGACATCAGAAGAGTTTTACGTTCTAATAAACTCAATTAAAGGGTTAAAAGGTTCTAAGAAGTGTTATTCCTCCCTGTGGATTACCAGTGAAGGTCCCAGATGATGAAGCATGATGATCCACAGTTCAAAAATCACAGACAGATCCCTCCGACTAATGGTTCATAATCCCACGGAAGAAAAAGTCAAGCAGCTCTGTAACACACTCTCACCCTCTCTCTTACCAACTTCTTGCCTCTCTCCCTCTTTCTCTGTCCACCCTCCCTACACAGACACACATAAGCGCACACACACATACATACACACACACACTCCCTCACCCCACTCCTCTCCACTCCAGGCCCAAACAGTGGACAAGGATTGCTCTACGGAAATTTCCAAGCAGCGGCAGACAGAGAGCTCCAAGCTGAGCTGCCGCGGGATAATAAGGTGTAGCGAGTGGTAAGAGGTGTGATGAGTGCGAGTGCGAGGTCGAGATGAGACGGCAAGAAAAATACACACACACACAAACACACACACAGAGCGGTAACACAGGAATGATTCGCCACACGAGGGGCCAGATCAGCACAAACCCGACTGCTGACGCCCTCAAACATGATAAATTAATCGCCTCTGAACACAAAGGCGCATTTTCACTCTCTGACATTAACACATTATGTTCTGTCCCGACAATTTGTCTGATAACTTCAGCAACTGACTGACTTACTTACTTCTCGCCACCATACGCTCTCCACTTGGCGGGCTGACCTCTTTTTTTTTGCAACTGGATACCGATTAGCCTCTAGTTTGTTTGGGTCCTCAGCCTGTGCTGCATAAAGACAGCTGAGTACAGTTGGGATTTGGGGAAATGGGCCATCTTATGGACTTGTGTCGCACCCTGCCACATTTAAGAGACAGGGTGTCAATCAAGCGGCTGCTACCAAAGACATGTGGATCATACCAGGTTACCTCTAAGTGTTACTTTTAACTGCCAGTGTAACAGACAGTGATTGAGCTAAGAATCTGGAGCGACTAGATTCTTGTCTTCCATCCAAAAAGGTAACGCTAAAGCAATCCTCCTGTCTCATAGTGTGCAACTAGATTAAAGCAGATCTGGTTACTGTCCTAGAAACTACTGCAACATTGGATATTAATCAGCCCAAGTAATGAGAAGCTGTTGAAAAGAGCAGACAATGGGAACGTTTCAAAAATCGAACATGGAGATAAGTGGCTCAGACTTTGGCAACACAGTCATAGCTGATCCACTTGGCAGAGACCCAAAGGACTTGGCAAGCTGATGCACAATAAGACCTTACTGACCCCTTCCTTATCATTACGTCCTGCAAGAAAGAGAAAGTGCTCTTTCAAGGCCGTCAAGGTTATGCAGAACAAAAGACTGCTGACGCATTTGTAACAACCCGTCATACCAAACATTCCCCTTAAGAGCGTCTTCCAATGAGGTCAGTTCAACAACCTGACACTGTCTGATTTTATCAAAAAAGTTGGAACATATAGTTTGTTTTTCAGCACAAGAGGTAAGCAGAGTCAGGCTGCCTCTGAGAAACAACAACAGTCAAGTTTCAAGAAAAACTGCTGCTGCTGCAAAGTTAGAGTTCAAGTCTATGACTCAACATCTATGATAAACTCCTGTCAACTGATGATGGACTGAAACATGTTATGCTTTGAAGTTTTCCTTAGACAAAGGAGTTTTTTTTACATTTGTTTTTGTCCAAACTTTCAATAAAAGAGCAGATGAACATGTAGAGACTAGGCCTGGGCGATTTGGCAAAAAAAAATGATCACGATATATTTTGTCATATTGTCCAATCTCGATTATTATCATGATTATTTTTTTTAACTGACAGTTTTAAAGCATCTGTACTAAAAACTAAAGAAACTAGAGATTAGTTCAACATTTTATCCACATACAAAGTAAATAACAAAGCTAATTGAAAAAGATACATTTTAACTCAACAGGACAGCAAATGTAGATAAATACTAAATAATACATTGAATTAGTTTACAGTTCTGAGTGTTTTTGCAGGTATGCAAGACCCAAAATAAACAAATCGTCCCCTCAGGAATAATGAAGCTGCCTTAAACTGTAAACGAGATGATACCATTGATTGCTGCTTTGGTCTGGTAGCTGCACCGCTAGTTGTGGCTAAACTGCTAATGCTACTTGTGCCGTCAGCAGTAACAGGCTGTGCAGTTTCCACTCGCATTTTCATGCTTTCCACATAATCTCTCAGGAAGTACTTCTTTAAATTATTAAACAGATCTGTTGTGTTGCCAGTTTTTGAGGCACCGACCGCCGACATACCTTGTACATCGGCTTAATTGCTCGACGTCACTTTGAACCAACGCCAAACAACCAATGCTTAATAACTTCTCAACAATAACATCTTCGGAGGTTGACTCAATGGCTGACATCTATTTTGCTGCCCTCAGCTCCGCGTTTAGCTCCACGTTCGGTCATTCTGTTTACTTCTCCTGTTTACTTCTCTGGCAACTTACAGAAATGAGCAGGAAAAGCTCGACTCCGATTGGCTGTTGTGACGCACATTTCTGCCATGTTTGATCGAGTAAATAAGCTCACAGCTGATCACCGTGATCGAACTTAAATTCATCACGATCATATAACCACCAAGTCCTAGTAGAGACCAATACATAAAATGGTTTATTAGCATTGTGAAATCCTGAGACAAATCACTAATAAGTTTTTCTATCATCTCTCAAAAGGAAACCACTGAAAATGATGTAGTGCATATGCCAAGCAAGTACATGGCTCTGTAACACTGCCGAAGAAATGAACAAAAGACAGAAGAAGAGCACAGAGCATGCATATAAAGGTTGTTTTGGCCGGACATGCGCAGGCGCCATAAAACAGTTACACTGTGTGTCTCATAATCGTTTTGAGAGATGCAGATATACATCCACACGGAGATGAAATGGTAGTCGTTTACAGATTTATGCACTCTCTGACCCATTTCTAAAAAGTACTGTTAACAGTCACCTTTACACCGTTTCCGTGTGGATGAAATGCCGATACGACAAAAAACGTTTGCGTTTACTCATGAATTAGTTTCTGTGCGACAGGTTGATACCGTCCCCAGACAGACTTTGCAGCAGGGAGTAGTTTGGTCTTCATGTGAAACTGCAAAGCCGTACCAGTTCCACACAATTGACTTGCTCTTGCCCTATTTAGCCATAAATTATCACCTTCTTTCGCAAACGCCATGTTTGTTTACACTAGTGTGTGTGGGAACTGGGGAGCGCTTCTGCAGGAAGGGGGAGCATACGTCTCCTTTAAGATTGTTTGTTCTGCATGATCTATGTCTGACAGAAGTAAGCATTTTTACAATGATGTCCCTCTTGTTAATCCCTCATTTACTGAGGTGCACATCTCAAGTCAATTATGAACCTTCTCAGACTGCTATATCTGAAGTTATCTGCAGCTGGTAGTTGCTGATGTCAGTCTGCGCAATCGTAGTTTGGGGTCAATAACAGGTCTTTCTCCATACCTGTGATGATAAGGAAATATCAATCACAATTTTGCAAGCTGGAGTTGTGCAATTTGTGTGTCTTTCTAAAAGGTGTTGCTTAAAAAAAAAAAAAAAAAAAAAAAACAGATACATCTCTGCACCAAAACCCTGGTACAGCATCACTCTGTTCAGTGGGGAAAAAAATCAACCTCTTAAGGAGTTATGTTTATAAAGACAGCTAAACTCACACTTTTACAAAAGATGCTGGTTTGATGTGAATTCAGTGACGCACAAGTTGGATGTTGAATCTCTGCTTTGCTCACATTTGCAGCTGCATCTATTTGTAGATCCTCAACACAGTAGACAGTACCTTTCACAGGTTCAGTAAAACTTACAATCATCACATACTAATGCATAAGTGACCTCTTTCTAGCAGACTAGAGCGGAGGAAGAGGGACAAAAATAACAATCACAAAGCATTTAATATCCAACTCAAATATGTTGAGGGGTTTCCTGAACATTTGTTAATAATTCAACTTCACAAACTCCTCAACACAGCACACATCAAGTTGTCTATAGGTGATGATTATGCCAAAGTTAAGATTAAATGTTCCTGTTATCTTGATTTTTTTAATCCAGTCAAAGTTAAAAATTGTAGTGAAATGAAAAGATAATTGTAACATCTTTTGAATAACAAAAGTGTATCTGAAATGTGAACCTTTAAAAAAAATCCTGAATGTCTTTTAGCATGGAAATACAGTCACAAAATTCACAAAACAAAAATCGATTTTATCCAAACACAAATGCTGCTCTATTAGTTCACTTAGTTTCCCTCTAAAAACGGCCTTATATTTGGGCTAAACAATCTCATGAAAGTCTGGCGAAACCAAGAACCACCGCTGTTCCTTTTGCAGATGCATCAGAAATACAGTGTTTAAGGTTTGTGTTGTTGAAGGACCAAGATCATTACTTATGGGCCATCTTTATTCAACATTATGTAACTAAAGTGGTTAACTCTTAATATGTTTACAGTCTGAGTAAACAGTAAAACAACAACTGTGCCTCTCTTTCTAACAGCTGTATGAAAAAACTAATACATTAATAAGTATTTGGGACAACAGCCCCCTGAATAAATCACAGCGTCCAAATATTAGAAAATATAATGGAGTGGAAAATTTATGCTGCGAACTGCTGATGAGAGTTAATGAGAAATGTTAATCATAATGTCTGACACTAACATGGGATCACTGGTAGCCATAAAACAGATAAAAAACAGCTGACTTTATGAAGTTTTGGAGGGATGAATGCAGATAGCAGATACTGCTCAGGGCCATGTAGAGCGACTGTTGTATCTGAATATGACCAGCTTTACAAGCACTAACAAAAAAACAAACTTGTGTCTCCAAACATTATTTTACCCCGTTAAGCTCTCCCTCAGGGGCGTGTGAATATGAGAAGTTCTGTAACCCTATGGATTATACAGGAGTGCAAAGATAACAACAAAAGCAAGAGAAAAGAAACACATGGGATGCCACATGATAACAGGAACTGGACTCTTCTTCTCTCGAAAATAAAGTCAAAGCCCACTTTAATCTGTTAGTTTGTGACCCGTGTTTGTTTATCTAAACTGGACTCTTGGTCAGTAATGGGTCTTAGACTTTCAGCACTTCCATGAACCTTCATTAGTATTAGTAGTACATAGTTCCAACTGATTAAACCAGGTAAAAGCAGGTGGTATCTTGCATGAAAGTCCTCCAAGATAACTGGGACTGATTCTGCTTTCTCACAGTAGTGCACTGTATAATAAAAAATTTGCTACCGTGATGTGGTTTATACCGCAACAGGAAAAACACAGCAACTGTTATCATACCAAATATGGTTTGCTTCTGTGTACGGAAATTGTCAATCACCTCTTATTCTATAGTAACTGAGTTTTAAGAATCCTCTACTTGCAACTCTGACAACCGGCAGGAAAGGCAGGAAAAAATATGTGACGCGCAGTGATACTGTTTAATATTGCCAATCAATGTAAAGTGTGGTGAAACAGCAACAATCTTATTAGCTTACTAACAGTCTTCCTGCTGTTTTTTAAAAGTTTTTACACAATGCTTCTGTTTGCAAAATAAGTTCAAAAGGTTCTGTTGTTGTCACCTCTGTATCATCCTCAATAAAGTCAGACTTGTGGGATTTATGTATGGTGAGTCTTTCCACTGCCATAATAATAAATTAGTGATTTATTGTGCAGCTCAAGTGGCAGTACAATACTCCACAGTCCAATATTTAAACCACATCAATCCCTGCTGTCAACAATAATGATAGATCATTTCTGTAATGAATGATCACGCATCATTAGCACATAAAAAGCATCTTATACCTGATCTCCTAACAATGTTGGCATATTATGTATGCCTCAAAACCTTTCACCAACCAGCAATCTGATTGAAAGGAACTTCATTTCAATGTAACCTGCACTATGATCAACCTGAATGTCAACAAGGAAAAGTACCACATACTGACTACATTGCATCCTATTACATCAACCTACCAACTCAAATAGCTGGTGTGGTCATGTACAACCACAACATGATAGTCACAAAAGGGTCAGAGGTATCAAGATATTAAAGAACATTTCTTTTTATCTTCTAACTTTCACAGAGACCGATCAGTCACTCAAAGCTGTCCTAAGGAAATCTCTGGCTTATGTTTTATATACCTTTACCTAGGGTAGTGAGGTCAATTAAGATTTTAACAAATCATAATGATCCCAAAGAAACCCATATGACTACTAAAAGAGTCATATTTACAACTCCACAGTGTTATCTGAAGTTTGTATGTTTTTTAGTGAGTCTCAGTTTCAGTGTGAATATGAAGTTACACTGACACTGAAGTTACACTTACTCTGATGCATTCAAGGAAGTCAAGAAATCCAAACGCAGATTGTTTTTAGTGACTTAGCATTAAGCAGGTTAGGGTGACAACATTGCACCCTATTTCATCAACCTACCATCTCAAACAGCTGGTGTGGTCATGTTAAATACAATGTGTTGTGGTACAACTACAGCATGATGGTCAAAAAAGGGTCAGAGATATCAAGATATTAAAGAACATTTCTTTTTATCTGCTAACTTTCCCAGGGATTGATCAATCACTCAAAGCTGTCTTAAAGAAGTCAATTAAGATTTTAAAAAAAATCAGAATGACCCCAAAGAAACCCATATAACTACTAAAAGAGTCATATTTACAGCTCCACAGTTATCTGTGAGGGTGAGTTGAGAAGAAATAGAAAGGAAAAGAAAAACAAGACAGACCTATCATTGTACTTGTATTCTGATAACACTCATAGCACAGGTTATAATTAGATATGCAGTTTTAAACAAATTTATCAATATGAAATGCGAGATGGGCTCATAATTTTAAGAAGTTGCTGATAATATATGAGTGAAAATGAGGTGTAATAAAAGGTTTATTCACTCCTAATGGCTTTTTCTGCCTTACTTGGACAGACTACTACAAAACGCACAAACATACAAACAGAAACCCTGGTTATGAGTCTACCGGTTCGGCCGTACCTGAAGAACTACTTTCGATGTTTATGCAACTGACTTGTGGATAAAATGTCAGCTCTTCACCATAAACACAACAGCGCCAGGCCCTGACTCACGAGCGTCCCTTCGTCTCAACGATGCTAGCAACGTTAGCTCTCGCAGCTAACACACAAACTTATTCAGCATGCTAACATTCACTTCACAGCGTACTTCAAGTTACAGCAGGGTAATAACTAACAACAGTCGATAAACTAATCTGTAATGGCTGGTTTGAGTGTTTAGAGAGCCAAGAGGTCTCTATGTGGAAAGTTTGCAAACTTAGCAGGGAGACTAGCTCGCTAACAGCCCTGCCTGGGAGAGTCTTACCCTGTCTGCTGCGGACTCGGTAGGGGTGACAGAGCCGACAGCGTGCAAAAACAATCCCATCTTCAGAGCCGAATAAACGCCTCTCATTCCTCCAAAAAGTGGCTACAGCTTCGGCCAAAACATACGCACACAAACAGAGTTTTTCCTCACGAACTACATCCGAATGTCTTCAACTATTTCTCGGCCGCTGTGGCGCTGAGAGGCCGCTGCATGCGCCGCCTCCTCTGCGTACTGGACATTTCAACAAGGCACGGAGCTGCTGGCGCAACTGGTTGCCGTCGGTGCCATTGACTGATACAGCTGTTACACAAGTCGTTCCTCCAGTACAGGCACTCTGCCTCGGTCTGCTGGGTGTGGCGTGGTCACCTCGACCCGATCCATGTGCGCAACGTGATGGGCGTTCAGTGGAGTTGATGGCTACTGGATTGCGGACTGACCGGTGATTGGATGGACCGGGCCAGCTGGGAAAAGCGAACCAATCACTGATTGGTGCGTCTCAAGTGCATGGACTTGTTATCTTCCTGGATTCTTCCTCTCCTGTTTTTTTTACTAGCTTGTGGGAACACATGTTCAAAACAGGGGAATCCATATTCTCAGGATCTGATTTCAAAACTTTTTCATTTCACATTTATATCACAAGAGAGCACTCAAACCAAAGAGGAAACAAGTGAAGAGCTGTCACCACATTTTTGATTGAAACTTGCAATAAAGTAGTTTTCACCCACACATTAAGTAAATTCATTTTTTATTATATTTTTTTTCATCATGATTATATGTTATTCAAAGTAGTGTCCAGTATCTCTCTGTATTCCTCCCCCACCCAGCAGCGGCTTGGTGGCTGTCTAGCATGAGTCTGGTCCTGCTCAAGGTTTCTGCCTGTTAAAAGGAAGTTTTTCCTTGCCACTGTCACTAATGTTAGATGAGATGGGCCAAATCCCATCTTAGGTTGGGTCTTGATAATTCATCAAACAATGAGCGTGGTCTAGACCTGCTTTTGTTCTTTGAAAAGCGTCTTGGGATGACAACTGTTGTGAATTGAAATTTGATTGATTGATTGATTGGCTTTTCCCTTTACTTGCATCCCTGCATATTTTCACCATTCCCATAAGTGGTATCTGACCCTGTAGATTATTTTGACGTCGTCCCACAGTCAATCACTTAACTGTAGATTTTCTTTAAGAATATTCTGCATTCCTCATCTTGAGATAATCTGCTGTAAAAGGCTCTCCCTACCACAACTCTTGAGGGACAGATATCACTGAGCTAAAGTCGGAGGATATATTGAGTCAACATTTTAGAGAAACAAGCCTTTCAGTTTTAAGAGTTAAAATAGCATCAAGTCATACAGGCTCTCATATGATCTTTGTGATCTTTGCAGTAAAACATTCTTAGATTTGGTAGTTTTAGACTAAAAGCACAAACAGTGCTATGATCAAGTCAAAGACTGAGTTATCATCACCAGTCTCTTTCATGAGGCTCCCTGTAAGGTATACCTAAAAGACTAAATACATCCTTCTCTGTCCGTGTGAAAAGTGGACTACTGCCATGTACTTTCAAACTACCCTGACCAAAGAGAAAAAAGTGAAGAGCTGTCATCACATTTTGGACTGAAACTTGCAATAAAGTAGTTTTCACCCACAAATTAAGTAAATTCATTTTTTTATTAGATTTTTTTTTCATCATGATTATATGTTATTCAAAGTAGTGTCCAGTATTCCGTTCTTAAATTGGCTTTTCCCTTTACTTGCATCCCTGCATATTTTCACCACTCCCATAAGTGGTATCTGACCCTGTAAATTATTTTGACATCATCCCACATTCAATCACTAAATTGCAGATTTTCTTTAAGAATATTCGGCATTCATGAATTAAAATAGCATCAAGTCAAACGGGCTCTCACATGATCTTTTCAGCAGTAAAACATTCTTAGATCTGGTAGTTTTAGACTAAAAGCAGATATCTTTTCATTACTTAAAAGCACAAACAGTGTTATGATCAAGTCAAAGACTGTAATATCATCACCAGTCTCTTTCATGAGGCTCCCTGTAGGGAACACCTAAAAGACTAAATACATCCTTTTCTGTCCGTGTGGAAAGTGGACTGCCGCCATACACTTTTAAACTACCCTGACGCACCACATCCTTGTTCAGTGAGTGCTCCGATAAGCTCATGTTTTTTGTCTTAGCTAAAGCTCTCATGGAGCGGTTGAAGTGTGCTGAGCCTGTGAAATACATGATAGCACAGGCAAACTCGTTGTAGGGTACGACGATGACGTCCAGTCTACGATGGCGCTGATCGGGTCCTGGAAGACGGCAAACACCCATGTATTTCTTTTGCTCTCCATTCTCTTCATGGCTCACCAGGTCATCTGTCAGAAACCCTTTGAAATGACAGAAACTTTCTTAGTTTCTGTTTTGAAACATGAACCCCTGACTGTAAGAGGAGCTACTCTAAATACTTGGCTTACCACTGTCATGGAGGATCTGCAAAACTTTACTGAAAATGCCCTTATGAGAATTGCCATCAGGATGAGTTATGAGCACGTCAACGTCTCCACATGTAGCCTTCCCTCGCCGATAGGAGCCACACGCCATTGCCAATAGGTGTGGGTCTATGGCATGGGCAGCATCTCTCACCTGCATGTATACCAACCAAAGAAGACACACAACACAGGCTGTCAACAATTGAGGAGTGATAAAGCTTTTCTAAAATGTTTGGATTCACAATAACACAAGAGCTGTTTACTTCATGTGTCCCCTTGTTTTTAACATCCTCTCCTTACTGTCAAACAAGCAGGTTAGTACCTGTTTCCAGCCAAAGACATGGAGGTAAGCTCTCAAAAGTATCACATATTACTTTGACAAGCTTTGGGGAGTACACATGCTCAAGTCATCTATCTGATGTGCACTTTGTATCTGGCAGCTTTGCAGGAAAATCTGAGAAATACAATATGAAAACAGCTAGTGTTGTACTCAGCACTCTGGGGGGAACAGCTATCTGGCCAACTTAAAATGCAGTAAGATTCAAGAGTTAGTTTTCTCCTTTGGGATCCTCCACTTAGTAAGGACACAGACTGCTTTTTCCATTATCTAGCAGTCAAGGAAAGCTGAAAGAAATGCTTTTCCTACTCCAAACTCTCGGCTTTAGAAGGGTCAGAGTGGAGCATTTCTCAAAGATATCTGATCTTTTTATACTTGGTTTCACATAGCAAATGAAGATGAGAGGGATAAAAACATATTTCACTAGCACATGTTGACATTACCACTTTCTCTATGGCCCCAGCTTCTTCTCTGGGCATTCGGTCCAGGAAGTCATCATAGTGCTTGAGTCCTATTTTCTGAGTGTTGGTCAGGTGGGCTTTAGTGCGAATGTCCTCTAATGTGCGAAATCCCTGAAAAAAATATCATATTATAAATAAAAATAAGAATAAGAATAAGAAGAACTTTATTAATTCACAAAGGGAAATTCAATTGTCTGTTGTCTCACTTTACATGTCTCTAAAAGTTATCTACTATTTACACAAGGGTATAAACTCTGATGGCTGTTGGTAAAATTACAAAAATTACAGATAATACAGAGAGACCAGACTTGCAGAAACAAAGAATGGTTCCTAGATGACATGCGCTTCTGTTTATGCACTTTTTACCTTGGTTCACATGCATTGTTATACTTCAGCACTCAAACCATTAACTAGCAAATAAAATAAGATTGATTAAGCCTACTTTGGGGTATTTAAAACAAGACTTGAATTTAGTTGGACAGAAAAATACACCTGTCAAGCCTTCTCTGGTGAAGTGGTTATGCATTTGATAACCTTATTATCATAAACTTGGGCCTTAGATGCTAAAAGTTCGTGTTACTTACAGAAAAAAACTTTTAAAAAAAGTAAGCCTCAATATTTTCAGTGAAGGAATAATCCAAAATTTAAATCCAGATTGTATATCTGTTATCTGACTTCTCTTTTTGTACATGTTATTATCATGGCATTGTGTTGTAAATCATGCCGGGAGGTGGATAACCTCATGAGTAAACAAAATGCCTCTTGTCTCAAAAGGGAAAGTGAAAGCTTGGACTCAGTTATCTTTACTCGTACACACTCAGCCTAAAGTGTCTGTAATCTGAACTAAAAGTGAAAGTGTGCCCCACCTGTTGGTACCACAGCTGAGCAGTTTTAGCTCCTGCACCCCAGATATTAGTAAAAAGCTCTAACACTGGCACAGACTCCCCAATGTGGTCTATCTTCCTCAGGTGACCGCTCTCCATGATCTCGTCAATTTTGTCAGCCATCTTTTTTCCAATTCCTGGGATCTGACATGCTTCCTAGAAAACAGATTAAATAAATGAGGAATCTGTGAAAACACTGAACTGTCACTGCTCATCTTTCAACTTTAATTCCTTTCGCTGTAAACACATGGTTGACATTACCGCGGCCATATTACAAAAACATCTCAGATGAATCACCTGATATGACGTGATAGGCTTGTGGTAACTCTTCAGTGCGTTGACAGCCTTAGAGTAGCCAAGCGCCCTCCATTTGTCCCCCTGGTGTGTGTAGGCCTTGGCAAGCACTTCCAGTTTGTCGGTGATGTGCTTGTTGAAGTTATTAGTCTTGGATTCAGAGGATTGGGCACACACCCACTTTCCTGAGACCACCATCTGAGCAGTAGAGTCTGAACCAGAGGCCAGGCTGGGTCCGAGGGTCTCTTCTTTGGGGTGCTGGCCAGTGATAAGAGCTTCTAGGTCACCCTGAGAGACCCCGTCTTCCTCCCCTTGCACTTCCTCTGCTGTATCAGGTACTGTCTGGGGGTAAAATGGAGAAATAAACTGGAAAACATCACAGACTTTTCATTCATGCCTAAAATGTCTGGCTTTTCACCTAGACTGAACCTGAAACCATTAAAATTGTGTTTTCTGCACACAAATTGGAAACCTACCTCATCTGTAATCTTCTCTTGTTTAGTTTGATCAGAACCTGTAGCGATGACAGCCTCTGCAGCAGGTTTGACAATCGGTTTCTCTTCTTTAATTGTTTCACTCTGTGTTTGAGATTCCCTAATTGGACAAACATGAAGGGATTTTTTAAAAGACTGAACAACCTAGTTGATTTTAAATGATTTACCCGCTTTCCAAAATTTATGTTTTTTCAATACTAACAAAAACTTTATGTGATAAGAGGTAGAAATGTTATCATAAATTAAAAGCAGACACACCTAAACCCTTACGTACTTTTTTGTATTGAGTCTAGCAAACTGGAAACATTATTTAACAGTGAAACAGGTAAAAAAAACAATTAGACATTTTAATTAAGTGCGGAGAGCTCATTAACCTCTCTGGACAAAGAAGACTGTAGCCGGCAACATCCAGGAGTTGCTTCTCACTGATGCACATGCTCAACCAACTGCATTTCACCAGCTGGACTCCAGAGGGCATGCTATCCACTTTGAGGAGACGTAGAGCCCTTTCCCTGTCCATGTCATCGTTTACCACGACATGAGTGACACCTGGACAGAGTGAACTTTCCGTCTGCCCTCCATTCTGCTGAATTTGTCTCTGGAATATCTGACACCTGGCATTTCCTATTCCAGCAGACAGGACGAATACTGTGACACCATTAAAAGTGCTTCCTGGGACATAAAAGAGAGACATGTCACAACATAAATATGTCATATATGTAAATATCATGATCCTGCCTTACTTCACATGTAATTTTGTAAAGATTTTACATATATTCTTCCATATGTATTTCACAAACACATAAACAAGACATGGTAACAACCTGTGACTTCACATTCATCCACTGTCTTCTTTGCTGGTGGGGCATCCTTTCCTTGTATCACTTTGGCTCTTTTTACCTTGGGGAAGGCTTTCATAATCCCGTGTCGAGGCTCCATTGTGTGTCTTGAAGGGACATGCCAATGGCCTGTGACAAATACAATTATGAAGTTAACTACCACTATGGTTAAAAAAAAGAAATCAACAACATTGCAGTTTTACAAGTTTTTACAGGGTTTGAGATTGATTGAGTTAGATTTTGTTGCCTGTTATTCAAAGTTAATTCTTCCAAAAGTGGCGCAACAGCTGAACAGCAGAGATGCTACACAGTTAAAAAATACTCCATTAAAAGTCCCGCTTTTAGTATATGAAAAATGCTTAATTCTGTAGGATCTATCATTGAAATGTACTCAGTGATCAAAATTAGTCAGTTATAAATGTTTTTTGTTTAGGTACTCAGAGGTCTAGTGCTACTCATGGGTTAATAAGTAAAAGCGCTTTATTGTTGTTCCCACCAAACAATAAAGGGCTATTAGACATCTAATATTTTTTAGACATAATTTCAACCGTCTAGATTCTGTATATTTTTAGACGTTGCACTTTAACTCATTATTCGATAACCATTTCAAAAAGTAACTGTGAGTCACATAACTGATCTTCAATTATTTAACCAAAATAATTGTGATAGCTGTTGAGCAATAATGTAGTATAGATGTAGCCCAGATTTAGACTTGATCTAAATTTATTTCTAAATTCATTTTTAGATCTGTGGTAGCCTGATTTTAGACCAGTCATCTAGGCCACATTTAAACGTCTATTAGACCTCTTTTAGACCAAAAATATCTATCTATCTATCTATCTATGTAGTGACATGTACTCTTGACAGCTCTGTACAAGTTAACAGTTCGGTAGGTAGTTTGACACACAGTAAAAGCATCATAAGGGAGTTCTTTTGAGTAGATCAGGATCAAGCTCAGCCTGCTTGTTCCTGTTTTTTTTTTAACTCTCAGGGAAATCAACCCCATCTATTTTTGTCTCCACAACCACTCTTCATCATTGATCCATTGCACTACTGTCTCGTATACAGTATAAATGTTAAATGACTAGATCCAGTTTGTACCTCGTAAGTTTTTGTAACGTTTCGTGTTTATTGTTTCTACATAGAGGGCAAATTTTTCCGGAGTCAAATTCCTTGTATATTATGTACACATACTTTGCCAATAAAGCTGATTTTGATTCTGATAAACTCTGTGTTAGCCTGCTGCTTTTAGCCCGTGCTAATGTTTGAACCTGTAGCTATCAAGACTGTTAAAGTTACTTTTTCTTTTTATACGTACGAGACATTTTAGACACACCAACTTGTTCAAATACAATCGCATAATTCAAACAAGAAAACCAATAAAGTTGTAATAGTATGATTCTTACCCCAGCTGTAGTGAAACCATTACCTGTTTACAACAGTGCAGGCAGAGAACATTCAAATGATTCACTTCCGGGTCACTTAATTTTTTTTTTTTTTTTAGTTGTAATGCTGGAAAAGGTAATTCATTTGATCATTTCAATTTCAGTTCATATAATAATTTTTATCAGCATATAAATTTAACTTGTCTATATATGTGGTCAAATGAAATTTTTAATCTTTTTTTTTTTATGGTTGCTGTGTTATAACTGCCGTTGCCGTGGCTACCATGTGAGTCCGGAAGTGACCCTGTACAACAACGAAACATGGCTGTGCAAAGCTGGATTGAGATCCTGAAAACGTCAAAGAAAACTGCCTTAATACACGACGGTGAGCAAATTCATCTATTCTTACTAAAGATTCATTTATCTTTTCTGTAAAACTACCTTTGTGCTTTTTAAACGAAGTTGCTTCCTCTTACTTCTCGCGGTTGAGCCAGTGTCACGAAGCAACAAGCAAACGACACAACTTTGAGTGTATAGCATCTAAAACAAGTTATTTAGAAAAGAAAAAACACTAAAACATCTACATGTTTGCCAATATAAGACATCTCTTGACGAGAAAAAGACCTTAAAATAAGAACAATAGGACTTTGTTCCCTCTCAGTGTCTTCTAAGGCTGTAAAAGTGTCTTACCTAAACCATCATCTCTGCTTTTATCATAACACACCTTACAAAGTGTTAATGTGACTTTTTATTGAACAACACTGGTTGCTATTTAAAGAAATTAAGATTTTATTTTTTGAACATGTGCATTTGATGTTATCAAAGAGGCATACGGACTCATTTTGACATATAAATATATACCCCTGGGCTACAGTGACTGCAGTTTGCATTTTGTTGAATCAGAAACACATTATGGTTTTTGTTTAGTTTACAGGGTCTTTTGCTATTTTATTTAGGTTTTTCCAGTTGATTGAGTCTTTACATATTTCACCTCCAGGAAAAAGAAAAATCCACTACCTTTTTAAAGATGGTAATGAAATGGCTGAAGAGTATGATTTAAAAACAGATGAGCTCCTCGGTAAGCAACAATGTCAGAAATTTCACACAATAGCAAGTAGCTGAATTTCACAAGCATGTTTTTGATCATTACCTTCAAACTTTTTGAACCTTTTCAGTGAGAAAGTGGCGTGTGAAAAGCACACTCGGAGCTCAGGGCCAATGGCAGGTAGAGGTTGGAGAACCAACTGCAGGACCTGCCGCTTCTTTGGATTCAGAGGTGATCAAGGAGAACTGCTCGAATGTAAGTTTTCTTCTGTTAACTTAGAAGTTAGACTGAAACTTTTGAGTTTTTTCATCTGATTGCCTTTTATAAAAACATTTGTAAATATCATGCCTGTCAAAAAAATTAATGTTTCTCTACCCACAGCCTGTATTCATACGTAAGGACACAAAAAGCAGTTTTCAGTGGAGAATTCGCAACCTCCCCTACCCCAAAGATGTCTTCTGTGTCACTGTGGAGCCATCTGAGAGATGCATCATCATAAAAACCTCAAACAAAAAGTAAATTCCTCAGAAAGACAGCTTTCTGTCATTGCTGCTGTTGGTTTTATCAATGTAGTCCTCACATGCTACCCATAGATGGCACTGTTCACAATACATTACTCTATAAAGTAACCTTTGAAACCAACAACAGTCTCTCCCTGTTTTCCTAGGTATTATAAGAAGTTCAGTATCACTGATTTAGATCGTATTCAGCTTCCACTGGACGGCTCCGCCCTCAGCTTCACACATGCCAACAACACTCTCATTGTCAGCGTAAGTCCACATCAAGCAATCTGTACCGACATTGTTTTTCATCCCTTTGGTTATCTATCGTACGACTTTAAATCAAAGGAACTGTGCATTAAAGGCTATTTTTTAAAGGTTTTTATTGTTTCCGATTTTATTTATCTGGAAATACCATACTGAAAGACCTGAAAACTAAAATCTTAACAGTCTGAGTATATCAACATATAGAAAGTGATTTCTCCAAAACTTTTAGGCACACATGCATGAGAGTCTGCAACAACATTTATTTCTATACATGTTTAACTTTGTTTGTCATAGCATTTAACGTAAATCGTAAGAATAAAAAAAAAAATTCTCATGTTTTGAGCTTGAAGATTTACTCTGTGGTCTTGTTTCTTGTTTGCCTTCATGGTAAAGTTTTTTTTTTATCCCACTGACCAATTTCTTTTTTTAATTCTTTTAATGATGTACACTTCTTTGCCATGATTACTGAGCAGGAATTAAAGGAGGAGGACAGAGCGGATATGGAAGTAATTATATTTCTTTTCTGTTTTCCAGTACAAGAAACCCAAGGAGGTGTTAACCCTTGAACAGGAGCTGCTAAAGGAATTGAAAAAGCTGAAGGGGACCAGTGATGGGGACATGGACTGCAAAACTCAGTGATTTTGGACAGCGGAGGTGGAAGAATAGTTCTGTTTCTCACATTTAATGCAGAACCTGATTGCGTCATTTTGCAGTCTTATTCAGGCTCTCACTTACTAATATTAAGTGAGTCCCTGCATTAAGAAGTTCTTTTCACAGGGCCTGTCAACTTTTCAACACAAGTAATTGTGTTTACAAATTGAAGTTTATTGATTAGATAAACTCTCTAAATTCACTGCCTTTGATATTTGATTCAGAAGTATTGAGTTTAATCAGTCACTCCTGGTTTAACTTCAGTCATTTTCAACTTTGTTGCTGAGCCACAAATGTTTTTCTAAATTATATCTCTCACAGAAAAGTTTTTCACAATTAGCAAAAACAAAGTTCGCATCACAACAATGTCTATTTTTACTTCTTGTTACTAAACCATGAATCTATTTTGATGAGGGTCACATAACCTACTGCCCCCCCACCCCCTTTCATGGATGTCCTTGTAAAACACTCAAAACACACAATGCCCCATCCCTGTTCGTTCCGGGGTCACTGTTACGAGGAAATCCCATTTGTGTTAACTGAATACCCTCATGTTCCCTGCATGTAGTGGGCCACCCTGAAAGCCATTACTGAAACTCTGGTCAGTGAGCAAGCTATAGTGTTACTGTTTCCCCTTACAGCATAGTGTCACCCCGACCCTATGGTTTGCAGATCAAACAAGTTCAAACACAACAAATAAATCGGTGCAATATTTGCATGACTTTGTTTCTAACTGATTTTGTGTAAATGTTTTACTTACATACAGATAGTATTTCATATTTTTTAATTTCTTAAGTCTTTGTGTATTGATATGATGGCCAAAAATAACTGTTCAGTTTCATGTTTCAAAAATTTAAATGAGCAAAAGTACAAAAACACTCTCCAGTAAGAAATACTTAGACAGTGGATAAAAAAAGAACAGGTTTATAAAAGAGATAATGGCATTTAAATATAGATTGTTTTGACCTTGTGATTCCTTGCATTTTTTACTGCTTGTCCAAACCCAGAGAGCAAGTGCAAAAAAGCAGAGACGAAACCACAGGTTTCTCGCACTATTGTGCTTTGTCTTCTCTCAAATGGAAAAGATAGGAAGCATTTGAACCCGCTCCGTGTTGTTGTTTTGCAAGTTCTGATGAGTTTTTCTTTTAGGAGAAATAAGTGCATACTCATTTGGTATTGTTTAACGTTTGAATTAAAAAGAATTTGAGTTTTAAATCTACTTGAATATCTAAGACTCCTTAAGCATCCCCTCTGAGGTCTTCATTTTTGTGACTGGGTTAAATGTTTTATCATTTTCAGAAGTCAAACTGCTGCCAAATAGATTCCTGCTGCAGCAAACATAAACTAACAAATTGGACATCCAGCTCATGCAGTGTGAGAGCACGGAGTCCCTCTGTTCAGGGTCTTCTTCCTCCCCTGTCGTTTGGCCTCTGATGGTCATGCTCAGCTGCTTCTGGGAAGAGGGTTTCTTTTTTGCCTCCCTTTCATTCCCGAATGCCTCTTCCCAGCCATTCCCCCTCTTTCAGACGATGCCACATTTTGCCACACAGGCCTTGATGCTTTTTCTCCCACCCCACAGCACCCCCACCTCCCCCTGCAGCCCCTTACCCCTCCCTGTGTGACTGGCTTCTTTTTGATAACTGACCCCTCCTTGTGTTATTATTCGAACCCACTATTGTATAACATGCCCTTTTATATGAGGTTTCACAAAGGGCCCATTTGATCAGAGTGTTACGGTGTGCGATCGTGAGAAATGCAACTACATGGTGGTAACCTTTGTTTGGACCAAAATGGTGGGCTGACCTCATCGCTTTTAATGCATAGCCTGGGCCATTCAGGCCCAAGTTTCACTTGCTGAGCACATTGAATTCAGTAGCCTGTCACAGATATTGCCCCTCAGTTATCTGGGTCTCCAGTTTTAAGGAGAAGAAGAGAAAAACATTTTATAAGACTGACCGACAATGTATGCTCGCTTACCTTCAAAACAACCGCAGGAACACAGAAAACAAGCAGCTCACTTTCTGAATCTTTAGTGGTTTTAATATACACTCTACAATAAATATTTCCATCATTTCATGTCATTTACATTTTTACAGTAAAAATATATTCATATATGTAAAAAAAAAAAACAGGTTAAAAATTCCTCAAAATGGCCTCCTAAAAGCAAGAGAGCATGTCAACTGAGACTTAAACGCTGTGACCACATGAAGTTCCACAGATAGCTGCCGTGTTTTGCTTCATTGTACTCATTTCTTGTTAAACATTCATGGTTGTTGAGTTCAAATCAACTTGTAACCACAGGATTTTATTAGTAGCCACATGTCTTCTTTGATTTAATGAGTAGATCTGTCCTAAAGTCCTTCTGAATTTGTAATAGTTAAGAGATTAGATAGAAAATGTTCACAAGAGCGACAATTAGACAAAGTTCACAAAATGAGGCAAAATGTGTATGGGCACTTGACTGTAAAAGTTAATTTCTCTTGTAGTGGTTCCTGTTTGTTCTGGTTCATCTATAGTTCTCCCTCAGCAGTTTCAGTCCTCAGCGGCCCCCTGAGCGCTGGTGATGGGAATGTTTAGTCCGTTTGCCTAAAGGATGCGCAGGGACAGCAAGAGGAAGGACATCAAACGGTCTCCTCTCGCTCAGCAAGTGCCCCCTCGGTAGTCGCTTCATGAAATGGGCCTCCCTCTGGTGCTGCTTGGTTTTGGAGGCCTTCCTAGGGCGGCCTTTGCGTGTGAAAGCCATGTACCAGCCCTCATACTTGGCGTTCTGTAGTGCGGTGTAGTTGTTTTCCAGAACAATCTCAGTGAAGATGCAGTCTTTGCCTCGTCCTTTCCGCTGGGGAAGCATAAAAAGTTAGGAGACGTTGAGTTATTTTGGAAGATTTCCAGGAAGCAGAGTAATGTCTTTATTTCCAATCATCTACCCTTTGAAACCTTAAGAGGCCTCCTCAGAAAAATCTCAAAATCAAATTTGTTCTGGCTGCAAATGTGTCTCAACACAGTGTCGCCATAAGCTGCGAGTCCAGAGTAACATTTCCAAGAAGCGAACAAAATTCAAGATGTTGCCGTAGTCAAATGCAGCCACAAAACTATGAATTCCAGATTACCTTGCCGATCAGCTTTCCTCTCTTGTTCATACATATGTAGTATCCTGTCTTCACCCCTCTAATACGGATACGGCTTCCAAAAGAGTCCGTCTCCACCTCCAGTTTTGCTGCACAGAACAAACATCAGAAACAATGAGATGGCATGGTGCTGGCATACAGATTATGATGTTGCAGTGAGACAAATGCGCCCTGAACGTCTTTCCTTGAGTTTATTCCTTTCTGTATGCTAGACATGGTAATAAATTGGGATTACATCATGGCATCTTTAAATGGCATTAAACAGCTGTGACACAATCTCGACCAGTGGATCAGGATCACGAAGACAATGTATAAATTTCCCTCCTGTCCCTTTTATGAGCCAGTAGCAGGCTTTAACAATGGCATGTGAGCCGTCCAAAATAGCACTAAATGATAGTGATTTAGCACGGAGCGATTGTTGTTGAATGCCTGTAAATGCCGTGCTGTGATGCAGTTCAGACTGAGGATAAAGGAGAGTGAGAATACTGCGGTCAGGGACACAGCCACAAGCACAGAGCAGCGGTCAGATTTGGGCTGGTTACAAGAGTGACACCCACTTAGAATGTGCAGCCAATGTGTGCATGACTGACTCTCTCTCTCGCTCCCTCTCTCTCTCTCTCTCTCTGCCTCTATGAGAATGTGTGTGTAGGCCGAGAAATTTAAAAGACAAAAGAGCACACAGGAGAGGCAAGGAGAGGAAAAGGTATAAAGTGAAGATGCTGACTTCACCACTCCTTATAAATTGAGTCATACATTGAGTTGTAATGCAATGAAAATTCCTCATAAAATCAGCCTCAGAGAAGCAAGCATTGAAGACTTTGTTATATGGTGGTGGCTGCGGTGGAAAGATGGCTTAATGCAGCGAGTATCCTTGGGTGACAGGGATTCTGCTCACTTTGACTTTAAAGAAAAGTTTTACATCGTAAGACACAAAGAGAAAAGGCTCTTCCTGTGGTCTACCATGATAGAGAATGTTTTTTTTCCAGACTACCAGCATACTAAATAGTTAAATATTGCCAAACCTCAGAAAAGATGCTCATAATTGCTTCCACCCTTGCTCTTGGTTTTAAAACTTTTCTAAGAGTCGCCCCAAACAATTTCTGGACAACTTTAATTCCCTGTTTGTAAGGTGAGCATGTGTCCCATTTTATTGTTTTCCTGAGGTTTCAAAGCATTGAAATGTAAGAAACGATGGCCCTTAGCTGTCATCAGCTTTGACTGCCCCAGCCTGGCTATATTCACAGGGGCTTAGAGTAAAGTTGTTTCATCATTTTAGAGGCAATAAAAAATGTCTCCTTGAGTGGATTAACATATGTGAGCCTTCATTCTGCTATTTATTATATAATGATATTTAAATTAGTTATTATGCAAGACACCTCTCGAAAGAGTTAGCTGAGAAATTTAGCAATAATATTGAGTCTGTTTCTTGACGAGGTCTTCCTACTCTCGCGATAGTTTTCATATTTTAACTACGCAGCAGATGCTTGCCAATATTTTACTTAGGCCTTCATTTTGTTGAACCTTCGTTAAACACTTAATGGTTATTTTAACTGTAGTTTTGTACATATTGTAGAGTTTTAGGCCGTCTACGTCGTATTTAGCTCACTTTTCTCTCTGCTAAACTTTCTGGTAGTGGTTGTTTTTCCTTACCGTGCACCGCCCCGTCGTCCCCGTTGGCGTTGACCCTCTTGTTGGCCAGGACCTGGACGTGTTTCCCGCTAGTGCGGCTGTACAGCTGGTAGGTTCGTGTCAACCTGCGACTCATCCGATCCGACAGCCGGCTCTGCTCGGTGACATGGTGCTTGAAATTAGGAGGAGACTGCACAGAGTTCTGCCAGACAATAGGAAACACATGTCTTAATCGCTGAAATGACTTTTTAATGTCTCGGATTTTACTTTGCAACTTGGATTGGTCTGAAAAATGTCAGCTTTGAGGAGGCTGTATCTTGACAGTCGGAGGGCCAAGGCCCCGGCTCACAGTTAATTATGCCTTTCAGTTCAATCTCTGTTATCCATCCATCTCGTTTGACGTTCGTTTATTCAACCCACACGTGTACTGTAACTTTCTTAAGATGCTTTCAGGGACCCTCGGGGATGACATTTCCCTCTGATATATTTTTTTTCTTTTTACCACCGATGATCTTTCACCCCTGCCTGACTTCTTTTTTCCCCCCTCATTTCAGCCCTTCTCTGTCCACATGTGTTTTAACAATCACTTTAAGGCTGGGGCTTACCTCTTTTCAAGATGTTTGAATTGTTGCCAATTGCCATAGCACTTGTAATAAAATGTTTTCATTGTTATTGCAGCCCATTGCAGATGTAGAGACGCTGAACTATAAGCCGCTGTGCATGGCGCCTGCATACCTGTTAAGTTTTACTTACTTAATTATAGAAGTGAACGCAACATTAATGCATTTTATTGAAGTGAAAATGTGAGTTACCTGTGCGTAAAAGCAAAGCGCCGTGAACTGAATTAACCTGAGGGGGAGAAGAAAAATTAAAACCTGTTGCTTAAATTTGACAAAATAAATCTTGAATTACAGCATGTTGGCAGCAATGTACTTACAGATAACCTAACCTCGATGTTCTCAGCCTCATCTTGTAATAATGCAAATATTGCTTCATGAATACTCCACTAAGTCGGTGCTAGAAGCTCTCGGAAATGAAGTTCCTCCTGATGGGGAGTTCAGCTCAGTTTTATTTTCCTCTTGTTTCACATAAAGCTGATAGCTGTAACAATTAAGAGATCCAAAACTGTCAGGTTTGCCACGCACAGGTGAAGGACCCACTCTCCACGCAATGTTACAGTCAGTCTTGAGAATTAAAAGGCGCTGCGGTGCCAAACCAAACTGAAAGTCCGGAGAAGTGTCGCTGTCACCGGAGGAGCTCCATCAAACCGCCCTTTGTAAATCACTCTCTCCAGTGAGGGGTTTTGCCCGGGTTTGAGGTTCAGAAAAATCCTCTATGACTCTCCGTGACAGCGCAGAGGTGACTATGTTGAGTTTTACGCACTGATCTTTACGCACCAGCCGTCTGATGAGTCCCGTGAGTTTCCTCAAAATGACTGCATATAACAAACAAAGTTGAATGAATGTAATAAGCAGCAGCTCGGCATCATTCGTGCAGTGTGCAGTTCTAGCTGCTATAGGTGTCCTTCTGTAAAGATGCACAGATTGTAAATTCCAGCGTCAGTCTGCCTCCTACACGTGTGTTTCTTGCGGTTGCCTTCAGCGCACATGCAGCATCTGTCTCCCTCTACATTTAAACTTTCGGGAAAGTCAATTTCCCCCGCGAGAGCAGGCGGAGCGTTCAAGATGGGCCAGGTTGAAACGGAATACTGGAATACTTATTAAGACACTTTGCATGCACGTAAGATGCTCACTTATTTGCAGAATCAATTCATACGTTGGATAAATGCTATTAACCAACTTTGACAGCAAAATATATTAAAGAACTGACTTTTTAGTTATCAGACAGGTGCAGTTTTCAAGTGAGAAGTTTGATTTTTGCATCAATATCAAATCATCACTTGTCATAGTTCGTGTAGCCTTGTGATTTCACATGGCACTTATTTGGCACAACATGGAAAAGTCCCCCATGCATATTATCATCAAAAAACTTTTACTTTGACAGAAGGTCAGAGGTCGTCTGGTGGTCCCTCAAGACACACCTTGATGTAGGCCTTTGTCTTCATCTGATATGTCAGTAATACGTATTCTTTGTGAACTCATGACTGCATGGTTTTCACATAGATTTGAAAGCCTTCCCTCTGTAAACAATTCCCCCTCGCTCATTTTTCCCTAACTTTTCATTATCCAGGTTTGATTTCAGAAAATATGGATTACGTCAATACACAGAGCATATCATTTGTAGCCGTATTGAGTAAGTGGCAGGCCTTACTCCAGGGAAACATCAGATTGACAGGGTAAAGAAGGAGCAGTTAAAAGATATTCAAATCCAGATGACCTGCAGCTTTGCATTTAGTATGACATGAACCCGTATTATGGGTTAAACAAATCCATTTCCTGTCTGACTCAGGCATAAAATATAAAATACACAATTTTATGAAGACATAACTAAAAGTTTTGATAAATGAGGACCCAGAAATGGAAATGTAACACAAATTTTACACCCATACTAACTCGCCTCACTGTTTTTGTGTTTTACAGATGAAATCATCAACAAGAGTGCTGTTTAAAAGATGGGATAGATCTGCACTGGTCAAAGCTGGACACAAAAAGGTAGAAAAACATCTTGAGTCTCTTTTTAAACCACTTGTTTTTAATGAATCATCATTGCACTTTGGCATACTTTCGAACTAAATGATAACCTCCTGTCTAAGTTTACTGACACCCAGACTCAAATAAAGAGTACAGTCCCACAGAGCCTAAAACTTATCTTGGGCATCTTTTCTTACCTGTGAGTATTCATCAGTGCAGGCTCAAGTTCTCTGTGTGAACATTATGGGAAACTTGTGCACTCTTCCTGCAGAACAGCTGTCCAAGAGTAAAGTATATTATGTATAAAATTACGTGGATTTGGTCAATGTCTCAGCTGTAAATCAGTCATTTCAGCCAATGCAAGGGATTTGGAGGGTGAAAATGGACCTGCCTTATTGGTTCCAGGGGGATATTGCAACAAGTGATTTTGCCACCTGGACCGAATCAGTATTTTGTTCTTTCGTATTTTGAACCCTCAGTGATCACACACCCAAATATGAAATCCACATGTGTGATAATTAAAGAGATTGAGTTTTATGAAGGCCACACAGTGACGCATCCATGGTGCTTGTGTGACTGCCTGAACCCACAGATCACTTCAGCCACGTAAAGTAAATTTGATTATGAAAGAGAAACCTGCAGTCTTCCAGGTGGCAGGTCACTTTAAATGTTGTATCTTCTGTATCAGTTTAATAAATTAACTTCCTACTTTTGGGAGTACAGTTTTACAAATGTTAGTATATAACAGAAGAGTTACCTTCTGTTTACTCTTTTGTTTACAGACGTGAAAGACAGCACCTCTTCATTCAAAACAGATTTTTGCAGAAGGTGCACAAGGTGGTCTGTGTTTGAGAGGGAGCTGCCTAAACTTTAACCTGCCTTAGAAATTATGAGATCAGTATTTTTCACTTCTTCTCTGATGCATCAATGGAAATTAAACTGACAGAAAGCATCATAAACATTGCAACGAATAGCACCTCAACTCTCCCTACAGTAAAGCTCCACCAAGTAAATAAAACATCAAACACACACAAGCATTTAGTTATCCTTGAGCCCCAAAGCAAACTGTCTGTTCCACTCAGCTGACTCAGACATAACAAACAGCATTATTACTGTCAGTGTGATTTGACGGACAGTAGAAACAGTAGCAGAGCTGGTGTGTGCTGGTGGACCATGCACCTCTCAAGAGCGACCACCAGGACAAGGGGAGGTGGGAGTAAATGGTGGGGAGAGAGATGCTAAAAAAAAGCTCCAAGACCCCTTCACACAACCTCTGTGTGCATGCTGCTGATAGAGGTGTTTTACTCTCAATTAGTGTCCTAGAAAAACAACAACAACAACAAAAGCTGTGGTTTCTTGCAGGCCCAGGTCAGATATAATTTTTCCTTTTTGACATTAAAGAATCAAAACTTATTTTCTCTAAATGGTTAAGGAACTTATTTCTCAAGACCAGAGGCAGCTGCTTGATTTGAACAAAACTTGTTGTTTATGAAATGTATATGCATAAAAAAGGTGTGATATGGTTAAGTCACACACCACGTGTGCAGAGGCAATAGTCTTCAAGCAGGCGGTCTGGGTTTTATCCCAATCTGCAGCCCCTTTCCCCACTCTCTGTCCCAGTTTCCAGCTCTGTTCAGTGTTATATCCGTTACAGTATAAAGGCATAAAGCCCAAAAGTTAAAAAACAAGCAAGAGTGTCACTTAGTGAGCAATAAAGATTCACTAAGCTGTTACATGCTGTATATCCTGTTTGTGGTCTTCATGCTGTGCTTACCTAATCAGCCCTGCCTACACTGAAGTAACCCTCTATTGGAACTCTAACCTAGTGGGATAGTTGCATTTCTTTACATGCTGAGTTTTCCCCTTTAAAGGAAGCGGCTCAGTCTAAGCTGACTGTTTTGACTTAAATTATTTTCCCACACTTCTACTGCCAATGAGCATTCACTCCACTGTGGTAAAGGTGATACATGTCTTTAACTTCTCCACACCACTAACAGCCACTTGCAATTAAGAAACGTCTCTGCAAAAGTAAATGACATTTGTTGAAGGTGAACTGTCCGACAGGTTTGGCTAACATTTTCCAGACTGTGCATAAAAGGCTCCCATGAAACATGATCAAAAGCTATCATTTTTTATGCTAGTTTTTCACATACCTAACTGTCTGCTGCCTCACTCCAAAGATTCTCTAGTGACCAGCTTTTCTGGCCTCTTAATTTGTTTGAGAGGAGTTGACACACGTCCAAGTTTCGCCCCAGATCCCAACCCTTTTCTCTCACAGCCTCCCTATGCTGCTTTTCTCATTTGGATCACAGTTTGCTAACTAATTCAAAGCCCTGGTATCAGCGAATGAGGTACAAAAACAGCAATCAAGAGAAAAGCTGTGAAAAAGGAATCAGAGAGAGGAACTTTTTGGCAAAGATTTGTATCGGTTATTCTTAGAAGAGGAGTGACTGAATGTCTGAAAATGCCCCAGAGCAGACTACCATTCAGTGAGAGGTATTATTCCCCCTTTGCTAATGTGAGACATAAAAATACACACTCTTGTATAAGGCCGAGCCAATGGAAAGGTAGACACCATGGAGGAGAGAAAACAGAGCCAGAAAGGAAGACAGACAGAATAAGAGTGTGAGTGTGCATGTGTGCGTGCAAGCGTGTGTGTGTCTGTGTGTGTGTGTTTGGGTGGAAAGAATATATGTGACCCTCAGTGTCATCTGGTAGCAGTGCTGCTCGCTATCCAAACCTCAGCGGCTTTTTTGAGGAGAAACGCTCCATCACCTGTTGTAATTACGCATCGCCGCTTTGTTGCAACAACCTGAACCACATAATGTGCCTGTAACCACATCACCACACACCACTAACTTACCTTGACTTGGCTCGAATACGCTGGATCACATATCCAGCATCACTGGAAGTTAGTCTGTTGCTGGTGCATTTGCACAAGAACATGGAGGATTGAGTTCCCCCTCAGGTTGTGACTGAAGGCTTCACTGATGTTAAGTCAGATTTTTACTCTACTATGTAAATAATTGGTGGGTTGCCAAGTTGGGGTTGTTGTTTGCTCTCCTGCAGCTTTTGGCTCACATGAACTCTTCTTCAACAGTCCATCAGCCCCTCTAAAAAAGACTTAAATCTGATTTATTCATTTATATGACATGCAAAGGTGTAAAGGTGCAATAATTTGTTCTCATATGGGAATTAAAAGGCAAATGCTAATCAAGTAAAGCAGCAGATTGATACTTACTGTATTTTCAGGACTATAAGTCGTAGTGGAGAATATGTCGCACCAGCCAAAAAATGCATAATGAAGAAAAATAAAAAACATATACTGGTATACATCGCATTTTTTGGTGGAAATTCATTTTGCAAAAACCAAGACCAAGAACAGACATTTCATCTTAAAAGGCAAGTTATTATAACAACAATAGAATAGAGAACAGGCTGAATAGGTGTACGGTATGCTAACATAGCACTGATGGTTATTCAGCTACATGAAGCATAAACAATGAATTCAATAGGTGTCTGGTATGTTAATGTAACATATAAACAGTTATTCAGGTAACTATAGTATAAAAAAAACATAACAAAACAAGTTTACCAAACTCTAGATCTCACCCCAGATCACAAAATCTATAGAATTCTTCATCATCAGTGTCACTTCTGAACAACTCCGCCAACTCCGGAGGTAAAAGAATTGCCGCTTCCTCTTCTGTGTGACTGTCGTCAGACTATATGTGAAATCATATATTTTGATATATATAAGTCACAAACCCAGCCAAACTATGAAAAAAAAGTGTGACTTATAGTCCGGAAAATGCGGTACATACAAGGTTGGACTGACTTGCTAAAGGCAATGGGTTTAAATGACCCCCCCTAAAGTTAGTCCCTGTTGAACCCACCTCTAACCACAAACTGTGCCATTTGTACATCCAGTAAGGGAGTGATATTTAATTTCTGTTTGTGCCAGTTTCAATGAACACAACTGTGTATTGTGTATGAAACATTAAACCTTTGAAAAACTAGCTCTAGACCCTGAGCCATTCACAAGAAAACCCACAAGACACCTTATAATATAGGGCACAGTCATTTGAAATGAATCCCCAGTCATCAGTTTATATGAACTCCCCTATGTCTTGTGGGCTGTGTAGACTCTGCCAGCCCATGTAGACATGTTCTCAAATCAGTGACTTTATATTTAATGTTTTTACCCACAGGAGGCCCCAGTCACCCTGACCCCTTTGTTAAAAACTAGTTGTAGAACCAATACAGAAGCAAGGCTGTCAACCACCACCAATGCGGCAAATTTTATCACCTAATTAAGCAACGTGAAATATGGGACGGTTTGACCCAAACACTAGCAGTTGATCAGCAGAACACTTGTGTTAGTGCTAAAACTCAGTGGCTTCAGACCGCGGCTAGAAGATGATTTACCCACAGTACTTTTGGAAAGTAGGTGCCACAAGCAGGCCTGCATTTTATGAGAGTAATATGCTGACTGTTAGTTTATTAATTTATTTGACACATGCACAAGACAAGCCGCTGAGCCAGTGTTAGCCATAAAGCTGATTTACATCTGTGGTCCCTGGGCAGGAAGGTCTAAAAACATGCAATACGAACATAAAAAAACAGGATAAAAGAAGAAACAAATAGGAAACTAGAAGCACTGTGGTGGCTGGCCTTTTGTAGGAATGAAGAAGGATTATAGATTCCTCCTTGACTTTCTAGGACAACAGTGCAGACAAGCCAAGTTACACAGAAGAGATATGGTCCACTTTTCTAGCTCTTAAGAACAGCACATAACGCAAACTGAAGAGGCAAGGAGAACTTTTTATGGCGGCTTGATCAAAGCAAATTGTTATCCATCTTTTCAAGACAGGATCTGCTCACTTTTTATGATGCCGCAAAGATTGAAAAAAGGATGCTCTACGACTTAATCTCAATCTTAACTCTCATGTCCTTTTTTTGCAGATTATAGATTCATTTTACCCAACAAACAAATCCAGAAAAGTTTGGTAGGGTGTGGGTGAATCTGATTTCGATGATATGAAAATCGTTCCAACTCCAATCCCAAATGCATTTCAGTGAGGCTGAGTCTCTCAGAGATAAAGATGGGAAGATGTTCACCACTCTTTAAGAGACTGGATGAGAAAATAGATTAGCAATACCAGACTATTTTTTCTTAGTGTAACAAAGACTTTAAGGATTTTATCAATTATGGTACAAAATACAATCAAGAGATTCAGAGAATGTGATGAAATCTCTGGACACAATGCCTAAAAACAGTAATGTATGGCTGTGATCCTGTATGTAAAAAACACAAAAACAGATGTGACTCTGTAGTGATAGAACAATCGTTTGTAAATATGGTTTGACTCTGCTTTTAGAAATACAGGTTAAAATTGTACTATGCTAAGGGGAAACCCTCCCTCAGCCTGAACCTGTTTAAGATGGACTGAGGTAAAGTGAGAAACAGTTTTGTACCGGACAATTCAGAATCTTTTTGGACACCTGGGACCACCTGGCTTGTTTTCAGTACACACAAAAAGCCATCATCTGTGATGGTATGAGGGTGCATGAGTACATATCTGGGGGAGCCTCATTTACGTTACAATAGATACATGATTTGAAGAACTATTCGACCAACAATGCCCTTTATAAAGAAGACCTTGCATAGTTACTCAAGACAGTGTTGAATTCATGTTTTGCAGAGCATGGCTTTGCTGTAGAAGAGCAGGTGCTGAACTGGAGACCCTGAGCAGTTAAGATTCTGACATCCTATCTGCAGCTAAAGCAGGACAAATTTCAGGTTTAGAGCTCTAAGCTGGTCGCTTCAGCTCCCAAACCTTTACACAGTGTTGTTAAATGAAGGCTGACACAACACAGCAGCTTTTTTGAAATGTTGCTGGCATCACATTTAAATTGAACAAATTTTTTCAAAAATCACTGTAATCGTCTCATTTGGATTCAGTGTTTGACAAATTTACAAATCATAAATTCTGTCATTCTTTTAACTTTGTATACAGCATCCAAACTTTTTTGGAAATCAGGGTTGTACATTTCCCCTCAGAAGCTTCTTGGTTATTGTGTTTAATCTGAAAATTGATTCTTTTAGACTTCCCCTCAGAGCCGGTCTTTTTTATTATTGTTTTTGCCCTTTAAGAAATGAATTTGGACAGATGGAAAGACAGTAATTGTTCTGTGCTGTGCCATTAAAATGAGGTAATCAGGGTGGGGGGCAGTCTGTCTACCTTTCAGTAACTCGGAGCAGCTCACTCACACACTGATGATTTGCGTAGTGTGTTGCGTATGTCAGTGAGTGTGTGTGTGCTGGTGTCACATCGCCAGCGCCTGAGAAAATTGTTACTGTGAGAAAATTTGGAAAATCAAGTCAAAGTTTTCGCCACTGGATGACGTTTGATGTACTTACTCGTGGTGAGCAGAGCTGAGAGCTTGAATGGCTTTTTAACTGGATGAAACGACTGTCTGGGAATGACCTTGGTGTGTAGAAGTGATTAAGGAGACCCAATTTCACCATAACCAAAATGTGTTTGCATAACATCTTTTAGTGGCGTTCCTAGGAATATTAAATAAGCTCTCCACTGAAGCCTTTAACAACTGTTGAGTTCAGCCGCTCTGTGTGATTATTCCTCTCAGTTATCCTTGTTGTTAAGGACTTGAACAACAATCTTATCATCCCTCAAGCGTTAGCTCGTTAATTTTGCTTTTGCCGAATTAAAACGAAAGCAGTGAAGACAAAGACGCCCTGAGGAATCCCCATGAGTAAAGGTGTGTGTGCAGCATGAGGTGCTGGCAGTGAGGTAGAAAGCTATGAAGTTGTCTTTGGCTCTGTCAAAGTGGTCTTCCTTCCCAGTGACTTGGATGTTTCCCCTGTATTTCAACCCCTGAACCCCCCACCCTGAACAGAGCGTGATTTACTGTCTTGTAAACACATAGGAAGTAGCATTGAAAATGGTTTAACAAAGTCAATAAAAGCAGACATCGTTCCTGGTATTGGGGGTGGTGGTGAGGAGGAGAAGGGGGGCGGAGATGGAAGAGGAGGTCTGAGGTGGCTGAGGGCAGGTACACTCCCCTCTCTCTTTTCCTCTTTTCCTCTTTTCTCCATCTCTATCTTCTTTCCTTGTCCATCATCTGCATCCTCTGTTCTCTCTCTCTCTCTCTCTCTCTGTATTTTGAGTTTCTCTTAACTGCTGTTTTCACATCCTCTTTTGTCCCCCTCTACCCTTCCACCACCCCCCTCTCTCCTTCTCCTTTTTTATTTCATGTGTTGGGCAGTCGGACAGCCAGAGCAATGGCTTTAACAGACCTACCTGCAGGGCTGCTTAGGGCGGCTCTTTCATCTGGGCTCTGGAGAAAGAAGCCCCCGGCACTGAAACAGCTGTGCAGACCTGGGAGTGAGAGGACCATGAAAAAAAAACAACAGAGTAAAAAGAAAGGGAAATTCAACGGTCCTCTGAGAATCATACCTCCTCATGCCTCTCTCGCTCTTTTTTCTTTCATTTCTCTCGTTTTACCTTTAACATCCTCTTCTTCCATTTTTTTTAGTCGTATCTCACTGCCTCATTGTTTGACGTTGTTTTTAAGTGACACCATGTTGATACATCTCCTTCCTTAAGTCTTCTCAGTTACTTTCCAACTATCACCATGTTTTCTGGGTCACAAGAAGACATTCAGCCAAACTGTCAGCTGTCTAAGCCTGTTGGTTAGATTTTAACACAAATGTTAGAAGTTAGAAATAATCGCCTACAATTAGGATTTGAACATCCAAAAATCAAAGTGCAAATGAGTTTAAACAGCATCCAGATTGTAAAAAAACTCCCTATGAAGCAATTCAAAATCAGCTAAACTTGTTTTTTGTTTTGTATGTTGGTTTTCTGACGTATAAAAAGAGGAGCTGGAGTTTTGGAGCTCAACGTAATGTCCCTCATGTATCATCACCATCAGTCCACTCTGTGATGAGATCATTGTCCTGGTTTGAACATTCCTCTGACTCCTCCAAGAAGTTGGGTATATTATAAATTTGAGCCATTTGTGACAATCCACACTATCCCCGGAGATATTTCTATAAAAGTTTTTCAGTTTTCAAACTCCTCAGTCGCTGGGTTTTTAATCCTACTGTTGCCTCTGTGTGTGTCGGCCCTCACACACTGCGCACTGCCTCCGTGAGCTGATTGTTTGTGTTGGAGAGCCTCATGCTTACAGGGGTGTATCAGTGTAGTGGCTTGGATTCATGATTACTTTAGCTTGTCATAAGTGTGAACTTGTTGAAATCGTATGTTTTTGGATGAGGATCAGGGTGTGTGGGAGAATAAAAGCAGCAAATATGCAGACACTCAATTCAGTGTCACTGGGTTTCTTTGGTCTCCTGGCGAATAAGTGCCATGAGAAGTTTTTTAGTTTATTTGATTCAAAGATAAGGCCATGCTTGTTATCCTTCAGGACATTTTAACGTAGCAATAAACATGAGAGCAGGGCAAGAACAAGCAAACATCTAATATTTATCTGGTGTGTTTTTTATGTTTCACTTTTTTCCTGATGTTTAAATCAACAATATATAATGTCAGGTTTTCACAAAGGTCATGTCTGATAGAGATCGGATTTATAGCTCTTTAAAGGGAGACAGATCCTGAGGAGCTGTTCCTTTCAAAGAGCCGTTCAAAAGACTGGCTTGTTGTTATATTAGTAGAGGTCAATCAGGGATAACTTAACATGGAAACAATCACTGGTAGCAGTTAAAAGATATGATATGGATCAGCATAATTTAGACTTACACATTCCACCAACATATACTTTATTGGTGGAAACTATTCACCATTGTGTTTTCATTGTAAACATTTCATAAGGTGGTTATATATCCCCATGCTTTGAGAGTGTGAACGGGTTCTTACTGTTCACTTAAAAGAGTCGTTCAAATGACTGACTCGTTTGCGAATGTCAGTTCTATTGTCCGACCTGATTTCTGATCGGCCTTCTTTGAAGTTGGGCTGAATTTCAGCTCCACTGTTTGCAGTCCAGGGTACAAGAAAGCACATGGGTGGACCAGCTAAGAGCTCCTTTATGTCACAGTGTTGACTCAACAAAGGCAGCCAGGATGCTGAGAGACGCTTGTCTTTAATTGATACTCTACAGTGTGTATTTACCTTATACTATACCGTTCTTGGCTTTAAATGCATGATAGCTTCTTGTTTGTTTAGATTTTCCCAGTTGCGTTTATTAAGAATTATTTTCTGTGTATTTTCCCCTCATGCTCTTGTCTCCCTGTTTATTATTCTTATGTTCCTGTTGTCCATGTGTTTGTCACCAATTAGAATTAAAATTTTCAAAGCAGGAAATGGTTAGTCACTGCAAGCTGGCAGAAACATGGAGAAATACAGAAATTAAACACAGGGTCCTTATGCATATGTGTATCTGGAATTAAACATAAATCAGCCTTACCCAGTCAGAGGAATTCCTTGTGTGTCAGAAATATCGGTAAACCAACATTGTACCCTCACAGAGTGAAAGCAGGGCCAGAAGCCAATGTCAGGGTTTCTGGGCTTTTTTTTCTGATTGCCTAGTATCTGAAAGTCCAGTGTGGACATAAATGATGTCTCATCCATCTCCATTCATTTGGATACAGAGATGATTTAAAATGCTAAACTGATGTTAGAAGCTCATTGAAACGTTCAGTTTTACCATAAAGTTCATTAAAGTCCCACTCCAATCAATTTTTATACCATTTAAAGTGTTCTCAGTGGTCTTAAAACTGTGATTATGAAGTTTTTAGCTAAAATCCCATTACCTATGTCATTTTTAAGGGGTTTTCTTCTGCAGAGCTCCAGTAGATCATTAGCAATTGGTTTCTGAGTCGCGGAAGGAGACATTGCTGCTCTGCACATTCCTCTTCATGCTAGCTTGCAGCCTAACATTGCAGCAGAAGTGGCAGGTTACATAGGAGTTATTCAGCGCTCAAACACTAATGTCTTTGGGGACACAATGAAAGTTAATATCAAAATTTGCCTTCTTACAAGTATTGCAATCCACTACCACACACACTTGTTCCACCATCGTCCTCTTTACTTTTCGGAGTCTGACCTGCAGAGTGGGGCGTTGGGGGCGGAGCTTGGAGTTGTGATGTAGGAAATCTCACTGTGTCTGAACCTGCCGTTTGGGTCTGCCAGAGGTTCACAGCGATTTGAATGCAGAAATACTTAGAAAAGCAATTTGCCCCTAGTTTTCACATGATATGTCCATTAAGATCAGAAAAAAAAATCCATTTGAACATATAGACAACAACAACAAATAAAAACACAATTTTATCAGAATTGGTCTGTAATGAATACATGGGGAGGGCAAACCTACTGTTTGATGGTACAAACAGCTAAACAGCCTCTAGTTGTAATTTCATAGTCAGTAAAGAAATGACAGAGATATTCTTTATCACGTTCAATTTTTGGTAAGGAAAGGGTTAAAAAGACAAGCTAGGATTTTACATACACATTACTTTAAACCCCAATGAAAGTTACAGGTACATTAACAGTGTTGGTTATTGCTACCTGACCTATTCAACATTATAAATGTGCATCATCATCTTATTCTCAAAAACATGGGAAAGTTATGTTTAAAACACAAATACACTGACAATATTTAACATGCTTTTCTGATGCATTTATAGCCAGAGTGTTTTAGTCAGTCATGTTAAAGCAACACCAGTAGAACCCAAAATACCACGCACAATCTGATCACATATTTTCCATTCTCTTATTGTCAAGAGTTTTAAAGGCCACTTAACAGAGGGGACTTTAATAGTATCATAACACTTATGGATTACCAGCTAAGTATTTTAGCAGCTCTTTCTCCCCCCTCAGCTAAAAGCCAACTTTGGAAGATGTAAAAACCTGACCTGTGATTCACCTGGCCCACCTCTTTCTCCCTTTCTCCATCTTTCTCTCCAACCGTTCTCTCAGGAGAATCTACACAGAGAGCTTGGCTGCAAAAAGTGAGACAAGAAAAGGAGGATGGCGGGATGAGAAATATGGGTGGGAGGGTGCTAGATACGACAGGTAGCAGAGTGAGAAAGCAGAAAGGGAAAATGCACATTTCAGGGGAGGAGGAAACCAGTATAGATAGTGGACAGGGCTGGTGTTGAGAGCTGTTATATTTGTTTAGCCCCCTTCAAAGGCAGCCTTAATTGTTTTACCATGCTGTGTCTGCAGAGACTGTAGGATTCATGACCACTCTCATCTCTATCATCCCCAACCAAGAGAGAGATTAACTCTTGAAATACTTGAAATACTTTTTGTGTTGAACTGATAGTCTGACTTTAAGCTCATGGTAGAAAAAATATCACTTGTGAACAGTCACAATAGAGATTATCTGCAAGTCAAAATTCAATGATTTTCAAAACAATTCAGGTTTTTTCTTATCGAGCCACCGAGCCAGCAAATGACTATACTACAACCTGACAACGCCAACATATCTTCAAAGTTACCGCCACTGCATTTGTTGAATGTTGGTGTCAATGCAAGACTGTTTCCAAGGCGAGACATACATTAAGACATTTGACATTCCCACTGGTTTCCTCAGTGGGGATGACAAAAGTGCTTCAGTTCATGTATAAAACTTGAATGGCGGCCGCCTCCACCTAATTTTGTGCCGCCCCCGGCCAGAGCGATTGATTTCGCTCAACACAGCGTAAAGCTCCAGCTGTGTTGATTGAGCGATTGATGTCCCGATGCAGCAGCAACGTATTTTAACTGCAGTTGCAGCGTTGCGCCACTATAGAGGCGCTATATCAACAGCAGTGCACCGGAGAGACCTGAAGCATCTACCGAAGAAGAAACGGATCGAATCATGTTTTTTCAAGTTTTTTTCCCGCTAGTTGGTGCTATCGGCGACCTGATTTTCCCTGGCGGATGGTACAAACAGGTAAATACTGCTTCTCTTTTTTGCATCCAAGCATGTCGTGTTTATTTAAAAAAAAAAAGTTTACTCCGTTTTTAGCGTTGCAGTTATGACAGGCAAAATCAGCCAGTACTTTAAAAAGCGACCTCGCGAGGAGGAAAGTCAAGAGTCCAGGTGAAACACAGCAGAGAAAAAACGTAACAGGCAGTTAAAATGCTTTAATTCATGTTGGTGACAACGTGGAAATTTGTGTCAGGTCTGAAAGTACTTCACAAGGGACTGGTGATCGCGAGGGTCAGAATGCAGGACAGGACGAGTCGGCGAGGCGAGGGTAATTAATTAATTAGTTTCC